CTACTTCCAGAACAGGAGCTTCCAGCATCCAGGAGTGCGTCTGCAGGCCCGGTTACTACAGAACAGAGGAGTCATGCCAACCTTGTCCGCCAGGTGCGGACAGCGAGCTCGGGGCTGTTCGTCAAAACGACTGCTTCTGCAAGCAGAACCATACCGCGGAGCTTGATGAACGGGGCGATTTGGCAGGCTGCGCCAACTGCCACTTCTTCAATGGTTTGACTTGTCCAGGTGGCTTGGAGGAAGATGGTTCCCATGCGCAACCGCAAGCAAAGGAAGGCTTTTTCAGAACTGGCAACACCACAGCGATCGAATGTATGATTCTCCAAGCTGGTGGCGCAAGCGTTTGCATAGGAGGCACCGAACGGTGTCAAGCAGACCCTGACCACGGACGATGCAGTGGAGATTTCCCGAATGAATGTGTACAAGGCTCAACAGGGGTTCTCTGCGGGGAATGCTCTGAGGGGTACGCCAGAGAGTTGCGCATGGAGCCCTGCACCTCTTGCATCAAACAGAATATGGCTTGGCTCCTTGCCACGATCCTTTTCGACATGGTTCAAATTTCAGGCTTGAATTTCGCCATGGCGTGGATAGTGGCGAGGGGAGCTAGCCAAGTGAAGTTTGCACTGCATTCAGTCATGATTCGGCAAGTGCTACATTGGAAAAATGCCTGCTCTGTCCTCACAGATTTTGAGCTGGACCGTCTACTGCCATTTCGATGGTCGGAAAGACAGGTGGAGGCGGAAGGCAAATGCAGTGGTGCATCATGTGCACTATTGAGGTTCCCGTGGCCACGGGAACTCAAGGCAGCACTGGATGACTTCTTCACGATGATGGACGTACTTCCATCAGCCAATGTGTACTTTTCGATCGCTTGCCAGTCTGAAAAGCTATTCCACGACAAAGTGCATGCAAAGAGGCTCATGCCATCGCTGTATTATCTCAGTCTACCCATCCTGTCAACCACATGCACAATCCTTCTTTGCGGCATCCTCGTCTACATTGTGGCCCCATCGGGAAAGAAATGCGGTATCTTTTTCAGCGAGGCAGCTCGGGAAACTGGGCCCTGTTGGACAAGTTTAAGTTCCAATCCAGACGCTGTTTTCCCGCTTTGACAGAATTACTGCCCCCCCCTCCCCCCCCCCCCACCCCCGCCCCAACCCACCCCCACCCCCCCCCCTCCCTTCCCTTTCCCCGCGCCCCCCCTCCGCACAGCGGCCCAGGAAAAAGTGAAGCGAGCAGCGCTTTCTCGATCGCTGACTGAAGCAATTCAAGAGGCGGTCGCACACCCTAGCCCCCTGCATGAAATATGGGAGTTTTTGTCGAAAGGTGTTTTGTCCCCGTGGACATTCTTGTCGGAAGGTGTTTTGCTGCCGTGTACATTCTGATTGATCATTGAGAGTGAAAGCTCGTTGTATGCTCGCAATGAAGTGTGATGGCTGTCGCCTCGACATCTTTTGCGCTGATGCGATATGTTGGCAGACGTGTGAAAGGTCACGCTGCCTGCAACCAGATCGCTAGCTGGCAATGGAGCGGCATAGGGGTGACTAGGCCCCCACTTACCCAACAGACCCTCTTGGACAGAAAACAATGCTATCTTGAAATCTTTCGAACCAATTCTATTGATCAGCTCGTTTCGGCACTGGTACGGCTATTTGTTGCGGCATACGATCTGTTTATCTATTCCGGCATATGTTGCCGCATTCGGCAACCCGAGGGTTGCCGATTTTTGCAATGCAAATGTTGCCGAATTCGGCAAGACCCCCCAGGCCCGAAATTTCAAGTGAAGCTACATCGCAAAACTTTCGCCTAGCTGCAGCAGACCGAAGGCAAAACGATTACTCAAACTGCCACGTTTTTTTGTGTTGATTTTGGTGTTTTCTGCAGCAGAATTGTGTGTGTGTGAAAGAGAAGAAGCTGCTTCCTCCAGGAACAAAGTGTTTTGCTTGAGTTGGTTTATTGAGTTGGTTGTTTTTTTGCAAAGGTCATAACAATTTCTGTTGTTGCGTGTAAATGTGTTTTTTGATTTTGCGAAGAAAGAACATGAAAATGGACCATGTGAGAGACAGGTGGACCTTGTGAGAGTGAACCACGAGGGACGAGTGGACCTCACGAGAGACAGAAGGTTAGCCTCGAGAGGTTGTTGCTGACCCCTCAATAGGGGCGGGCGCCAAAGACGTGCGAGCATCACCACTACCGCAGTGCCTGTAACCGACCCTGTTGTTGTTACGACTAGTCCCGAAGCTGCTGGCCCTAGTTCCTCTACGACCCCTAATGAAGCCCAAGTGCATACGCAAATCAACGTTGTTGCGAGTCCCGTGCATAAAACGAGTGCTCATCCGGAGCCTGCGTTTGAACCAGTCCCTGAAGTTCTTGAGCCAGTTCCTGAACATGTTCCTGCAAGGGCAGCCGCCCCTCAGGAACCCGACATGAACCAAGTTTGCACGCATGGATGCGTCAGAACATCGTTGTGCCTGCGCCGACGTCCGGCGCACAACCAAAGCGCCAACCCCAGCGCAGAAGGCCGGCGCCTGTGGATGATGCAGACACCATGTGTTCATCTCCACTTGCGTAGGTCGCGCACAGGTTTGAACCAGGCTGAGGAGATCTAAAGGATTGGGCTTGCAGGCCCAGCAGCGTCGAAATGTGTCTTGCTCACCATGCACCATTTTGGTGGCAATCTTAGTTGTAGAGTCGCACTTCGAAATCGCGAGCTGTGGAGCAGCCATCGCAAATCCGGAGGTGGAAGAAGCATTCCACGATTCCACTTAGGGAATCACAATCTTCGAGATGACAAACATCATGCTCATCCACATGAGCTTCTTGAATGCCTTGCAAGGCTCATGATGAAGGCCTCCGCTTGGGTCCGTCAAGCATCACAATGCCGTAGCTTGTGTAATTTGCGCAGGGTAGTTTCTCAACCAAAGACCTTGATGGCAGAGCTCAAAGCAAAGACCAATGTTGCGAGTGGGAGCACTAGTGAACTAAGTTATTGCTGGTGAATGATGGGGAGCGGCGATCCTAAGTGTCGTCATTGTTTTATCGTATTTTGTGCCCCCGATGATCTGTCATGTGTTCACTTTGAGATCAATGTACAGGCGGTTTTGCAGTTCAACATCTTCGCAGAACCACATTACCAATTGCAACCAAACATGATGTTGTGCCAGAAAGTTAACGGGTTATACGTTGGGCAAAACTGTCACGGATGGGGCATCCAAACCTAGCTAAGGCTCTCATCTTTCCAAGCGGCTGTCTGATACGGCAGAAGGCTGATTGGGCGCTCCCAAACGCTTTACCATGCGGTGAAAGAAAAGAAGTGCATTGTACATGAAACCGAGGCAACCCTTTTTTTCATCCTAAAGCCTGTTTTGGCAGTTGCTGATCCATGCCATCCCTGACAGGGATGTTGGATGCAGCAGACTGGGACATCCCCGACGAAGTGTTGACCAATGGGGTGCCGATTTCTGAGTTGCAGGCGGTCACCAGCCTTGACAAGACGGAGGGGCGTCTCAAGGTTGTTGCTGTCCGTTTTCGGATACGTTTTGCGTACATAATGGTTTCAGTCTTTGGGTTGCCTCATGTAGGGCTCCACGACATAACCACCAAATTAGCAGGATCTGTGTAGATAGGACACGCAAAGCGGTTTGTTGGTTCACAACACACTGCAAACTACGCACTAAGAAATTAGCCTTTGCAAAACTGTCTCAGAACTCATCCCCATTGTAGATCACCATGAACAAATTCTCCCGCTTTTGGACACTACAAGCCTGCTGAACTATGTGTGCTCGCAGGTGAGCTGTCAGTTTGAATGAAGATTTTATCCAACCTGTGGCGAGTACACATGCGGACAAACATAGACCTGCCGTGTTGCAGTGCCTGCTGCCTGCCCTGGGAATTTGTGTCAGCTCCTTGGACCCTGATCCACATCATCTGGGCATATTACCCGCATGAAACCCTCGTCCCCATGCATATTCTCGGTCAGCCCCAGTGTGCAAATTGGCGTCGTGATCGTCGGCGCGTCGTCGCACTATCGAGCCTCGCCTCACCCGCTGCGAGCATAAGCGTTGGATCCAGCGAGGACCGTACGCGCAGCCTTTCGAGGAACGATCCTTGTCGCTTACACATTCTGGTCAACTTTGAGCAAATGAAAGCCAAATACAACACTCACTTGTGGCTCGGGGCGCGTCCTGTTTGTTTGGCTCTGCACGTTCCCTGTCATTCGCTCACTAACTTGTGTCTCCAAGGCGTGTCCACGCCATCCGGGGGTGCGTTATGTGAGGTTGTTAGATTTTAAACTAAACTCTTCTCCTCGCCCGGTATACTCCTCGCCCATCACCCGTATCCCACCCCAGAGTAGTGCCCAACCCCAGAGAATCCCTGGAGTGCCCAGCCCAAGAGTATCCTCGTCAGAGAATCCCTGGAGTGCCCAACCCCAGAGTGAGCCCGTAAGTTCCTCGCAGGGTGGGGATGTTCGAAGTAAATGAATTTTGTTGTTGTTTCGTTTTGTGTTGTACGCGGGGGCCTGGCCCAAAACAAGAAGAACCGATTGTTAAAAAGAACACCGGCACCAAGTCGCATGACCTAGGAGACCTGTGGCAAACACATTCAGAATGCATACTTCCGCAAAACCCTGCAAGCCCTGAATGACCAAGCCGGCCTAGACAGTGATTTCCAAGGCTATGAACGGCCAAATGACAGAATCACTGCTTCATCGGTTGGCTCTGGGCGCGTTTACCTGGAAGCTTCGAGGTGGGTTTTGGCTTCAGCTTGTTTACTTCGGGAGCTAAGGTCCCTTTGCCCGGGCTGGCAGTTTGTGACCATTAGGTATGAGGAGGCTTGAGAACAAGGGTTCTCGCCAGCCGCATCACTGTAGCACTGCTGTGGTGCTTCAACGGTACCAAATGGTGCTAGGATGGTGAGGAACATGTTTCAGAGCCTTCAAGATTGCTTTCTGACCGTCTAGCAGCCATGTTTGCCCGTGCCTTGTATAAGCACAAGTCGGAATGGTTGTACATCTCTGCTTTTTGCAGTACTTTTTTCCCGATCCCACGCTCCAGACCGCGATCCCCTGCACACCAAACTGCATCTCTGATTCAGGTCATTTTGAAGCAAACGCAGGCCGACATCGTTTGAACGCAGAGGATGTCGCCCTGGCTCTTGCATGTGCAGGACTTTCAAGCACCCAGCTGCAGGCCGCAGTAGAAGACGCGAGCACCAGCGAGGCTTTTCTCAACAAAGTGTGCCAAGACATCTGCAAGAGGGCTGCAGAAGCCACCGTTTGGCAGCGCACCGATGCCAGGGAACTCGACTTTGCTTTCTTTACCCCCTTTCCAGGTCCTCGCACGTTGCTGCATCAAAGTATGCCAGTCATATGGTTGACTCAGCTTGCGCTTTGGCCAACGTTAGTGTCCAAGTTCCTTCAGATGATCCGCTGCGTGCCAATGCAGGAAGACGGATTGCAGGAAACGAAGTCCATACAGCGCTTGGCTTTGCATCCAGACGTGAAGTGCTGGGAGGAAGATCACAATGCTTTGGCCACAGTTGCCTTCACAGGATTATCTCTGTGGTGCGTGGGTGTTCCCTTATTGCTCTTTATTCAGATCTGGAAACTGAAGGATCGACAAGATGCAAACAACTACCGTAGGTACGGCTTCTTCATCCGAGGTCTAGAGCCGAGATACTGGTACTGGGACATTCTTGTGAAGAGGGCAGACACCTGTTTGATGCTATTGGTGGCGAACACATCTATAGCGGATGACAACAATGCCAAGCTGCTCCTATTTCCTTTGATTTCTGGCCTAATGCTCGCAATCAATAACTGGTACAAGCCTTATTCAAACGGCCAGGCCCAGATTTTGGACTACATTGAATTCATCCTACTGCTCACAAGGTTTGTACTCTTTAGCGGCGTTTCTGTGTTGCTCATCTTCTTCCCAAGACAAGAAGCTGTTTCCGTTGTGGGCGGACTCTTGCTTGGGATGCTTGGCGCTGCCGCATTTTACGCCGGTCTACAGACTTTGGCACAAGCATTGCGCAGTTGTTCCGCAAGTCTCAACAGCGAGCAACACCACTTGCACGGGAAAGAGGACAAACGTAGCTTCATGTTACTTACATGGCCCTGTGCACAGTAGCCCGACATCTAGGATCTTTGCTGAACGGATTTGAGTCGCTTGCCACCTGCATGACCACTTTAAAGGAGAACACTGTGGAGATAGAGAGAAAGAGAGACAGGGTCAGGGGGGGAGAGAAGAGGGAGGGGCAAGAACAAGGTAGGAAGAACATGCAAATTCCTCTTCTCTCTTCTTTTTTCCTCTTTCTTTTCCACAAGAAAGAAAAACTGAGATGGACTTGAGAAGGGGGAAGCTAAGAGACCCTCTCTGTCCCACAGTCTATTATGCTTCTCTCTATGCCTCGCCCTGTCTCACTCCCTCTCTGCTTCAGCAAGTCTCCTTCTTTGTAGCTCACCCTCCTCCCCGTCTTCCAATTCTACACGACATGTCGCCCAGAAAAGAAAAAAGAGAGAGAGAGAGAGACCGTAGCCATTTTGACTCAAGCTGTGAGCGGTTCGAGCCCCAGCCCCAGTGTCCGGTGGGCAAACCTACTGACAACTAAGTACCGGGAGCTCCACAGGGGCGAAACACAAGGAGTTGTAGTTGCGCGTGGGGGTCTGAACCTTCCCGCACTGGCGCCCCCATTCGTCCCGGCCTATAAGTTTGTGGTACTGCGCGTCTTCTCCGCGCGGGTCCTTTTCTCCGCCTACGGTGACTTGGAACGTGCGGGTGACCGCTGCTGCCTGGGCGGCCGCAGCGTCTTGGGGGGCCTCGACCAGAACTACTTGTACGCCATGGATGGAGCTGGCAGAGGAGGAATGGGGGGGGGGCGGTCGCAGCCTCACTAGCCCCTCGTCGGGTCACAAGCGCAAAGGGCCGTCGCCCATTCTCCTGGACGACGGCGCAGGTGGCCGCTCGCAAGCCGCAACAGAATTTTTCCCCACTCCGGAGGACCCCCCTGAGCATCGCGGACGTGAAGACGGCCCTCAGGGTGGAGGTGCAGGGACTCCTGCTGACGTTGGAGGCGAAGGTGGAGTGCGAATGGTCGTCGTCGGGAACAGTCTTGTTCTGGGACCAGGATTGCATCGGCCACCATGGCTGGCCCGCTGGCCAGGGAGACCCGCAGCACCAAATATGGCTGGCTGGACGTGCAGAAGATTGCGGCTCGCCAAGGGATGGGAGAGATGGAGGGCCTTTGGGGGACCTCGAATCCCAGCTCCGCTGAGGGGCCAACAGGAGTTTCACCGCCTCAGTACGTGGCTCTGAAGGCGACCTTGTCGACTACCTCATGGCCACTTCCGACCATTGGACAAGCGCATTCCGGGCTTGGGGGAGGAGTTCTGTCACGCCCTCGCCGTGCAAGACCATTTCCTCCTCCAAGCTTGGGCGCCGGCTGACTGGCACAGTACAGGCGTACTACTCCGACGTCAAGATCCTCAAAACAAACACGCTTCAACGCAGCCAGCGGCGCAAAGAACAGAACAGGTAGCATCACGAAACAGCCAGACCGAGGCACTACGATGGCCTGGGTCCAGTGACCGGAGAACCACACAAACAACCCCAGCAGCAAGAGAGCGATCAGCCAAGCTGAGACCCGAGCACCAACGCCACGAACAGCGTCGTCGAGGGGGGCCGACGAGGAGGACGGCCACGACCTGGACCTGGAAGAGCAGACAGTCGAAGAAGAACAAGCAGAGGAGGTCGAGCTACAAGCGGAATGGGAGCAAGACCGTGCCTTACATGAAGAGTGGATTCAGCGGACCATTGACGACTACCTCGTGCGTTCAGGGGACACACCTGCGGCGAACACCCAAGAGACCTCGGAAAGACACTACGCCGTCGACAAGGCAGCCTACGTCAATGCAGTCACCATGGCCCTCAACAGGTGTTCCGTGGGGGCCATGCGGGAGCGGGGAATCGCCGAGGTCCTGACCCACGTCCTCAAGCAAATGGAGGACGACATTGACCAGCAGACGCAGAGTCATGGTGAGGTGGACACGCTCAACGTCTTTTGAGGAGACTGCGACGGTGGGCCAAATCTGGCACGACTATCTCGGGGGGGGGGCCCGTCAACAATGGAGGTTCTGCTGGCCCTCTTTGGCCGGAACAAAGAGGGGCCGCTGGCCTCACAACCCACTCGGTCAAGGGAGCACGCAGATCCTGTGGGCCTACTCGGGAGGCGCAGCATTTGGACGGCGCCCAAGGGGGGGCCGCCGCCTACACAACCACGTAGAAGACACAAACACGTAGAAAAGAGAGGCCATGGCCCGTGTCCTTGCTGCGGCCGTGACACCGTTCTCTGCAGGCGGGGGACCCTTTCAACTTTGCGCGGTTCGTCGAGGAGGTCAGCGAGTGGTGACGGCTGGAGGCTTTGCGCTCTGCTCCAAGTGGCTCTGATTCTATGCAGGGGGGGCCACGAACGTCGGCGCATGCAGCAGGATCTCAGTTTGAGAAGGGGGGGCCGCCTCCGACCTCCGCGGCGCAGGGAGAGAGACAGCTCGAAGAAGCAGGAGACACAGAGGAGGAGGAAGCTGACAAGGGGACCTTGAGAAGTAACACAACTTGAGCCTGGATGGGGGAGCAGTGGAAGTGAAGGGGCCACATGTTCCTCTGAGAGCGACCTAGTCCCGCGTAGTCTCCAACAACCCATGGAGGCCTTCAAAGCACGGCAACCCACCTTTCACAGCAAGACAGAGCGGCGGGCCAGCACGGCCGGGGCTTCCCTTCGGGGGGCCCTCTTCGCTGGGTAAGAAGAAGAAGAAGAAGAAGAAGAAGAAGAAGAAGAAGAAGAAGAAGAAGAAGAAGAAGAAGAAGAAGAAGAAGAAGAAGAAGAAGAAGAAGAGAGAGAGAGAACGAGCGAGCGAACCGGAAGAAGAAATGAACGAGGTAGGAGGACGTGTAAACTCCTCTTCTCACTTACCTTTTTGCCTTTCTCTTTTGCAGCGCAAAGAAATAGAAACGAAAGGAAGGCCACAGTGGAAAAAGGGCGCGCCTTTCCTTCAAGGTTTCCACAACATCGGAGTCTCTGGTGTCGGTGTCCTTTTTAAGGTGGGTTTCGCTACAGAAAAGGAAGAAGAAAAGTAAGGCCTGGGCATTCAAACCTTAACCCTAAACCCTTAGTGCTGAAGGTCTAAATGTCCCGACCTTAGTCTTTAAATGCACATAAACTGTCAGAATTTAAGCCTCAAGTTTAGGCATCTAAACCTTGAAACCCTTTAGGGGTTAAAAGCCTTAGGGCTTTTCGGGGATTATCTCTAATACCCTCTATAGGGTTTAACCCTATAGTAAAGGTTTAGGGTTTAAGGTTTAGGCATTTAAACTTAAGCCGGCAATTAAACCCAAACCCTTAACCTATGGGCGGGTTAAGGTTTACAGATTCCGGGTTGAAGAACTGGGCATTTAAACCTAAGCCAAAGAGTTTAAGCCGCAAGGGTTTAAGGTTTGGGCATTCAAACCTTAACCCTAAACCCTTAGGGCTCTAAAGGTTGAAAGGTTTTTAACCTTGTGCTGAAGGTATAAATGTCCAGACCTTAGGTTTTAAATGCACATAAAGTGTCAGAAGTTAAGCCTCAAGTGTAGGCATCTAAACCTTTAAACCCTTTATGGGTTAAAAGCCTTAAGGCTTTTCGGGGATGATCTCTATAGGGTCTAAGCTTTAGGCATTACCCTAAGCCCTTTATAGGGTCAGAACCCTAAAACCCTTTAGGGCTCTAAAAGATTGGAAGGCTGTAACCCTATAGGTGCTGAAGGCATAACTGTCCAGACCTAGGTCTAAGTGCATGTAAAGTATTAGAATTTAAGCCTCAGGTTAGGCAGTTCAAGCTTCTCTAAAAGCCTGACGGGGTTAGCCCTTTTTGGTTTAAGCCCTATCGGGTGTAAGGTTTAGGCATTAACCTTTTGGAGGAGAACAGTCTAAACCTATAGGGCTTGGGGCTTAAATCCCTAACCTTAAATCCCCTAGAGTTATGCTTATAGTATGTAGGGCTCGCCTCCTGTAAAATGTACAGAAAAAGTATAAGAAGTACCCACATCATGTACGTTTATAGGGTATACGCATTGTATATTCAAGTACAGAAAATGGGGACGCGAGAATACTGTGAGCAAATATCCTTTTACCCGCACATATGACATCACAACCTTCCAAACATACGTGCAAAAGGTAGTAGAGGCGGGGGGTATCACATATTTATGTCTACAATGGAAAGTAACAAAACGGTGGAAACAGGGGGAGGGGTAGCATACATATATATATATATGTATATTATATATATATGTATATATATATATATTTTTTTTTTTTGGTTCAGGGTTTAAGGCTCACTATTGCTTGTTTTTGCTACAAGCTGTTTGCTATGCGGTTTTTTTGTAGTGACATTGTGCTGCTTTATAGTGTTTCTTTTGTTTTTCTGCGACAAAAGCCGCAGCATTCCATCGAGCTTGTCGTTCAAAACTGCGTTCAGACTTTTGGCTCCTGACCGTGTTGTCATGCTGTTGTCTGTGGGAGAGACAAAAACTCCTACATCGTAAGTGTTGAGAGTCATTATAATGTTGTGTTTTCTTGTCGTGTTTTGGATTCGTGTTTGCATTGCGGGAGCCGTAAAATCCCTACGCCGTAAGTGTTGAGAATCGTTACAGTGTTTTGTTTGTTTGTCATACTGCTTTGCATGCATTATGCAGGTTGCCAATGAGTTATTGTTCTTTTTAGATTTTCTTTGCCCTGCGTGAGCGGCAAAAATCCCGACGCCGGAAGTGTTGGGAGCCATCACAATGTTTTGTTTTTTGTCATCATGCTTTTTTTTGCACGCATTTGCCAATGAATTCCTGTCGTCTTGAATTTGTCCTTGCTCTGCGCTAGCGGCAGAGAAAAACTCTCACGCCTCGTGACAACAGAAGTCATACGGTTGTCAAGAATGTCGGTATAGGGATCTTTGCTACCCACAATACAAACACGAACTCAAGTGAAAGTCAAAAGTTGGAAATGCATGCAACTACAACAAGTTAAAAAAACAAGCGTGAAAGTATCAGCCACTTCGTCGTGTTACTCCAGATGAGTCTCCAAAGGTTGATGGGCTTAGAGTTTAGGGTTTAGCATTTAAGGTTTAGGGTCTTGAACCCTTAAGCCCTTTCAAGTGCCAAATCCACACACAAAGTAATCCTTTAATCCTGCTTTTGGAATTTCTCCTTGGAGGCTTCCCGGGTTTAAGGGGCCAGGGCAACTTGGAACACCACGATTCGAACGTGGAAAGCGAAAGATACCCTACAAGCCCACGTATGCCTTCAGGCCCTAGTTTAGAAGTCCTGTCTCAGGAACCCCCCCAATGTATGTATGTGTGTATGTATGTTTGCCTGTATGTATGAAGGTATGTATGTAGTTTTTATTTAATCAGCTACAACAAGGTTGTGCTCAAAGTTGCCATTTCGTCGAAAGAGCAATGTAGCCCTTGTCAGCTAAGATCCGATGTGTTCTTCTTTTGTGTTGTCGTACTTCCTTTTCTTCAGCAAAAACTACATAGAAACACTCACGTATACTCACGTTTATGATTGATTTAACAATGATGACACGATGCAAGTGTCTGCAACTGCACGAAGCTGCAGTACTGTACAGCGTTTGCCATTTGTAGGTTTTTTTAACCATGTCGCGTTCAATCTAATCTGAATCCAACTTCATGCGCGTTCAGCCGTGTCTTTTCTGATTGTTGGGGATGCCGGTCCAGGCTTTTGTCCTTGTATTTGCTTGGTTGGAAAGCCACGGATTGTTGTGATTGAGCAGGAGTTTGCGTGGCGAAGCACATCGACGTGGACAATGAGCGCGGCTAAAGCTGTCAGTGCCTTAATTTTGGCAACAAGTATCAGCTTGGATCATTTGCAATCTTTTGCTATGTTTGTATTGTAGTTAGAAGTGCGGGTACTTGGCGAAAACATTTCGAAAACTCTATGCTCTGGTTGAGCGGACAGCTCCAGGCCGCAGCAACGTTAATTATATAGATTCTGGTGTTCTGCCGCAAGATTTTCCTACCGAACTGCCTGCACATACTTCTTTAGCCTGTGCCTGCGAAACCAAGGTGTCGTCCAGAAGCTGATGCGATTTGCTTTAGATTCGCTTCTCCCTTTAGTTCAGCCTCGAGAACGCCTCGTGTTATCATGGTCATTGCGAGATGCAAGACCAACCTTCGAAGTCGTTCCCGCCAGCCACCAACCCTCTTCCTTTATCAGTTGCTTACCTGCAAAAAGCACTGGGGTTGGAGTTTTTCGAGACTCGGTGCCCTGCATCAAGGCTTAAAGAATAAAAGCCACAGCGTGCAAGACGTCATGTCGTGGGGAGCAGTGGAATTCTGATTTTGTGCACTGTCACATTCAGGTCGATCCTTGACCAGTTTGTCAGTGCATTTATTCCGGCTTGACCTCATCACACAGCAAGACTCCATCTGGGCTGATTATTCAGCATTTATTAACATTTGGGAGCACCAGTTTCTTTGTAGCATTTTGCAACCCGATTTTGTTTCTGCCATATCACAGTGCCCAATAGTTCTACATGTCAAATACTTCCAAAGTTAGAGCGACCAAGGCATGGACGGAAGGATATTTTGACTTTGAACGTCCTGTGCGCACTTGCCGCTTCCAGCCGGGACCTTCCAACCGCCATCCTGAACTCCCAGCTAGGTGTGGGCGTGGGGGGTGGGGGGTGGGGGGGGGGGGGGGGGTGGGGGGTGGGGGGGGGGTGGGGGGGGGTGGGTTGGGGGGGGGGGTTGGGGGGGGTTGGGGGGGGGAGCTGGGGGTGATCCAAAGTTCATGGGGTTATGGGTTTAGGGTCTTTAGGATTGGGCTTTAGGATTGGGCTTTTGATTTTAGGGTGGCTGATGGTCCTGCCTGCCACGACCACTGCTTCCAATACCACTGCCAACTCTACAAGTAATTCCCTGAGAATACTGCCAGAACTATCCGTCATGTCCCTGCTGCCCTATTCGTCTCAGACAACGATTTGTTGGTAGCCGGTTCAAGGAAACTCAGTGTACGGGAGGGCCCATGCCGCTGCCGGGACCGTCTTCCTTGTCTTGCGGATTGCGCTTGCAGTGCAGTTGTTTTGCCCTAGAGCAGTGAAGGTATGATCAACCTCGCAGTCTTTCCACAAGTCAGAGCAGCTTACGTCCGGACGCAGATCTGCAGATACCCAGACACTCAATCCTGCACCCCTTGAAGGAAGGGCTTCCTGATTCCTTTGCCACCTCCCGTGTCGAACCTTCCGTTCCCTTACGTTTACCCTTCTTACATGTTCCTTACTGGCCTTGTAGATTGTAGCCTTTGCTCCATTCAGCTTCACTCGAAGCCTGATACTTTCCAACCACCCTGGCTGCATCATCTGCCGCGATCCTCTTTGGCCAAACTTGGTCGGAGTGAGAGTTTCTTTTCTTTCTGCTACTTGAAGAACGCAACCCTTTGCTTTGTTGCTTTGTGCCAGTTGGACTCTCCTTTGCAGTTACGCCTGGTTGACCAATGAGGAGGGCCCAGACGTCTTCATAAGGGTCAAGAAGTCGACTGTTCTGTCCTCTCTGTCTTCAGGCCAGTATTCTAGGTGACCTGCGGCTTCAGGTTTTCATTGAATCCCGCGTGCAGAATGATGGCTGGCCAGCCTTCCCAGATGGTGCCATAAGAAGTTGTTCAACCCAAGTTCCTGCTTGATCAGCAACCTTGATGAAGACATCGTTGACGTCTGGATAACACTCGTCTTTTCATGAGTCTTACCGCTGGAGCTGGAACTACCCTCGCGTCCCAGAAGTCGTGTTCTCTTCTCTCTTCACCGTTTTAATATACAGTAATTTAATGGTAAACTGGTGCGCGCATTAAATCATTATTAAAACCGCGTGAACGAAGAGAACCCCAAGAACCTGATGAATAAAGTGAGCACATGGGCGAATTATACCAAAGGCCCGTCATAATAAACTAAGGTTTTTATACGGGCTTTTAGTATTCTTAATTCGGAGATTTACGCCAAGCTGGCAATCGTAGTTCACACGAGATCGAGCGGCCCAGTGATGTAAGTACTCGTCCTCATCGTCCTTTGTGAACTCGTCGTCATTTGAACTTGCCATGGCTTCTGGGACCTGAGTGCTCTTGCGGTTTCTGAGTCCGTACTCAGTAGCACGTCAGTCTTGCTGGTAGCCCACCTGGCAAGCCACAGGAGCTGGGGCTTGCCCCCCGCCCCATTTCCTCTACTTGCAGAAATCTGACTCTGTTGAACCTTCCAGCAATCAGCAGGTGCACTTGGGCCATGTATTGTAACAACCTGGCAAGCTTGCACGACGCGTTCATAGTGGGGAGGTACTCCAGCGTAGTGAATCCTTGGCCCCCAGGGCTGGCTGGTTGTGTGGGGGTTGTGGTTGCAGGTGTGCTGGGAAGATACTTCAACCCTGAAGTTTGCGGCTTCAGTTCTCTTAGCAAGGCCCTTCTGTCTTTCACTTGTTTCCGCGCTCCCTCAACAACCAAACCAAGTCAGCGGATGTGCCGTCACTATGCGCTGTTGTGATACAATGCACTTTTCAATGCTTTTGGGAATGTTTCATAAGCTTCTCTGAATTTGGGTCCGTTTTGACATGGTCAGGTGGCTACTGGATCAAGAATTTGGATGGCTTGGCGTCGGACACTAGGAAAGCCTGGGTGCTGTCTACAGAGGACGTATCGAAACTCCACCCTTCCTGGAACTGTTTTTCGTCCACAAGCCCCAACCCCTACTTCACACTCTGATCCCAAGCCTGAATTCCTGATGGACTAAGGAGTGCAGTTGTCCGCTTCAGTGCACTCCCGCGAGTGGATGCCGAAAAATTGATCACAGTCGCAAACAGACTTCTGGTCTGCATCTTGGGGTCCCCCCTTAGCATGTCCTAGATTTCAGGTTCGAGATTTGGCATCAGTAGGGCGGGCTTTGCGCTGGTTTTGAGACATGATGGCCTGGCCGTGGTCGCTCCCTCGGACTGCACTCAGAGTTTTGGCTTTCCGCAATTCTGCCGGGGGCACTTGTTGGCAGCCAAGGATTTGTGGATGGATTATCGCACGTGGCAGCAGTAGGATTGGAGGACCCTTTGCCCCATCCTTACCTGGCAAGAGTTTCCTGACAATTGCTGGTGATTTAGATTTAGATGAGTTTGAATAGATGGCCATCACGTTTTCTTGGATTCGTGAAGCCTTCACCTGCCTCCTGCTCCTGCAGCAAATCGCAGCTCGAAAGCCTGTCAATTGCCAAGGTGCTCTAGCAATATGCCGGCGCAGACGAAGGAGGCTTCTCAAAGCCGTCGTCGCATGGGAAAGTCTTTTTCTTCGCTCCTGCAATGGAGTTGCTTTGCGTGTTGTCAGGGGGTTCTCAGTTGGCGATGCGGGCCGTGTCACAGGAGTTTCGTTGTTGCCGTCAGGGCTGCTCTCGGCTGCCGCATTGTCTCTCTGCAGGCTACATCAGCAGATGGTGCCCAAGAATCTGAAGTTTCTAGGCCACAGCTGTCGCAGTGATTTCAGGGACGACCATGTGACTTGCATCCTGTTTGAGGGTTGGATGAACAGGACTGATGCTCCCTAGTCAAAGCAAACTGTATGGGAGACTTTGAGAACAGCCCAGATGGATCCAGCCCGAGTGCCAGGGCCATCCCAGCAACGAGCAACCAAGATGAGACGAGGCTGGCGGTGAGGGCCAGCCCGAAGCAGGCAGGACACGTGCGCGTTTGTCGGCTGTCGAAGCGACAAACAGCTGGTGTACAGCAGCAACTAGTTCACAGTAGTATTTTGTTCTGGAAACGTGCAGCCTGGCAGCGTGCAGCAGACTGCGAGAAGCACCTGGCCTTGCAACAAACTCAACAAAATGGTTTGGAGCTGTCGCAACTGGCCTATTTGCAGGGATTGCGGCTCTCTTTCTCTCTCTCTCTTTCTCTCTCTCTCTCTCTCTCTCTCTTCCCTTTCTCTGTCTCTCTCTATTTCTTTCTCTCTCTCCCTCTCTCTCGCTCGTTCTCTGTCTCTCTCTGTATATTCGCCCCCTCCCTCCCTGCCCCCAACATGATCCGCACTTTTGGCCTCGTGTTGTTCGTGGATGTGGGGTTGGGTGGATCCCGGAGACCCCAAACTCTAGATTTCCAGAATAAAATGGAGACTCCAGATTTCCAGATTAAATCTGGAGTACGGGACCCCGATTCCAGATTCTGGAGTCCGGATTCTGCATCCGTGTTGCTACAGCACCAAAGGCAATGCTGAACTGACACCCACAACAACGTCTTGATGATAAGACGGGTGTGAAATCTACCCTGTCTGCAGAGCTCAAATAGGAGTAGTCAAGGCCGTAGCAGTTATGTAGCGCCTCGCAGCAGGTAGCGCTTTGTTGAACTGAACCGCCGGGCCCGTGAGCTCAAACCGCGAAGAAGGATGCTACTTTGTGACCCGCGTTAGTCACTCAAAACCCTAAACTTTTAACACTGCCCCTGTGCCGGTGCCCGGAAACTTATCTCAGGTTGCCTCAACCTGAAGACGGCTTCGGGTTTAACACCCCCTCCGCCCCCTAGAAGACGCTGCAACTGTCGATGCCGCACTGCCGACAGATTCCGAGAGATCGTGAATTTTTGGAACGAGCCGTGAGCGAGGACACCGCAGAAGACCAGGCTTGCAACAAGGCCGAGTTGTGGTTTCGGGATTTAGGGTTTTAAGTTTAGCTTAAGAACTTAAGCACCCAAAACCGTTTCGCACAAACCCCTTTTTTGGGTTTTTATGGGCAAAGTAGAGCATACTGCATAGGTTGACCTTCGGCGTGAAAGTTTTGGCAAGCCGACGCAGGAGTTGTGGCTTGGCCAACCTGAAGAGCTACTATAACCTGGAAATTCGACATCTTTGGTTGCTTGGGGGGATCAGCCTGTGCGGCTGAAACCCCTGATTCCAACCCGCCTTAAAAACTTAAGCGGCCAAACCCAGTTTTTAACTGCAAAGCCCGTTTAACGGCATGGATGTTGAGGCATTGATGTTCAATGTGGAAGTAGACATGGACCCTGGCTCATGAGGAACCCAGCCTTTCAATTTGTAAGTTTTGCGCTTTCGTTGCAACTGCGAGCTGCGCTCGCCTGCGAATGCAAGCAATGAATGTTTGCCGGTATCGAAACTTGAAAGTCGTTGTCTTTGTTTCGAGTTTATCGCTGCTCCCAAGCAAGACACACTTTTTCGAACATGGCCGGCAGGTGCGTTCCATCTAAAGCCATGAGGCGCGGGGTCATTGAGTCATTGCGCTTGTGCAAGCGCGAGGTATGAACTCTTATCTTGTTTAGTACGCAGGTTGCAGGGACCTGCACTCCAATTCAGCATTTGGTTTCGGGCTTAGCTCTACAATGGTGTGCGGTTACCCTGGTTTTTTTGGAGCAAGAGAAAGCTTTGTCGGGTCCCGACACGAAAGGCATGAGGAACGATGCGAATTTACTGAGAGCATATGTTGACAGAAAAACCACAGGGCCACAGGGGCATGTGGGTTGAGGGATGTGTGTCAAGCGGCAGAACTTCGTTCTGCACGAGGCAGCCCGCCCGGAGTCCTTGAGCAGCTTCATCTGGCACATCGCGCAATGACCCAGAGCCTCACGGGCCGAGACTGGCGTCGTAGTTCTCTCAGAGGTGTCTGCACAGAAAAACATGTTGAAGGGAGTTCCACAAAAGCTCCGAAAAATCATTCCAACGAGCGCAACGTGGCTGCTCGGGTGACCGAGCGGCGATACTGGCGCGAATGTGGGTTTCTGACCATACACATGCATACTATGAACATTGCAAGGCTTCAAATTGCGAGCACAGAGTGCAGCAGCTCTCCTTGCATCGTAGCTGTTCAGCTTTTTGAATTCTTGGTCCGCAGCAAAGATTGCAGGCACAATTATTTGCTGCTTGGGAGCCCACATGTGCTGAGATTTTTAGGGCTTCGTACGGGTCTCCTCTATTTCGGGGGTCACGTATTAACTGTATGAGCACCATGAGCACCACTATGCGATCCAGGCAATTTAGCATGGACGGGCGTCGCACATCTGCGAAGCAGATGGAGACAATAGTTCCTTCGACGGTTTCCTGCCGCACGGCAGTCGGAATTGTCAATGTTCATCACCAGAATCCCGCCGAGCAGATAGTTCGGCCAGCGCTCCTTCCAGGGTTGTGAATCCTTTGCCTACAGTTCCACTCTGTGAAAGGTGGGTATGTCGGTGCCTACCTGCGAAGAGTCATACAAGTGTAGACATTCCAAACCCAGACCCCAGTCGTCTCTGAAATTGAAACATCTACCGTTTGCATATTTCCTATCCTGCACAAAACGGAGCTGCCATCATGGCAGGTGCAAAAGCCGGGTCTCAGGAGGGGTTTCTTGCAGTACCGTATAGCAGGCATTTTGATGTAGCATCCTACGGGGTCAAGCTCGGGCGCTACGATATGCTACGACATGGATCTATGCCCGGTTCTATAGTTTGCCAGGCCAGAGGGGTTCAGAGTGTTTCGATCTGTATCTCCTTCTATGTTCATGACTCATGACACTACTTGCTGGCTCTCTGGCTTTTTGCACCTTCCCGCGGTCCTCAGCGGATGCGAATAGACCATGCAGCCAAGCTTAGTGCAGCTTGCTATGAGGGCGTTCTGAGTCGTTGGCTGGCTGGCTGTTCAAGAATTGCCGGGTTGTGCACTCATGGACATACCGTGACATACCCCAAAAAGGTTTCGCCAAGTGCAAAACAAACGTTCTGAGTAGTTCTTATGATGACCGTAGCCCTATAGCCCTGAACCTGAATTTCATTCTTCATGACCCTGAGGTACTGCCTGAACCATGTCAACCAGACTAAAACGTTGCTGGAGCCAGGGCGAATTTGGAGGTTGATGGTTCGGTTGAAGATTATGGAGGACAGTGATGTTGCAAGAATGCGAAAGCACGGTAGCATAGTTATCGTAGTGATACATAATTTTAACGCTACGCGACCCGCCTCGGCCCGGCCCAGCGCATCCGCGTGAGCATGGTGATTCCGCAGCGCCCAAGTCCCAAGCAATAAGGGTTGGGTTTAGGGTTTAGGGTTTAGGGTTTAGGGTTCCGGGTTTATGGTTTATGGTTTGGGGTTTAAGGGCTCAAGGTTCACGCTTTGGGGTTTAGGGTTTTTTTTGGGTTTAGGGTTCAAGAGACGGTTCGGATTGGATTGATCGTAGGGTTGAGCCTGGCCCCTCAGGGGGGGGTAGGGGCTGTGGGTGGGGGGGGAAGGGGGGCAGGGGTTTAGGTTCAAGCTGAGACTTTTCGGCTCGTGAAATCCATCCCCGGCCGTGCTCAAACCAGTTGAGCCTCGAAAACCCCTCACCAAAAGGTGGTGCGGGGGAGAGGGTGTAGGGGCGGGGAGAGGGTGGGGGAAAAGGGGGGGGGGCCCTGCTGGGAGGGGCTTCAACTGCCTCTGGTCCTGGCGAACCGTCCGCTTGCGGACCCCGGTTTCTTAGGGGGGGTACCCATTTGAGGCAAAAAAAGGGGTCCGAAAAATGGTTTTGGGTGTGGGGGATGCCTGTTCTGACAACCTATACACCTCCGGCCCGAGGCCCCGGCGGATTAGCCTGAAATTGTAATCCGCAGCCTTGAACTGTCAAAGCCGTAGCGCACGCTCGCACTGAAGCACTCGCCCTGCAATTCAGAGCGGAGCACCAATATGGTCTCAGCGTCCTTGAGGTGAGAAACTACAGGGGGCCTCACATGGCCTAGCACGCCCAAACCAGGCCAGTACCCGCCTAAGGCTCCTGAAGTTGGGGCCCAAAGAAACAGCCGTTTTGGACATGATGATGATCGCTGACCCATGCTATCCTACCTGCAGTCCCGTAATCCGTCATCATACGAGGGGCGTTGCTCGTCAAATCCTCCCTTGTCCCAGCACAGGCGGTGAAATGGAAGCCGATGATGTAGGGCGATAAGTTAGTACAGTTAGGCAGATGCTTCCAGGCAACCGAGGGGACAGGTGATGTGTCTCACCCGCACTCGGTGACCGCTCGCCTTCTGGCGGCTCTCCCCAAAAGTGCCGGAAGGAAGAAAGAACTAAGCCATGCAGGTTAGATGTGTTCGCTCCCCCGTCAGTTCGCTCTCTGACAGGTTCAATCTGGAAGTGCTGTGGCCGTTAATCTGCAACCTAACTCTCACCTCAGGCAGGCTGTGACAGTGGGTCTGTGGTTTCTTGGGGCCGAATGCCAGCAGGGGCAGTGCAAAGGGCTTTCAGGGTATCAGGGGTTATCAGGGTTTTGGAGGATTTGAAAGCTTGAGAGGCCTCACCCTAGGTTCTTGGAATTGAGAGTTATTGGCCCCAAGCGATCACACATCTTCATGACATGCTGTCGTCAGCAATTGAAAGGGCCCCTACAGCTGACAACGGCCCGTATGCCCAGCACCGGTTTGGGGGGTTATAGGCAAGAGGCCTTCCAAGGTTTTTGTTAGATTAGACCTAGCCAGGAAGCAGGTGGTGTTCCGTCGGAATCCCTGGGATGCGCTGCCATGTGCTACTTCTACTGGTGCTACTGGCGTCTGCTCAGCGCGCCGCTGCCGAGATCGCCTTAGGCGCACTGGCAGGCTGGACGGTCAACGATGAGGGCGAGTTCGTTGCCACCATCGCGGCGATGATCGACTACGGCAGCTCGGCAAAAGGCCACTTGGGAAACGTCATGTTTTGTTCTCCATGTGGGAAAGCCTATGTGAGCCCCCTATAAACTCGGAATATCCCCAAGTCCTCAACCCCTAATGAAGAAATGATAGTGGGGCACTTCGAAGTGCCGAGGAAAGCATTGGGACGCTGCTCTGGCGGCGCGGTTTGGCCCGCCCGTGATCGAGATCCCTGGAGGCCCTGCGCGCAAACTTGGGGGAAAACCCGAGAAAAACCCGTGAAAAGAAGAGCCCGAGATCAAATTCTCCATAAAAAAGGACTTCTTTTTAGACTCAGAGAGAGCTTTGCGCAAAAAGTAAAAAGTGCGGGGGGCGCCGCTCCCCAAACAACAGCGTTGCGGAGGCGTGCATGCGAACGGGAGCTCCGTGACCATGCGCGTGGGGACCTCGCATCTGACCCCCGACATCGGCTTGGCCACGGCTTTGGACATGATGCTGGGCCTGGACGGGGTGCCTCAGCTTTTGAAAAGTTGCAAAGGGGGCCACCGAGGCCTCTCTTTGAGGGTTCCTGAAGGCCTTTCAGGGACGTTTAGGGCCCTTGAGTTTGTTCTGCTGAGAAGTAGCGGGTCGGTGGTTCTTTTCGCCAAGACGTCTGAAAAGCATCTTTCAGCCTCCGCATTCTAAGACAGCTCTGCAACACACCGCAACCTTGCTGCAGCATCGATGTGCCTAACATGCGAATTGCCGCCCTCCCCCCCCCCTCCCAAGTACCCTTTTGTTTCTAGAAAGGACCCTCTCATGTTTCATCTAAGTCGCAAACCCCAAGGTTCATGTAGGTTCGTGGTTAGTTTGGGCAGCGGGGGGTATGAGTAATCATTCTGGGTACCCCTAGAACGCCCCCTGAAACCTAAACCCTAAACCCTAGACCCTAAACTCGAAACCCTAAACCCTAGACCCCAAACCCTAGAAACCCTAAACCCTAAACCCTAGAAACCCTAAACCCTAAACCCTAAACCTAAAAGCCTTAAAAGCCCTAAAAACCCTAAAAACCCTAAACGGCCCCATGGAGTCGGGCGCAGCCCGAGGTGCAGCCAGCCGTGGGATTGGTTGGGGCCCGCGCCTCCAGCATCTCCATGCCCATAGCGACCTTAGCTGCCGTCCGGCAAGTGCCGCAGATCCTTGGTGGGATGAGCATTTAGGGTTTAGGGTTTAGGGTTTAGTTTAGGGTTTAGGGTTTAGGGTTTAGGGTTTGGGGCTTTGCCAAGGTTTTTCTTTTTTGCGTTCTTTGAGAGTGCTAAAGTTTTTGTGAGGGCTTTCAGGGTATTACCTGGAATCCCTTCTGAATGAGCCCTCAAAGCTGAAGCCCGAGACCAGCCGAGGATTTCTTTCGGCTCCACCAACCCATCCCTCTCCAACAAGGCAGGGGGACACGAAAGAATTCACAGAAACCACTTCGAGGAGTTTTAAGAAGTTCGGGCTGGCTCTCAAGGGTTGGGGGAGTTCGTATCCTCTTGGGATTTTGTGCTCACAGTCTTGATTTTCGAGTCCGGGGAGGGACGCTTTTCGGGTTTTTGTGTTTCTGTGTCGAAATCTCAATCTCCAAGGCCGTGTATCCCTACTTCATGCGAGTGGTGCCGCCAGACACTGTACAGGGCCTGGCGTTATGGAGCTGGATCGTGCATTTCAACGTAGCCTCGGCCATCTGCTTCTACTCCACGGCGGCCCAGCTTTTCAGTTGTTTTCGGGGTGAGGGCCAGTGGGCCCCAAACCCGGAACCTTAGACCTTAAACCCTAAAGAGCGCTACCAAGTGTTGGAAACACAACAGCCATCCATGTTTACTACTCTTCTTCTTGGAAATCTTGCTTAATCCGAGCACCTGTTTAATTCATACCCCCACATTCAAAGAAATCTTTTTTTGTCCGGAAGCCCGCCGGAAGACTACTTTCCATTAGGGGGGATTTCGTATGGGGAAAACCCCCACATTTAAAGACATTGTTTTCGGGGGGTCCAAAAATCTGTCGGCAGGCTTCTTGTTTTGCTTGCGGAGATGCGAAGCTACAGCACCTCAGGGATCTGCAGCCTATTGTTTTTAATAGAGAATCAATGCAGGGCCATGGTCCAACTATTGCGGAACCCTGCCTTCCTCCTTGCGGTTGGGCCCCCCCCCCCCCCAATTAAACAGGTGCTCGGATTAAACCCTAAACTCGAAATCCTAAGCCCTAAGCCCTAAAAAGAACCCTAAACCCTAAACTCCTAAACGCTGGGGGGGGGCGCTTGCTGGACTGCCTCCTAGGAGCCCTTTGGTCAAGGCCTCCTGGGCGTCATGGAGGACTCAGCCGGGCCGGTACTTGGAGGTTCAGGGTACTTAGAACCCCAATGATAACCCGAAACCCTAAACCCTAAACCCTAAACCCTAAACCCTAAACCCTAAACTGCACTTACAAGCCCCCCTAGTCCTCTAAGCAGGTCAGAAGTAGACTTATAATTGGGGGTTATAAGTACTCATGAACCTCCAGGTAGGTGCCTTTTTGGGGCATTCTCTAAGGGTAGTACTTTTGACCATGTAACTACCCTGAGAATTCCGGCCGTTTCGGGAATGGGGGGGTGTTGAGGTTTTAGCGCTTGGGGTATTGGGGCCGGGGGTTCACATGCTTCGAAATGAGCAACTCAAGCGCTCTGGGATTGTTTTGGATCCCCATCCCTGGGCCCAACACTAAAAACCCAGTCAATCCCCAAATCCCTCATCTTTCAATCTTTCCAACCCTGGGTTTGGGGTTTGTTGAGTTTGGGGGGTTGTTACAGGGTTGACAGTCGACAGGCGTCAATTGTAGCGGGGCTTCCTTGGGCTTGGGGTTCCCCCAAGCCGCGCCCGCTCGCGCTGTATTTGTCTCTGGAGTATGGTCCCCGTGTCCTCGGACGCTTACTAAGTGGGGCATGAAGATGAACCAGCCTTTCGTCCCCCTTCACTCCAAACCCTGAAAATCCTATGTGCCCTTAAATCCTCAGCTGTCCCAAGCCTTCTGAGGAGAGTCGGAGAATCAAGGGCGTTTAGGGTTTTTAGGGTTTAGGGTAAGCGTTCAGGGTTTAGGGTTTAGAGTTTAGGGTGTAGGGTTTAGGGTTTAGGGTTTAGGGTTTACTCCTCTACCAGGACCTTGCCCGAGAGGAGGGCGAGCCGGACCGCGTGAGGGGCCACGCGCTGCCGTACAATCCCCAAGGGATGTCGGACGAGGCCCCCGTACTGCATACCCTAAACCCTAAACACGAAACCCTAAACCCTAAACCCTAAACCCTAAACCCTAAACCCTAAACCCTAAACACGAAACCCCTTGTGGAAAAGAAGCTCAGGAGGTGTTCAGGCCTCAGGGGGGGGGGGCAGGGGGGGGTGTATTGAGGGTTCAGAGCTCCCGGAGAGGTTAGGGGGCAACGGTCGAGCAGTAGGAATCCAGAAGCCAAAACTGCTGTACAACCTGCGGCGGCAGTAAGACTCGCGATACGTCGTTTAGGGTTTAGGGTTTCGGGTTTAGGGTTTAGGCCAACATCCATTTTTCCTAGCGCCCGCGCCCCCAATGCTAACCCCCAAACCTGACACTCGAAATCTGGGGTTAGGCGCTTCGGGCTTAGGGTTTAGGGTTTAGGGTTTCGGGTTTAGGGCACATCTTCGCAAGTCTTGTTCCATGTCTTCATCCGTTGAACATTGGAGGTCACCGAGATCCTTGAGTATCCCAAGCCTCTCAGATACCCTAAAACCCATTAACCCGTAAACCCTAAACCCTAAACCCTAAGCCCTAAGCCCTAAGCCCTAAACCCTAAACCCTAAACCCTAAACCCTAAACCCTAAACCCTAAACCAAACAGAACCCTCAGAGGAGGCCACAAAGGTCATCCACGAGCTCAAGCTTCTGGGTCCCCGCTTCGTGATATTGGCCCTGGCGCCTGGCCCAGCTACCGAGATCTTGCCGGTCCTCTTGCCTGCAGATGTGGGGTGTTCAGGGTCTCGGAACCTGGAGTTTGGCGGGAGGGGGGTTAAGGGTTTAGGGTTTAGGGTTTAGGGTTGAGGGTTGCTCCAAACATACCACTTTCTTGGTGGGGGCTCTGATGACCACGGGTTTTTATGGCATGAGGTAACCCCCCCCCTCTCCCCCCAATTTTCGGGAGACACCCTGCGGTTTGTGAGGGCTCTGGGGAGGAGAGGGGTGGGGATGTCAAGGGGAGCAAGAGCTGTGCAAGCCCCAAAGAAGCAGCCACCTACAAAACCCGAAAACACCCAAAACACCCAAACCCTAAACCCTAAACCCCGAAACCCCGAAACCCCGAAACCCGAAACAACCCCCCAAAGCCCCAAAAACGCCAAGCAAAGGTCTTGCAAAAGGAGGGGCTGATGGGTCCGGATTGGCAGTTGGCAGCTTGGCTCCGTGGGCTTCGGGGAGCTTCTCAGGGGTGGGTTGAGGGGCTCGAGGGGCTTGAAGGGGTTCAAGGGCTTGAAAGGGTTCAAGGGGGCTTGAAGGGGTTGGAAGGGGCTGGAAGGGGTTGAAGGGGTTGAAAGGGGTTGAAAGGGGTTGAAGGGGGTTGAAGGGGGTTGTGAACTGGCTGAATTGGTGGAATTGGTTGAGGGGTAGTGAGAGGCCTGAGGCTTTGGTGGAGGGGGTTCAGGTCTCGGGGTGCTTTGGCTGCTCTTGGGGTTCAGGGAGGTCTTCGGTTCAGGGTTCAGCGGAGCGCAGGTGGGCACCGACACCATTTCCCCCACGAACCCTCTCCTCTCCGTCGGGGTCATGACCTTTCTTCCTTACGGAAGCTCGGGCAGTTTAAGATTTTTTTCTTGCGTTTGGCCCTTGGTTTTGGAAGCACCATGACATGTTTTGAATGGTCATAACCATAAAGCTGATAGAGCCTTTCCCGGACCAGTCACATGAGAGCGCTCAGCTGCACCTCGACAAACCTCGTTCGCAACAAGCCTGGCTCGTGCAGCGGGAGCACCAGTACTGTCCCATTACTGTTCTTCTACTTCTTATCATTCTTGGAAGGATTACGTATATATCTAATCATAATTGTGAAATTATCATTCTTCGAAGAATAAGTATACTTCGAAATTGTTCCTGTTGTGAGTTTTTTTAACATTCCCTGCCCTCGACGTGGCGCTCCTCGCAAGGGTCTCCTGTACTACTACTCGCCCCTGTCACCAGGTCTCCCCCACACAAAAATGCAGGGAATCCCTCAGAGCCTGGAGTGACCCAAAGAATCCCGCATAGTATCCCCGCACCCCCAGAATATGTCCCACAGAGAATCCCACAAAAGCATCCCTACTTCAGAGACTCACGCAGCGGTGTCCCTGGAGTGCCCGCCCTGCGCATCCCAACTCCCTGGAGTGTGCCCACCGCAACCCCAAGAGACTTGAGAATATTCCCGTAGAGCGTTGCTGGAGCACCAGTTTCCGGGTGGGGATGCTCGAAGATCATATTACACTCATTATTCTGATTGCTGTTGCTGTTGTTGTTCTACTCTTTTCGTCATTGATTATGACGATCATGATCACGATCAGGTCTAGTTCACGGCTTCTGTGGTCGGCAGTTGAGTTCGGCTCATGTCGTCGTGCCCCTTGTAATGCAGACGCTTCACGCGGAACCAGCTCACCACTCGTACCACGCGAGACGCGATATCGTGGCACCAACAAGGGGCCGCTGCCGGACCAAAAGCAACATCGCTTTCTAGCCAACCCCCCCCACCCCCCTCCCCCTTTCGACCCCCCAAGCAACAACAGAGTAGCAGCCAAGGAAAAGGCGATCTCTTCCCGACTTTCCAGGCGTTTTGGTCCCGGCTTGAGCCGGAGGACATCATTGGCCCGGAAGCCAAAACCAAGTACAGGTTGGATGCGATGAAGCGGCCCCTCTCCGATGAGCTGGTGAGGGACACCATGTCAAGGCTCCAGGAGGCCAACTCCTGGGCCGCCCTGACCTTCGACGCCGTCTACTCCTTCCTGATAGCCATCAACCAGCGGCTTTTCTGACTTTTTTGCACTAGGAGAGAGGAGGGAACCAGCGAGTAATGCGCTAGAGGGACTTCTCCCTTATTGATGTGTGTGTGTGTGTGTGCTTTTGTTTTTTGCCTTGCGGGCAGCAAAAAGCGGATGTGAGGCTCCTGCAGAGAGGGGTCCCGGAGCACGAGATCCAGGGCCCAGTCCTCTTGGAGGAGCTAAACCCCTCCTAAACCCCTAAACCCCTAAACCCCTAAACCCCTAAACCCCTAAACCCCTAAACCCCTAAACCCCTAAACCCCTAAACCTCCTAAACCCTAAACCCTGAACCCTAAACCCCTACACCCCTAAACCAACCATAAACCCTAAACCGGTCCGCCTGGAGGAGCTCCGGAAGCTGACCTTCGAAGGGGCCTCTGGCAGCATCGCCTACAACGAGGACGGCGACCGCATGGGCTTCTTCGAGATGATGACCCTCTGACTCTGATTGTTCTGATGAAGCATACAAAGTCATTATTATGATTATTTGTAATAATACAATTACAATTACTACCCTCTCTCTGATTGTTCTTGAAGCATAAAATGAATCACAAAAAATCGGTTCTTTGAAGGATGCTAGTTATTAAAACTCTTATTCTTATTCTTATTCCTATTCCTGTTCTTATTCTTATTCTTATTCTTATTCTTATTCCTATTCTTATTCTTAGCATTAATACTTTTTAATACTAATTTTAATAATGATAATCAATATTATAATTGCTGTTATTGTTATTATTGTTAGTATTACAATTACTATTAGGAGTATTTTACTGTTTTTTGCAATCTTTTCGTAATAAGAAGTCGCCAGGAATACTCGACATCCCCCAAAACCTACATCCAAAAAGACCCAAACCCCCCCCCCCTCCCTTCCCCCCGATCCCACACTTTTCTGTGTCTCTGAGGGTCTTGGAGCCGTCGGCCGTAGGCCAAGAAAATCGAAGGCCCTGAGCAGCAAGAAACCATTCAAACCCTAAACCCCCGAAACCTCTAAGCACCCCACATAAACCCCAAACCCTCGAGCCTACACCCTAAACCCTGAACCCCCAAACCCCATAAACCCCATAAACCCTCTAAACCCTCTAAACCCAACAACCCTATAAACCCTTCTAAACCCATCCAACACCTATATAAACAACCCTCTAAACCCTAATCACCCCCCCTAAAGAACCCCTCTTTCAAAGGAACGTGCAGCCCGGCAGTGGCTCCAACCAAGCCGTGGGTGCCGCCATCTTCAGCGCGACGACCCGGGGCTTCACCTTCACCAGCGACCTGGTGCCCCTTGGGGGGCCCAATTTTTAGGAGGAGATTCTGGAAGTTTGGAGGGTTTCTAGGGGCTTTCTACAGGGGTTTTCTACAGGAGCTTTCTATAGGGGGTTTCTAGGGGGGTTTCCGGGGTTTTTTAGGGGGGGTTTTTGAAGTTTTTAGGGGGTTCTCGGGGTTCCCCCACTGGGTCCTCGCCCTCACCCTCCCTGAAGGTCTGGATGGACGGATCTACAGGGGACTTTCCTCCAGCGCGGCTGTCGTCCTGCGGTCCGGGATTTTACAAAGATGCGTGGCTTTGAGGGTTTCGCGGTGCTTTCGAGGCTTTGGAGGCTGTGGGTTTAGGGTTTAGGGTTTAGGGAGTCGAGGTTTGGTGGGCTTCTAGGGTTTCGGGTTGGGGGTTTAGGAGTGAGGGGTTCGGATTCGTGTGAAAAAGATAATCACCGCATGGCCTCTGAAAGGGGTACACCCCTAAATATCCAATCCGCTCTTTGCGGCCCTTTGCTTTAAGGCTTCTTAGGATCTAGGGGGCTAATGCAACCACAAACAGTTCCTGAAACTCACCACAAAAATCCATGCAAGAATCCCTGAGGCGTAAAGCCCTCAGAGCCCTCGAAAAGCTTTCCAAACCCCTAAACCCTAAACCTTAAACCCTAAACCCTAAACCCTAAACCCTAAACCCTAAACCCTAAGCCCAGGATGAGAGCCGGCAGTGTCGGATCTGTCCCAGGGGATGCTCGGCCTCAGGGTCAGCTCCCATTTCCTTTTTACGTTGGGTGTTTTTTCGTCCTTTACTTGATTGGGTTAAGGGTTAAGGGTTAAGGGTTTAGGGTTTAGGGTTTTTTGGGACAAACTTTCCCCGAAACTAAGGGTTTTTCAGAGGGAGTTCTTGGGTTTGGGGGTTCAGGACCCCCAGAAAGCACTGCGCAAGAATGCCCCAGACCCTTTGTGTACCCCTGAAACTAACAGTCCTTCATAGGGAAAAGAGTATAACCCCCTACTAGAATCCCTATTCAGGACTGTAAACCCCTAAACCCTAAACCTGAAACCCTAAACCCTAAACCCTGAACCCTAAACCCTAAATCTTCAACCCTAAACCCTATAAGAGACCAGGAAGCCGATGCTCAGGGGAGTCCTTGGCCGTATGCCCCAGGGGCACCTTTGCGAACAGCACGGGGATGTCGAACTGCACCCAGTGCCCTCCAGGCCCTGCCTTGCCTCGGTGTAGGGTTTAGGGTTTAGGGTTCAGGGTTTAGGGTTGAGGGTTGAGGGTTTAGGGTTGAGGGTTTAGGGTTGAGGGTTTAGGGTTTAGGGCTTAGGGCTTGGGGCTTAGGGTTTAGGGTTTAGGGCAGTTTTGGGGGGCTTTTGGATATCTTTTTTTCGGGGGGGGGGGGGGGGGGGGGGTGTAGGGCTTCAGGGGTGAGCGCCCTTAAGGCCCCCCTGAGCCCCTAAACTTTGAAACCCTACAACACCCTGAGCCTGAGCCCCACGAAGGGCTTCAGATTTTCAGAAAGCAGCCCTGAGTCACCTTCAGCCACCTCTCTCCATGGGGTTTAGGGAGCCCCCCATGCTAAACTCGTGTAGGCATTTTGGGGGTCCTCGGCGCTCAGCCCTTCCTGAAACCTGAACCCAATCGACCTTCTAAACCATTCTAAACCACAAACCCTCTTCTAAGCCTTGTAGACCCTAGCAAAATTAAACCTTACACCCTGAAAAGACGCCTGTTGAGGCCACTTCGCGAGAGACGTCGGCTCCTTCGAGTGCAGCCCCTGCCTCCCGGGCTACGAGGCCCCCGAGATGGGCCTGGAGACTTGCATCAGGCCGGCAGAAGGGCCGAGAGAGCTCGCTTTTGCAGCCTTTTGGGTTTTTGCCTTGTGTGCGAAGTCAGGAGTCAGAAGCAATCTCCCCCCCTCCCCATTTTGTTTGTGGGGTTTAGGGTTTGTAGGGTTTGTAGGGTTTGTGGGGTTTAGAGTTTAGGGTCTAGGGCCTTGAAGGGCTTTTTCAGGGAATTCGAAGTAACAATGAGGGCTCTCGCTTGAGGTGCGAGCCGGGCTCCTACATGCCCTCGGCGCGGGGCACGTCCTGCCTGGCCTGCGGGCTCCAGCAGATCACCCGGGAGAGCGGCGCCGAGTCCGAGGCCGAGTGCCTCTGCGCGGAGGCGACCTTCATGTGCCTCGGAGTTCCCCCCCCCCCCCCTAGGATTTCTTTTTAAGTCTCTTTACATTTTGGCTATTTTTCACTTAGAACCCAAGGGAATATTGAGAAAGAGTATGCTTATATGAAAAGGCTCTAAGAGGGGAGCCGAGGTGCAGGCACACCAACACCCTGGAGCACTCCGAGCCCGAAGGCTGCATCTCCTGCCCGGAGGGCCTGCGATGCCCGGAGGGCCTGGGCCCTCCCCTGCAGCAGGAGGGCTACTGGGCCGACCCGGAGGACTTCCTGGCCTCCTTCACCTGCGAGGCCTCGGTCCTGCGCTGCCGCAACAAGCACGAGTGCCCGGCAGGCAGGCGTCTTCCGGGTTCAAGGGCCTATTTATGGGCTCCCTTTTTTTGTCCCAACTTGTGCCCTGGTCGCACTCCCCGCGCGACGCAATGCGCGGCGTGACGCGCTGCGAGCGAGCTCGCTAGGTTTATAAGTGCGGCGCTGCGAATGGCTACGCCACAGGCTAGACGCACTCGTGCTGCTTTGTGTGCACGGAGCGGTCTCTTTTGCACGCTGCCCTTTTTTTCGCCACCCTATTCCAACACACCCTCTCGAGGCCCAATTAGGCGTTTTCCCAATTCCCAGGGCCCATAAGCCTTCCACAATGATTTCAAGTTGGGATGTTCCCCCTTATACTAACACCTTAGCAGGAATTATCATCGGGGACACTCTAATCCCCATTAAGGACTAGTACAGGGGGGGGGAACATCCCAAACTCCAAGCCAAGTCCTGATCACAGGGGCCATGGGGCAATGCGCCAGTGGGCGCCAGGGCCTCGCATGCAACAACTGCCAGAGGAGTCTGCGGGCTTTGCATTCAGGGGAGGTTGAGAGCTTTTCGTGTCGTTTAGACTTGTTGAGGCCCCGAAACCCCCAAAACCCAAAAACTTCTCCCAAGCCCTTTAAGCCCCGAAAGCCCCCAAGCCCGAGATTTGGCCAAGAGCCCCCCTGTGAGGAACCATTACCCTGTGGAAGATGGCCCCAACATGGGGACGTGCCAGCCCTGTGGGGACTCTTGGGCTAGTCTCGGGCTCCTTGTTGCAGGTTTGATGAGCTATGATGATGCAATCTGGTGTCTTCTCGCATATATTCTCATACAGTACACGATGACATGAGTCGATTCGAGTGAAGTACGCTAGAACACCTGCTAGTAGGTCTAGGTTTCCTTCCTAAACCCAAGTCGAAAAGCTTACTGCCAAGCCCAAACCCGACCTAAGGAGAGCGACTATCTTCCCGGTGTCTTGCTCTTCATCTTCGTGCCGACGGCCCTGGTTGCCGTCAGCCCCTGGGATCCCTAATATGCGACGTCTCCTTTGTTGATTTTTTGCTTTTCTTTTCCCCTCAAGGTTGGGCTTTTTCCCTTGCAAGGGAGCCCCCTTAGCCACCCTACGAACCACATGCAAGCCCTCCTTGACCCCTTGAAGCCCTCAACCCCTCCCCCCCCTCCCCCAAAAACAAAAAAAACCTAAAAATAACACGACCCAAAGCTCCCAACAACAGATCTCGGGCGAACCCCAGGCATGATGAAGATGGAGCCCAGCCAGCTCAGCCCCTACGCTGCAGCTTCGGGTAAGAGAAAGCGCGCACCTAAGCCCTAAGCCCGGAAGCTTCCACTAAAAGATAGTGCTTATGTGAACATGTGTTAAAGGCACAAGCAGATCGAATTTCATAGTACGTAATATCAGGAATATCATATCACTGTATTCCCCTAAAGCCCACAAGCCGTCTCCCGAACTTTTAGACGACACGGGCTGCTGTTTCCTCCAAGGAGCCCCTGGGCGCCCCCTCAAACTCTCAAAAGCCCTCCTCCACCGCAAGAAAAAGTGCCAAGCTCCGAACCTCCTCTCTAGAGGGCCTAAACGTCAAAGCCCTAAAGTCTCGAAACCCCAATTACCTCCATCCCAAAGCCTTCTCGACCCCAGCACTTGTGGGCTTCGGTGGGTTTCAGGTTCTGAGGCTTAGGGTTAAAGGGAGGGTTTTGCGGGTTTGGAGACCCCTAAACCCTAAACCCTAAACCCTAAACCCTAAACCCTAAACCCTAAACCCTACACCCTACACCCTAAACCCTAAACCCTCAATTGATCTGAAGACCGGTTTGTTGGAAGGCTTCAACTTGCTGACGGCCGCCGCAGTGGCGAGCCAGCTGATCGTGGCCATCCAGGCCACCCCGAAGCCCTTTGCAAACTGTAGGGTTCTAGGGTTCTACGGTTTTAGGGTTCTAGGATTTTAGGGTTTTAGGCTTTTATGGTTGTTTTAGGGCTTAAGGGTTACATCAAAACCCCCAAGCCCCATATTCCCCAAAACCCTATTCCCTTTATACATATATGCTCATGCATATGACGTTTTCTGCATATCTACATATAGAGAGAGATATATAGATGTGCATGGCTTGCAGTTGAGGGGTTGAGGGTTTTCGCTGGGGGATTGAGGCTTGTGGGTTTCGGGTTGAGGGCTGTCCACCGCCGGTTTGGGCCACAGGCCCGGAGAGCTTGATGACAGCAGCCTATGTTGAATGAGCTGCTTCTGGCCTTCTCCTGAAAAATTACCAGCCTTGTCACCTCAGAATCAATTGCATGACTTACAATGTGTAGTCCACAAAATCTTAGTCTGACCCCAACCTTAAACCCTAAACTGCATATGCTACGCCTCTTACTTTGAGGTTCATGGTACTTATTATCCAATGATAACTGTACTTATGACTGATATTAGGGCACTTAAAGGGGCTTACAAGTGGGTTCTCAGCACAGTTAGAAGTGTTTAATAAAGTACCCCTTAGCCCTAAGCCCTAAGCCCTAAGCCCTAAGCCCTAAACCCTAAACCCTAAACCCTAAACCCTGAACCCCTTTAAGTACCATGAACCTCCAAGTAGAGATGTTTTGGGCTGTTTTTTTTTGTGTTGGACGTCAGGCGCTGGGCTCCATGCAGCAACTTGGAGATCTTGCTCTGAGTGTAGGGATTTGTTAGGGTTGAGGCTTTATGGTTTCGGGTTTCGGGTTTAGGGGTTTAGGGTTTAGGGTTTAGGGATTTAGGGTTTAGGGGATGTTCCGGCCGGCCAGGAGTGCTGCTTTTAGCTTTCAATTCCCTGCCTTGCCTTTGTGTGAGTTTTGGGGACACGGGGTTATCATTGGGTTACATGGTACAGTTATAATTAGTTACTAAGTATCATGAACCTCCAAGTGGGCACCGCCCAAGATTTCGAACCTCCTCTGAACACACGCCGGGTTTTCGTCTGTTGCGGCACCCCTCCTCCCCAACCCTAAACCCTAAACCCTAAACCTTAAACCCAAAGCCTAACCCCCCCCCCAAACCCCCCCCAACAAGCAAGTGACGTCGGTCGGGAGACTTCCATCGCCCCATCCGCTGATATCCGCTGTCTGGGTCATCGGGTCTCCCTCACTTGGTCCTCGAGAGATGGGGGCTACTCCTTTTGTCGGGAGTGCAACTTTGTGCCACCTTCCACACCGATATTCGCTGTGGAAGCCTTCCGCGGAATGGTCAAGAAACTCTAAGAACCCGAACCCGACAAACCCTTGGGTTTGGGGACCCTTTTCAAAGATCCTTTAAGGGAAAATTTTGGGCTAGATGAGAAGTACATGAAGGGAAACCCTTAAAGACCCTAGTAACGCGAATAGCCCTAAACCCTAAACCCTAAACCCTAAACCCTAAACCCTAAACCCTAAACCCTAAACCCTAAACCCTAAACCCTAAACCCTAAACCCTAAACCCTAAACCCTAAACCCTAAACCCTACCAAGGCAGCTCGCCATCGAGTGGCAGCATCCTGTGAAGGGCCTCCTGGAGTTCACGGTGCCCCGGCGGCGCTGCTTCGAAAAGAGGGGGGGGGATCTCTTAGCAGGGGTTTAGGGTTAGGGTTTAGGGTTTAGGGTTTAGGGTTTAGGGTTTAGGGTTTAGGGTTTAGGGTTAGGGGCGCTCAGGGGGTTGGGGGGTTGGGGGGGCGGGGGTTTTGAAGAGGGCTTTGCTGGGGAGCTCGGGGGTTTGGGGCTGTGGGTTGCTTGGATTCTTTTTGGTTTTTAATTGTGTTCAAGTGCTCAGAAGCTTGAGCATCGAGTTTAAGGTTGTTTTTGGCTACAAGTTGTATCCGTGTGGGAATAGGCAGGATGTGATGTTCCCAAGCGGAAGACCCCAAAGCCTTTTCAATCCGCCTGTGCCCGATTCAGTCGAGGAAGCGCCTTACTTCAGGTGTCTGCTTTAAGTATGCGTTGACATTTTCGACCATGTCAGCTTTCAAGCTCCTAGGATCGAGAGCATGCCAGCTTCCACCTCAAGCACCAACCCCAAGTTCTTCGCACGTGGCTCTGCCCCCCCCCCCCCCCCCCCTCTCCTTCCCCACACTGTGCTGTCTGCTCATGGAGCCAGGACATTCTGACCCTGGACTTCGACTTCGTCCGCATTACCTGCCACTTGTTTGCTTGAGAGGATGGGAAAAGGTTCAGCAGGGGGGGGGCACTCCTAGGGAGGCCCCCCCCCCCCCCAAGAAGAGCCCAATTAAAAGCAATAAACCCTTCTGGTGCTCTTCCCCAAACAAAAAGGGCAGGGCCCCTTTTGTAAGGCTCGTTAAAAGGGATGGGTGAAGGTTTGCCGCGCCCCCGCTGCTCTCTTTAAAGGCCTCTCGGGCACCGACAGCCCGGTGCTGAAGTTCGTCATGCGGCTGCTGACTTGCCCGACTCTCTGCGCCATCCTCTTCGCTTCGCCCCTGGGGCTGAAGAAAGCTAGAGAGTATCCGAGAGCTGAGGGCTTCGAATTTTGAAAGGCTAGGGTGAAATGCTTTGGACCTTTTAACCTTTAGACTTGGGGGGGGGCTGCGCAACAAACCCTCCACAGCGCCCCCCCTAAAAGCCCAACAACCCTCGCAAGGCCCCCTAAAAACTCAAAGGCCCAAAGAGCAACCCTCCTCTTTCCCCCTGCCCCTCCCTACTTGGCACCCCCCTTTAAGGAACCCTAAAACCCTAAAACCCTAAAACCCTAAAACCCTAAAACCCGAAAACCCGAAACCCTAAACCCTAAAACCCTAAAACCCTAAAACCCTGAAACCCTGAAACCCTGAAACCCTAAAACCCTAAAACCCTGAGGTGGTTCCTGGGCAAGCTCCTGGGCCGCCCGAAGCCCCTGGACAGCCTCCTGAACCTCTGCGGCCTCTGCCTCTTTGCCTTCTTCCTTTCGACCCTCGGCCCTTAGGGGCGGGGGGGGGGGTTTGTTCTTTTTGGTTTCCTTTTTTGAGAGAGAGACAGAGAGAGAGAGGGAGAGGGAGAGGGAGAGGGAGAGGGAGGGAGAGGGAGGGGGAGGGGGGAGGGGAGGGGGGAGGGAGGGGGAGGGGGAGGGGGGTGGAGGGGGAGGGGAGGGGGAGGGGGAGGGGGGGAGGGGGAGGGGGAGGGGGAGGGGGAGGGGGAGGGGGGGAGAGAGAGAGAGGGCTCTTGAGCGGGCTTCCTTCGGGTTTTTTGTAGGGCTGAGGGTTGAGAGGTTGAGGGGTAGAGCACCCTGGACCGGGCGGCAATCATGCGGCGGGCGGGTGGGGGGGTTTGGGATTTATGCCCGAGGCATGGGGCTTAGGCCCTGAAGTCCTGCAACTGCCTAAGCCCTAAACCCCTACTAGACGCTCGACCCCAAGCCCACAACCTGCTGTAACCCCAAAAAACTCCTCGCTATTAGCTGTGCAAAGTGTCGGGTAACGACTGCTCCCTGAGGATCACTTTGGCCACGTTGAGCCCGCTACGTTGCGTGCCGAATCCGAACGGAGACCGAGCTGAACGTGGGAGCAGGGTAGGGTTGAGGGTTGAGGCTTGAGGTTTGAGGGTTTAAGGCTTAGGCCTTTCGAAACACGTGCTCGGGCTGAGGCACAGGACTCAGAAGAGGCTCTGAAACCCAAACGGGCCCGTTGCTCCCCCTTACATGTCAGTACAACCTCCCAGAAACAGCCCTCAACTTGTATCGGAAGTGTGTGCCTAAGACGTTCTTGGGCTTTTGGGCAAAGGAACCAGGTCCCCCGATTCGAAAAGGCGCCAGGCGAATGGCCCCCAAGAAACACCCGGAGCCTTGAACTTCCTTGAAGTTTAGGGTTTAGGGGTTCAGGGTTCAGGGTTCAGGGTTCAGGGTTCAGGGCTCAGGGCTCAGGGTTTAGGGTTGCCAAACCCAATCCTCGAGCCCAAGCACGAAGAGCCCAGGGACCAGCTCGCTGATCACGGATCCAGGCGGGCAGTTCTCTACTTTGGGGGCTCAGGGCCTTTTGGCATCTTTCGGGTCCACCCGAGATGGATCCCAAAATAGCAGGGCCACACTTAGAGAGACCCTAAACCCTTCTTGTGGCCGGCTGTGGGGTCTGGGTTGACTCCCCGGGCCCGAAGGCCCTCAAACGTCAAAGCCGCCTCATCATGGAATCCCACGCCCCTGCACAAACAAACTGAGCCCAAAATATCCCTTTCTCCGATAACCCCGAACCCCCCACCGCCACAGGCATCCCCTTCTTTCTTCCTAAGCCCTCAACCCCTAAACCCGAAACCCTAAGTCTCCAATCCCCCAAACCCCCACAGGCATCCTGTGCTACGTGTCCAACGAACATCTCGCCCTGGTCGGCCTGGCCGCCGCGGGTGTTCTGAGCCAGCCGGTGCCTTCGGCTCAACTTTCGGGGGGGTTTAGGGTTTAGGGTTTAGGGTTCTTAGGGTTCAGGTTTAGGGTTCAGGTTTCGGGTTCAGGGTTCCCCCGGTACCGGCTAGTTTCGGAACCCCCTGGAAAAGGTGGAGGATTGAAAGCTTGGGGCTTTAGAGAAGCCGAGTCCGACTGGTCTTTTTGGGGCAGGTTTTGGGGCTCCGCAATTCTTTCCCCTTAGGTTCCCATACTCGCGTGGGCCACCTATGCCACCATCAAGTACCCCTCGCGGGTTGCCAGCGGCCGAGCCCTTCGCCGCGTGAACCGCTACCGGTTCATGTTCCACAGGTTCAAGGCGGACAAGCGCCTCGGTACGAGAGGGTTGGTCGCAGGCCTTTTGTGCCTGTTTGTTGTGTGTTGCTCTTCTGTGGTTTGCTGAAGTGTATACAGGGGTGTGGAGCCTAACGGCTTCGTTTTGTTTGTACATAGGTACTGGTACGGCCTGGTCTTGCTGGTCCGCAATGGCCTGGTGGCCACGCTGCCCATCGTGACGGTGGAGATGCCAGAGCTGCAGGTGCCCTCCATGGGCCTGATCCTCCTGGCCAGCGGCGCCTTGCAGGCCCGGACCTACCCGTGGCGCACGGAGCAGGCGAACCACGTGGAGTTGTTGCTCATCGGGCTGCTGATTTTGATGCTCCTGGCTGCTGCCCCGCTGCTGAGCCACGACGTGCAGCGGTCCTCCAACTTGCTGGGCTGGCTCCTCTGCTTCCCGGTGATTGGGGTCATGGTCGTGGGGGCCGCGGCGCTGCTCCGGGCTGGCCTCAAGCACGCCTGGCGCCGGCGCCTCTACGGCATCTTCCTGTGCCACCACAAGGCCTGGGGGGGGCAGAACTGACCGGTTGGGGTTCTCGTGGCTTCTCCTTTCTCGGACCTTGCGAACGCAAGGGCGAAGCCCTCAACCCATGTAAGCCCTCAACCGCCTCAACCGGCTCAACTGCCTAAACAGCAAAACCCTCTAGTTTCAACTCCCCTGAGTTCCCCCCCCTTCTCGAACCACAAGCCTCAGGGCGGTGCCGGCAGCCTCTGCCGACTGGTAAAGAGCCATCGTTGTGATTCAGGGGCGTGATTGGGGGGGTTCATGTATTGGGAACTCTCTCTTTAATGGCAGTTGTTTGGGTTTGCCCGAAGCGTGCCCGATCCTCTAAACTTCTAGCCGCCCCAAGGCCCGACACTTCAAGTTCGACCCCTGAGGTAGTGCGCCCGAGGACTTCCAAAAAACCGAGGGCTTCTTGGGGTTCAACAATTTCAGGGCTGAGATCGCAAAACCTGAACACTTTTCCCTCTCCTCCAGAAAACCCTAAGCGCCTAAAGAACGCTGAAGGCTTTCAAGCCAAATCCTTGAACCCTCTTATCCCTTCCAGGGCCCCGAACTCCGGCGCATTTACAGCCCTTTCTTCACCCCAACCGCCAGCGAAACCGGAGCAAACAACCCGGCCCCTCCCAACATCTCGGATTTGAGCCCAAGGTGGCTGGTACTAGAAAAACGAAGATTCTGCAGGGCCTTGGGAGATTCAAAAGCGTTTCATTTCGACGCGTTTCCATGGCTTGAGAGGGCTGACCAACCGTGCAACCATGTACAGACGGGGCCGCAATCAGGGTTGCCTAAACCCTTGCACCCGAATTCTCAAAGGATTCAGACTCGCACTCCTAAGTTTGTACCTCTAAAGGTTCCCCTTTTAAATGCTCCCTTGAGGGCCCTTAAAAAGGGTCCCCAAAACCCAAGGGGTACAACCTTAAGGGTTAGTGGCAATCCACCGCCCAGGATCCTGATCGCGCGGAAAACCCCTACCCGCGTATTCTTGGACTGCGACCAGTTGGAGAACCTGGACAGGGTTGCGGGCGCATGTCGGCTTCAGGGTTCAGGGGTGCTCTGGAATTATGCAGCAAGAACGGGGGCGACGCCCTAGAGGTTTGTGAATTTTGGCGCCAGGCAGCTAAGGAGGACTCGTCTCAGCTCGGGCGTGTCCTCCTTTGGGAGACCAGGCTTCTGTTGGCGCATCCTGTGCTCAGCAAAAGCCTGAGCAAAGGAACCACCCAGCCCCCAAAACTTCACACAGGACTTTCTCTTCGACATCGTTCGCACCGCTACAAGGAGTGCCACTTCTCGGTTGCTTTGAATTGGGAGGGTTTCACCGTGTGGGGGTTTCCGAACTTCGGGCTACCTTATTGGGGTCCTTATTATAAGGGGATCCTACTCTTTGGGGATCTATGTTGGCGGTCCCCTGTTTTCGGAGTGTGTCTTCAAACGTTGCAGGGGCCTTCAGGGTGCTTCCCCATGGGGTTTTCACGCAATTGGGGGTACGTGGAGTGTTCAGGCAGGCCTCGAAGTACCATAGGCCCGAAATCCAAACCCCTAAACCCTGAACCCTAAGCCCTACACGACACCCTATAAACCCTAAACCCGACACCCGTGCAGGAGTATCGTGGTGGTGCTGACGCCCGAAATCCTCAAGCGCGTGCCTGGGCGGAGTGGGCCAACCTCACAAAGCCTTGAGACCCTCGAGCTTTGGGTGGTCTTGGGCAAAGTGAGACCCTGAACCCTACACTCCTGAAACTCCTGAATCCGAAAACCCTAAACACCCAAAGCCCTTATCAAACCCTAAGCCCTAAAGCCCCCCCCCCCCCTCCCTTCGAAATTTCAAAAATGTCTAAACCCCAAACCCCTAAACTTCCAATCCTCAAGCCGCAAGGCTCGAGAGCCCCTAAGACCCCAACTTCGAAACCGCAAACCCCAAACCCCAAACCCTAAACCCTAAACCCTAAACCCCAAACCCTAAACCCTAAACCCTAAACCCTAAACCCTAAACCCTAAACCCTAAACCCTAAACCCTCAACCCCCAGAAGCGGCCCGAAGAGCCCGAAGAAGGGCTCGGCTAGTAGGGGTGCAGGGCACCTTCCTTTTGTTTTTTTGGGTGGGGGGGGGGGGTTTCTTCCGATTCCCTTTCTTGAAAGTAACACGCCCCTGAGATGGGGTTTAGGGTTGAGGATTTGGGTCTAAGGGGGGTCCAGGGCCAGTGGGAGAATTCTTGGCGGGTTCGAAAGTTGGGGAGGGGATTGTCGCTTCCTGCGCTGAGGTGTGGTGCGCCGGCGAGATCACCACCGCCTTCAAGACCCCTGGCTTGTGAAGCAACTTAAACACTGGGGTGGTTTAGGGTTTAGGGTTTAGGGCTTGTTATGATGTTTGCACACTTCCCAAGTATGGGAACTTAAAGTAGGTGACCATGACAATCGGAGCCCCTTTAAGTTCATAGTCTGGTAGCTGATGGAACTTCAGCCCTAACCCCGAAACCCTACACCCCAAACCCTATTCCCTAAACCCTAAACCCTAAACCCTAAACCCTAAACCCTAAACCCTAAACCCTAAACCCTAAACCCTAAACCCTAAGCCCTAAACCCTCATGTGCCCCCAGGAACGGCATCATCACGGTGCCCCTGCAGTGCGATGGCTACATTCCCCTGACCGAGGAGGGACGAGAGCTAATCCTGCCCCTGGACTGAGAGAGTTGAGGTTCTTGGGCTTCTACAACCCTAAACCCTAAACCCTAAACACTAAACCCTGAACCCTAGACCCTAAACCCTAAACCCAACCCCCGGAATTTAGGGTCAGGGTTTAGGGTCCTTAAGGGAGGGGGCAAGGGGGGGTTCCCTACTACTCCCCACTACTCTTTCGGGAGCTTCCCTTAGGTTTAAGGTTCTCTAGGTACCTACCCCCCATGAATCCCCTCCCTTCGGGATGCTATACTTAGTTGAAGCTTCTGTGGCAAGAGCCTGCCCTGGAGCCCCGAACCCAAAACCCTCATAACCAGCAGAAGCCCCGTCATGAAAATCCCTGCAACCCCATGAAACACCATGAAACACCATGAAACCCCATGAGCCCTAACCCCGAAACCCTAAACCCTAAACCCTAAACCCGAAACCCTAAACCCTAAACACCCCCAAAGGTCCTTGTGGACACCTCAGCAAAAGCAGATGCTGGCCGGGTACGGAGTCGAGGCGGACGACATCCGGGCCGCGTCTCCGGGCCAGGGTTTAGGGTTTAGAGGGTTTAGAGGGTTTAGAGGGTTTAGGGTTTAGGGTTTAGAGGGTTGAAGGCTTAGGTCTAGAGGGTTTAGGGCTTAGAGGGTTTAGGGTTTAGAGACTTTACGGCTTAGGAAAAGAGAGCGGGGCTTCAGACCCTGAATGAAAACTGCGTCTTCCCCATGGACTCTCGCACATTTCTATTACGGAGTTTAGGCGCCGTTTTTGTTTTGGAGGGCGGTTCCTTGTCAAAACCTTAAACCCTAAACCCTAAACCCTAAACCCTAAACCCCAAACCCTAACCCTAAACCCTAAACCCCAAACCCTAACCCTAAACCCCAAACCCCAAACCCTAAACCCTAAACCCTAAACCCTTAAGGCTTCTGTCTTCAGAAGCTAAGCGCAGCTCAGGTACCACTGGCTGCAGGAGGAGCTTGAGCCGCTAAGGATGCCACGTTTCGGACCGGCCCGCTGGCTTCCTTTTTTGCCGGGTTGGATAGGGTTTAGGGTTTAGGGTTTGGGGTTTAGGGTTTGGGGTTTAGGGTTTGGGGTTTAGGGTTTAGGGTTTAGGGTTTGGGGTTTGGGGTTTAGGGTTTAGGGTTTAGGGTTAAGGGTTCAGAGGGTTCAGAGGGTTCAGAGGGTTCAGAGGGTTCAGAGAGTTCAGAGGGTTCAGGGTCATTGCTTCGGTCGGCGCGGGAGGGGTTCAGGGAAGTTTTGGGGCTTGGGGGCTTAGGTCCAGGGGCTTTTTGCAAAAAGGCCAAGCCCCTCCAAACTATTCTTGGACCTAAGCCCCAAAGAATAAAACCCGACACCCTAAACCCTAAACCCTAACCCTCAACCCTCAACCCCAAACCCCAAGCCCCTGAACACCTAAAAACCTGAAAGTTTCCAAGGTCCGCGGACAGGGAGGAGGAAGCCCTAAACCCTAAACCCTAAACCCCAAACCCGAAACCCTAAACCCCAAACCCCAAACCCCAAGCTCTAAACCCAAACCCTAAATCCCAAGGTCGCAGACAGGGAGGAGGTGGTCTGGGAGCTTCTGCAACAGTGCGGGATGGTGTCGATGTTGCGGAACTTCTCCCTCAAGCCGGGAGGATCCAGGAGAGGGCTATAGGTTCGGTTTAGGGCTTAGGGTTTAGGGTTTCGGGTTTCGGGGTTTCGGGGTTTCGGGTGTAGGGGATTGGGGCTTGGGGGGGGGTTGGGGACTCTCAGGCAGAAGGCCCAAACACCGCCCTCTGAACCCGAAAGCCCATAAACCCCCCCCCCCCCCTTTCACATGACCCCCATAAAGCCGCAAGAAGAGAGGAGCAGCCTCGCCACCTCCAGGGCTCGAATTCTGATCATGAGCGCCCTGGCGCTGTTGTGGTTCAAGGGTTCAGGGGCGTTGGGGGTTGGGGGTTTGTTTGATTACTTGTTGGGGTGGGCTTGGGGTTTGCTTGCGGGTTCATGGGGGGTCTTGTGGGTTTGGGGATGTGGGTTTTCTTTTCGCTTTTGGTGGGTTTGGGGAGCTTTGGGCTGTGGGCTTAGGGCTTAGGCGGGGGCTTGGGCTTAAGGGGGTCGGGTTTAGGGTTTCGGGCTTGAGGGGGTTGAGGGGCTAGGGAGGGTACGGCTTTTCGCTTTGTAGAGACGTGCTCGATTAGGAGCTTAGGGTTCGGGACCCCTTTGCTGTGGGAGAGCTGCTCTTGGGCCACGGGTGTTTCGGGGTGCTCTCCTCGTGCCTTGGGGGGGTTTTGGATTGGGGGGGATGAGCTGAACTTTGGGGCTTCTGTGGTGCCCTGAACTGAAAAAAACCCCAAGACCCGAAAAGCCTGAACCCCAACACCCTACAGACCCCCAGAACCCCGAAGCCCTAAAGCCCTTAAAGAAGCTCTGAAGCTTTTTCCGACCCCCCAAACCTCAAACCTGTGGCCAGGCTCTGTGTCAGACGCCGAGTGCCTGTCCTCCTGTGAGGTCTTCCAGCTCATGTTGCAGGCACTCGGGACTTGAGGGTGTACACGGTTTAGGACCAGGTCGGGTCCAAGGTGTCCTACGAGGTAGTCAGAGGTAGTCAGTGTAGTCCCCATCTACAAGTTGGGATAGAGCTACCCGCACCCTAAGCCCCCCCCCCCCCCCCCCCCCCGAAAATCCTGAAAAAACCCCAGGAGCCCTGCGCATCATACTGCCCCCAGCTTCCCTCCCCACAAAAACCCACACAAACACCCACCAAGAACCCCCCAAAAAGATGCCTTAAGCCCAGAGCACAATGCCATGAACAGAAACGCGCCACACATGTGCCTTACACCCGTAGAGCTCGGGAGCAGGCGCAACTGCGGGTGGAGTGCACCGTGGTCCAGCATCGGCGGCAGATGCTCAAGTGGAAGCCCTTCGCCTACTACCTGGCCCCTCGGCGCCAATTTTTTCCATCGGGAATTCGGGAAGTAGACGCCCTATAGGAAGCCCCCACCCCTGCCCTCCACCTTAGACCCTGAAAACTCTACTCTCCCTGCCCCATTTCTCCCTTGCTCCTTCTCAGCCTTTTTCAAACGCGCTTTATCTCTCCTTCTCTCTCTCTCTCTCTTTCTCTCTCTCTCTCTGTCTCTCTCTCTCTCTCTCTCTCTCTCTCTCTCTCTCTCTCTCTCTTTCTCACACCTTAAGCCCTAAAGCAGGTGGTGTTGCTCTTCCGCGGCATCTTCTCGGACCCCGGCTTCGCGCGGTTGCTGTTGGCGGCCTTCAGCCCGCCCGGGCGCGCGCTGGAGGCGCGCCCCCCTCCCTCCCTCTCACTCCTCTTTTTTGTTCTTATTCTCTGTCTCTCTCTCTCTCTCTGTGCCATTTTCTTTTAGTTTTTCGCACTTTTAGTTTCTTTTGTCTCTTTGCGTTTTCGTTTTGCTTTCGGCGGGGGGGGGGGAAGGTTCTGACCCTCATCGCCGACGTCCAGTTCGAGTTCCCGAGCTTCGATCTCAACAGCACCCCGGAGCCCGACGAAGATGCGGAAGCTCAGGGGCCTCTCAGGAAGTGTTTCCCACTTCTTTATGGGGGGGTTCCCGAAACCCGAAACCCAAAGCCCTAAGCTTTCTCAACCCTCTAAGCGCTGGGTCTAACCGGGCCAGCCTAGGAAGAGGAGGCAGATCGGCAACAGCTGCTGCAGGCCGCGAGCTGGGGCTTGAGAATCGGGGGGACTTCGGTCGATTTGGGGTATGTAAGCTCTGGGAGGGGCAGCCCTCTTCATACCCTAACGTTCGAAGCAGTTTGTTTTGGAGGCCCTTCATACCCCAAGTCCTTCCCTAACTACTGCTGATCTTAAAAGCCTTTCGTCAAGGGCATCTTTTTTTTGGGGGGGGAGGAGTGTGAAGTTCGAGGCCGGGATTGGAAGGGATCGCAAGATGTTGGATTCAGATGCACCATTCGCCTCCTGAAAAGCCCTGAGCCTTGTAGGCTCTAGCATTCTGCCCCATAGTAAAGACAGCAGATTCTTTTCAGGGATTCAGGCTAGAGCGCCAAGAGGGTGCCTCTTATCTGACCTTCCCCCCCCTCCCCCCTCACCCTAAACTCCCTAATCCCTAATCCCTAATCCCTAAACCCTAAACCCTAAACCCAAAACCCTAAACCCAGGCTTATCGAAGCCTTGTGACCGTCCTCGCGCTGCCTTTCTCGCCCTTGGCATCTGAAGGTCCGCCAAGCGAGGGAATTCTCAGACAGTTTCTCAGGGTTCTCAGGGTTCTTAGGGTTTAGGGTTTAGGGTTCAGGGCTTAGGGGTTCAGGGAACTTGCAGAGGTCTTAAGGGGTCTGATGATGCACTTAAGGGGCTCATAGGGATCTTTAAAACCTGCATTTTACGCAGGTGTCGCGCTGAGAGCGGCCAAGCACCCTAAAACCGCTTCAAGCCCACGCCCCGCACCTGCCCTCCCTGAAGGTCTTCAGCAGAAGCAGGTCGCGGGGATTGCCGACCGGATGCACCGATACAAGGACTTCAGAAGTGGGTTGAAGGGTTTCTCTTGTGCCTCCGGGGCTGCTTGGGGGTTTCTACAGCGGGTTCCGGATGGCCACCTGCTGTGAAGATTGTTTGTCTTTGTGGCCATGACAAACCCCAAACCCAAAGCCCTAAGCCCTAAGCCCTAAGCCCTAAGCCCTAAGCCCTAAGCCCTAAGCCCTAAGCCCTAAACCCTAAACCCTAAACCCTAAACCCTAAACCCCAAACCCCAAACCCTAAACCCTAAACCCTAAACCCTACAGTTTGGCTTCTTTCCTCCAGGATCCGGCGGCTGCCGCTCCCCGTGATGAAGCGGATGACAACTTCACCCTCAAGCACCTTGAGGACGGAGGTTTAGTGGTTTCGGGTTTAGGGTTTAGGGTTAGGATTCGGGTTTAGGGTTTAGGGAGAGTTGGGTTAGGGTTTGAAGGTTTGGGGTTTCAGTTTGGTGTCTACGAATGAGCCCCCGCCGCCCCCAAACCCCAAACCCCGAAGCCGTAAACTTGAAACCCCTATAGTCCACAGAGTTTACGAAGCTTGAAGTTTCGGGTCTTCAGGGTTCTCGGTGGCCTCGATTCCAGGCCATCGGCTGGACCGACAACAACAACGCGTCGCAGGCGAAAACCGGCGCCGGGGGCGTTCCGGGGTTGCTTTTGGGGTGTTTTTTTGGGGGTCTTCTTTGGGGTGCTTTTTGGGGCGTCAGTGGGTGCTTTCTGTACATCTCTGGGCTCACGGTAGTAGCAATCGTGTTTGAGGGCATTTGGGTTAGGGCCCTGAGATGGGCCCTCTGAAGCCGAAGATGCTGGGATGAAGTCGGAACCGAGAGAGCTGAAAGGAGTGCGGGGTTTGGGGGTTTGGGGCTTATAGGGTTTAGGGGTTTGGGGCTTAGGGTTTAGGGGTTTGGGGTTTAGGGTTGAGGGTTGAGGGGTTCAGGGGTTCAGGGCCTGGGGCGCGCGAAGTCTCACTGAAAGATTTGGCCTGAGATGTGGAGGCCTCCGAGCGCTAAGGTCTGCGCCAACACTCAACAAATCACGGAGAAGGAAATGGCCCTGATGCCTCACAAAGATCTAGGGAATGCCCTGGACCGCAACACGTCCACATGAAGAGAGTAGGGGGTGGGGGGGGGGGCTTCATCAAGCACTGTGAAGAAACCCCGACACCCTTCTCAAGCCCCGTAGACGAACACCTTCTCCTCCCTTTCCAGCAGCCCTTGAACAAACCCTAATCATGAGCCCTGTCACACCTCTGTTGTGAGGTGACGAATAACCCGGAGGACGAAACTCCCTTGCGACTGACCCTGAACGAAGGCTCGACCAAACTTTCCTTGTGACCGCACGGCGGCGGTTTAACTGTTTAATGCTTCAAAGAGCTTCAGCCCCTTGGCTTAAGGTTTTGGCGTGTAGCAGGGCCCGAAACCGAAGAACCGGGGGGCGGGGTTTAGGGCTCCGGTTCGGCGCAAAGTCAGATCTTCCATCCTCTGGGCACTTTAGCCCCTTCCGAAGGAAGTGGATTCCAGGATGGACAGGTTGTTGCATGGCGTTGCCCTCTCTGCCTTTTGCTGAGAAGCACTAAACCCTAAACCCTATAAACCCTAAACCCTAAACCCGAAACCCTAAACCCTAAACCCTAAACCCTAAACCTTAAACCCTAAACCCCAAACCCTAAACCCAACCAGAGGCAAGGCCGGCAGTGGCGCAAATGTCCGTGTTGCACGGTCCGTCCGGGCGCACGATGTTTTCCGAGGTTTAGGGCCCCTGAGCTCTAGAACCGGAGGAGGTCCAAACTTGGAGGTTCATGCTACTTAGTAACTAACTATAACCCGCTTATGGCCCACGTAAGTACAGGTATGATGGTTTAGGGTTTAGGGTTTAGGGTTCAGGGTTCAGGGTTTAGGGTTTAGGGTCAGGGGTTTAGGGTTTAGTACCATGAACCTCCAAGTAGTTAATGGTTGCTATAGTGATTTCGCAAAGATCCCCTCAGCTCAGTTGCCAGAGGCACCTGGGTCGTCCGTGGTTGTCGCAGCAGACCATTGAGTCATATTGCTCCGCTTGAAAACAAGGGTTTAGGGTTTAGGGTTTAGGGCTTAGGGAACGGTAGGGCAGCCCCTGTGGGGTGGTACTGTATGGTATGGGGGTAGAGACGTCGATGAGGCGTTGAGGTCAGCCGTGTGCCCATGTAAAGACGTATGCTGGCATATAGAGCACCACGACCAAAAACGTTTAGAAGGTGTACGTTGTCTACATGCAGCAAAGCATCTCTACCGACCTTGGCGCAGGTACAGAAACGGATTGTAACTGGTGCATAGTTTGCGCTGAAACAGGCCAGTTGGAGAAGATCAAAGCGAAGCAGCACCCGAAAAAGGCACTTTTTTTTGGTTCAACCTCCGTGTACGTCTTAACTGCAAGCTGGAGGAGGAGAGTCATCAGCTAGAACCTACTGTTCCTTCTATCAGCGTCATGCCTCACGCAGTGTAGCCAACGTGGCAGATGCATAGCTTGTGGTCGGGCCCCAGAAACCTTGCAGGTCGCTTGTGCACGAGGTGGTTCGGCACGGAAACCCCGAGCTGCCGGAAACCCTGAGCCCCAAAACCTATACCCTCCCCTGTGCGGACCGGTTTGCAATGACAGTTTCTGAACGGCCAAAACCCTGATCACCACGCTGAACTGGCTCAAAAGACCCTAACCAGAGAAGAAGCACTGGAAGCTCCTACATCCCGGAAAGCTTCAAGTTGCCTTTTGCAGGCTCAAGAAAACCAGGATGTCAGGACCAAGGCCTCTCCTCACCGCATGCCCTGTCTTTGTGAGCCGCGACTTATCAGCGGTCCAATGCCAGTAGAATTCCCAAGTCAATCTCTTTCACAAGTGCTCTACCGTTGCGGACGCTGGGTGTGACTAGAAACCTAGAAATGCGTGCAAACGGCTCAAGATGAAGCAGAGCCAAGTCGTGGGGTTCAGCGGTTTTGAGCTCAGGGAGTTTAGTTTGCCATCCTTGTGGCGAGGCTTACGCCCTAAAGCCTAAACTCAAACACCTCAACACTACATCCCAAAACCTATACCCTCGACCGCTTCGCAAAACACGAGCCTGAACCCAAGTCTCGGTTTCGAGCTTCGCGGCAAGGGGTTTGGGGCATCGAAGGGCTTGTGGGGCTTGGGGGGGGGGTTGGTCATCGCGTTCCCTGACTTAATCTGCAGGCGCTGCACCTTAGCCTTCACATCTCATGATGCTTGTGCAACAGTATGAACCCGGGGTTCCTTGGTTTCTTTCCTTGAACCCTTTACTTTTTTTTTTGGGGGGGGGGTTACCCTAAACCCTAAACCCTAAACCCTAAACCTTAAACCCTAAGCCCTAAACCCACAGCATGCTCTGAGCATGCTCTGATGGCCTTCTGCGATGAAGTCATGGAAGAGCTGGGCCAGCATTGCCTCCAGCTTCTTCTTCGGGCTCCAATACTGCGCCTTCGTGGCTCGTGCTAGGGGTTTAGGGTTGGAGGTTCGAACAGAAATTTTTGTGACCCCAGCCCCTTAACCCCAGACCCCAAACCCGACTGAGAAGAAGCCGAACCCACCAGCCGCCCGCAAAGAACCCAGAAGACCCCAACACTTCTTCATTGCGGCGTAGATTGTTTCGCTGATGAAACCCTAAACCCTAAACCCTCAACCCTAAGCCCGGCCCTAAACCCTACACGCTAAACCCGAGTTTACGTGGTGTTCGCGGCTCCCCTGGACCCATAAACAAGCGCCTCAGCCCCCTATATAAACCCCTCGAAGCCCCCCCTAAACCCTCAACCCGAAACCCTAAACCCGAAAGCCGAAACTCTCAGCCCTAAACATCCCTAAACCCTCAATCCTAAACCCTCATTTAGGAGAGCAGCCACCCAGGTGGGTCTGTTGGGGAGCGTGCCCCGACGCAGCACAGCGATGCCAGGGCGGGCCCGAACCCCGCATCTGGATGCGGCTTGCCAGAGCTTTCTCAGCAGCCCAATAGGGGGCTTCAGGAGGGTTTAGGGTTTAGGGTTTAGGGTTCAGGGTTTAGGTTTAGGGTTTAGGGTTTAGGGTATAAGGTTAAGGGTTAAGGGTTTAGGGTTTAGGGTTTAGAGCCCCAAAAGCCTGAAAGGGGTTGAAGGGGTTTCAGGTGGGGTTGAAGGGGTTTAGGAGGCTTTCCAGTCTTGAGCTTGTTCGTGCGCACGTAGACGACATCCCAGCGACTCCACGTACCTCGCCTTCGTTGCAGGTGGTCATCGCACATTGTGACAGACCGCTGGGCTGGGTCTCCAAGTTTGCCCTTTGGGCGGCATATTTGGGAACAAGAGGGTTTAGGGTGTAGGGTTTAGGGTTTAGGGTTTAGGGGGATCTCTCCTTTTTTTGTCTCGGCGGCCTATATCGTCCCGTCTCTCCCGGATGTTGTTTGGTCAGGTCACGCGGAACGTGTCCAACGTGACCATCATCAGCAAGTGCAACCAGACGGTCGAAGGGGCTCCTCCGCAAGCTCGGATCGCGCCTCGTTTTGAGGGTCCTCTCTTACCATGTTCTACCCCCCCTTAATACTGAGAGTCTTGAATATGCGTGAAAGTATCCTCCCCCGCCTACTAAAATCCCTATTAAGGACTCTTGGGGTAGAAGGGCGAACATCCCATTTTTGGCTTCCAGGGGATGGGGACAAAATCTGCTCCTACTCTTCGCTTCACTTGTCTTTACACATCGTATGAGTAGATGCCACACGTAAGCCTTGAAAACAAGTTTATTTCAGGGAGTTCGAGGAACTGGGAGGGGGACTCCCCTGAGGGGGATATGGGGCTAGTAGGGCTTTGGGGCTTGGCTTTGATTTGCTTCGGAGACTTCGGGAAGGTGCGGTTGGGCAACGTGGGCCGCTGCGATCACTCCTACGCGCACTGGCTGGCGCAGCTGCAGGATCGCGTACCATCGGACCGGCAAGGCAGCGACCTGATCCTGCGCTTCTGCTCAAGTTGGTTTTTGGGGCAAGATGTGTTCGCTCTTCGCTTCTTTCTTTCCAATCAGCAGAAGGCACAGAGGGCATCTAGGCCACGATATGAACCAGAATGTAAGCCATAGTATAAACCGTAATATAGACCAGCATATCAACCAGAGATGGCTCTTCAGGTTCATCAAGGACAACGACATGTCTGCGCGCTACAGTGAGCATGGCGTCATGGACCGGGCAGTGCCGCCCGGGCTGCTCTTAAGTGCGACTTCGAGGTTTGTTTGGCTCTGTCTGTGAGGCGCCCAAAAACGAATCGAAGGCTGTGCTTGGGGTTGTTTTCAGGAGCAGTCAAGGCCCTTCGATGAGATGGTCCAATCCGCCACGGGCCCGTCGCGGTTCGCCTGTGGGCGTCAGTGGTTCTCCCGTGGCTTACTGTTGGGTTAGCAGGGAATCAGGGAATTGGGGTGCAATATATACCCTTTAAGGGGTGACATAGGGTGCCTCATTCCCCCATTTTGCCCTGCAAGAGTAAGGCAGGGGTGGCCAGCCCAGCACCTACCATGTGAAGGCCGTGCTGGGGAGCTTTGCCATGCGGGCGTACAACAGAACTGCTGGCAAGCTGGCATCCCCCCAGGGTTCTTCCGGGCCTTTTCAGTCCAAGTACAAGCACATGAGGGCCTGGATGCAAGATGTGGGTATCGCGGAACTCCTGAAGAACCAGACGGTTGTGCGCGTGTGCTACGGCGGCGCATTTCTCACAACCTACTCGCAGACGGTACTTCCGGCTTCGAGGACCTGGCAAAAGATCGAGGCGTCGCTGGCGCGGGGCGAAAGCATCGAGGAGGGCCACTTTGCGGAGAGGTCCTGGGCGGCCTTGCTGTCCACTCCACTCACTCTGCAAGACGAGGTGCCTGAGTTCTCATGTAACAGAAACATGTTCATTCAATGCTCCACCAGATGTCTCTACGCTCCACCAAACCGGAAAAATTGCAGAGCAAGAGTCCTTGTGGAGTGGCATTGTTCAGGGAGACTGTTTTTGGCAAGAGCAGCCGAGGTGAAGGCTTTCACCTATCTCAAGACCATCCACTTCGCGCCCCCACTGAATGGCATGATCCTGCAGCGCTGAGCGGCGCAGCAAGCGGGGGTGGCGAGTTTGGGAGCCAAGGTCCCGAGACAGCCCAACAGTGGCTTTTGCATGGGTTCCGAAGGCGTAGGACACAGGACCACAAGGACCCTTCACTCTGGTGCTCGACACTTTCTGGGGACGCCTTCTCCTCTGCGCTGCGACTGGGACTTTGGGAGCGTGGCGTGCCCTTCACCCCAAAGAAGGGGCGCCCTTGAAAGGGAAGTGTCGGGGAGAACGCGCAACTGTTTCTTTTGTGTCTTGATGTGGCCTCCCGCTAGTGCGCAACGTCGGCGTCCTCTTCTTTGAGCCCTCTGCCGAGAAACCGCAGCGTCGTCGCGCGGTATACAAAGGGGTCTTCAGTGGGGTTGTTTGGTGGCTTGCAGGAAGGTCTGGGCCAGCGGACGCTTGTGAAGCCGGCCCTTAAAGCCCTAAACCCTAAACCCCTAAACCCCTAAACCCTGAACCCTGAACCCTAAACCCTAAACCCTAAGCCCTCGTCTCTACATCTTTGAGAAGCCAGGGCCTTGACATGGTTTGGGGCCCCAGTGGGCCCGTGAAGTACATCGAAGCTCCCCTCAAGCCCTGAAGCCCCAAAGCCCCAGAGGGTCTCGGCCTGAAGTCCTTCCTGCGAGCCAACACCAGGTTCTTTTACCCCAATCCTAAAGCCTTTAAACCCTAAACCCTAAACCCGAAGCCCTGAGCCCTAAACCCTAAACCCTCCTAAACCTCACAGGGGGGTAGGTAAAATCTGCAATTAAAGCGGATCTGCCCCCAAGCCCGAAGTCCCAAGCCTGTGAAACATCAAAAAAGATCAATGAAAGTTGAGAGGCTATCTATCTATATATTGGGGTTTGCGAGAATGGGGCACCCCTAGAATGACCCCCCCCCCCAAGTAGGATTTCATTCTAATAGGGACCCCTAATTTCAGAACGCCCATATATATATATATATACATATACACATATATTTGGGTACTTTACATATATGTATGTACACATACCGAAATATACATACATTCCTAGATATTCTATGTATGCAGGTGACACATTCAGCCCTCGACAAGTCGATGGCAAGACGTGTTTCTTCTTTGGCACCAGCTGCTTGACTAGTGAATGCTTGGACTTGAGATACTGAACCTCAAGCCCTAAACCCCTAAGCCCCTCAACCCCCAAACCTCCAAACCCCCCAAACCCTGAATCACTGAACCCTCCAGGGCTTATGAGCGCACGGCGGAAGCAAAGTTGCCGCAGTTTCTGGGCTCCGCAGCGCCTCAGTAGACCTGCGCAGCGCCCCTCGTGTGACCCGTTGTAAATGACGACGTGTGGCCGGTCGCAACTGACTGCCGTGCTTGGTGGTTGGCCATTGCCGGCCCAGCTCCTTGCCACTGAAAACCCCTCCCTGGCCCGAGAATCCTACAAGCCTTCTTGAGCCCCAAAAAGAGTGCCACCAGGTCTTTCGCAAGCCTCAAGAAACCAAAGAAACCCACAAAAGATCGTTGAGCCCCGACAGCCCCTAAGCTCTTGCAACCCCTGATTTTTGGCCTGAAACCCAAAAATTGCCCTCTCTGTTCAAGGCCTCTTTTGATGGAGCACCCCCCCAGCATTACCCTATACCCTAAACCCTAAACCCTAAACCCCAAACCCTAAACCCCAAACCCTAAACCCTAAACGCTAAACCCTAAACCCTAAACCCTAAACCCTAAACCCTAAACCCTAAACCCTAAACCCTATAACGCCCTAAGCCCTAAACCCTGAACCCTAAACCCGAAACCCTAAACCCTAAACCCTAAAATCCCTAAGCCCTAAACCCTACCCTTACAAGCTCGCCAGGCTTCACGCCCCAGAGCTGGCTGAGCCGGCTCCGAGTTTCTCCTCCGAGCCCCAGGCTTCTCCCGACTGCGCACAAAGGGTTTAGGGTTTAGGGTTCAGGGTTTAGAGTTTAGGGTTTGGGGTTTAGGGTTTAGGGTTTCAGGGTTTTGGGTTTAGGGTTCAGGGTTGAGGGTTCAGGGTTTAGGGTTTAGGGTTTTGGGTTTGGGGTTTTGGGTTTGGGGTTTGGGGTTTTTGGGGGTTTTGGGGGCTGTTGGAGGGCCTCGGGTTTTTGGGGTTTTAGGGTTTCGGGGGGTTTAGATGATTTTTTTGGGGTTGAGGGTTTTTGGGGGGTTAGGTTTTTTGTTTTTTTTTTTTTGGGGGGGGGTTGGGGTTATTTTTTTTTTTGGGGGGGGGGTTAGGGCTTTTTGAGGGGCTTCAGGCCTTTTTTTGGGGTTGACGGTTTTTGGGGGTTGCGGGCTTTTGGGGGATTGAGGGTTTTTTAGGGGGTTGAGGGCTTGAGGCGACCAAGCATCGTGACCCGTATTCCTTGCGCGCGCATCCCCGGAGCTGTCGCCACCCTTAAAGAAGAAGAGAGAGAGAGAGAGAGAGAGAGAGAGAGAGAGAGAGGCGGGGAGAGGCGGGGAGAGGCGGGGAGAGGCGGAGAGAGGCGGAGAGAGGCGGAGAGAGGCGGAGAGAGGCATAGACATTCACAGGCAAGGAACATCAATTCGGATCTCGTGTCGCGCGTTGTGTCAGATACGTTCGCCGTGTACGTGACGCGTGGCTGCATTCGGTTTAAGGATAGGGTTTAGGGCTAGGGTTTAGGGTTTAGGGCTTAGGTTTAGGGTTTAGGGGGGGGGCCTTCAGGCGTTTATGTCGAGCCTCTGCCTTGCCTCTAAACACACGATGCGCTGAGCGAACACCATCATAAGCCTCGGTGCCCATCTAAGAACCTCTAGCAAGGTCCTGAGTTTGACATTTACGAGACGACTCTTCCATACTCCGCAAATTGTAAGACGACTCTCCCATATTTCGCAAGTTGTATCCGGAAATGATCCCGAACACTTAAATCCTTTGTATCCGGAAATGATCCCGAACACTTAAATCCTTGTATCCGGAAATGATCCCGAAAACTTAACTCCTACCCCCCCCCCCCCCCCCCCCCTGAAGGCTTCGGTGTTTCGCCTGCCGCCGGGTTTGGACGCTCTGATCGCACGTCGGCGTTGAAACCCACAACCCCCAAAACATCGGGGCCGGCGGGCTTACAGTTGCCCTGCTCAAGCGAGATAACTGTTAGCTGTTAGAGTTTCCACGCGCAATCAGACTTTTGAGAGTTTGGGGTGCAAGCCCTTCCAAACTGCGACTCCTCCCTTCTCAGCCCCCAAGTCCAGAGGCAACTTTGGCCACAGGGAGCACTCAAAGCCCAGCAAAGCCTAGCTTCATTGGTCTTGTGCCTCAAGCCGAAGAACTCAGAACTCCCAGCCCAGGAACTCCCAAGAGAGCGCATTGAAGGAGCGGAAATTCCCTGGCGCCCGGTCTGATGCGCACCCAAAGGTGTGCGATTTGGTGCCTGAAGGGACCCTAAACCCTAAAAGGCCCCAAACCCCAAGCCCTAGATGCCTTAAACCCCTTAAGCCCGGAAGCCTGTCAGTGAACGAAGCCCGAAGTGGGACACGCCCGTTTTTTTTTTTTTCTCCGGTTGCTTTGGGATGCTGGCAAATTTCAAGAGGAAGCATGCCAAGCTTCAACAACACACAGGAAAGATACCTCTCAGGCTCTTTCACGAGTGTGCGATCATATACGACAGTGCGCTCCTGTAGATTGCGCTATATTATATGATGAGCCAGCCGTTTTCGGACGTGGGTAACAAAAGGATACTTCGCCACAGGTTCCTCTCGGGGAGGCGAAGCCCCCAAACCCCCAAACCCCTAAACCCCGAAACCCCGAAACCCCGAAACCCTAAACCCTAAACCCTAAACCCTAAACCCTAAAACTCTAAAACCCTAAAACCCGAAAACCCTAAAACCCTAAAACCCCAAACCCGAAACCCTCAACTGTAAGCGGTGACGTTTGATAAGTGGAGGGCGGCCAACCTGCAATGGCCACGGGGGTCGTATAAAGACCAGTTTAAATCCACATGTCTACGAGCCACCCCCCCCCCCCCCCCCCTTCTGCCAACCCGCCCTCCCAACCAGCCAACCCCCCCCTTCCAGCCAACCCCACTTCCGGCAATTGGCTGGAGGTGTCTGGAGGGGGGGGGTTGGGTTGGCTGTTTCCGGATGTTTACAATGCTGGCCTGACGCCGTGCTCTACGGAGGTAGTATGAAAGACCTGTTTGACTGTTTGCATGTCCGGGTCTTGAAAAGCCGGCACCGAGCCCTTAAACCCTAAACACTAACCCCTAAACCCTAAGCCCAAACCCCAAACCCTAATCGAGGCCAACCCTAAACCCTAAACCCTAAACCCTAAACCCTAAACCCTAAACCCTAAACCCTAAACCCTAAACCCTAAACCCTAAACCCTAAACCCTAAACCCTCAACCCCAAACCCAGGATTGGCAGCCACGGTCATCCTGAAGCGTGCAGCCGCCCTTGTGTTCACATTCAGAAGTTTGGAGGCCCTGCCCTTTTTGGAGGGCTCTGGGGGGTTTAGCTTAGGGTTTAGGGTTTAGGGTTTGGGGTTTGGGGTTTGGGGTTTGGGGTTTGGGGTTTGGGGTTTGGGGTTTAGGTTTTGGGGTTTAGGGTTTGGGGTTTAGGGTGTTCAGAGGACTTCGGGTCTGGGGTCTGGGTTTAGGGTTGAATCGTCAGGGTCTAGCAGCGCCACAGGGTCATTGTGGTTAGGGTTTAGGACCTGGAGTAACCCTGTGCATACACATAGAACCCTAAACCCGAGACCCTAAGCCCTCCACGCTAAACCCTAAACCCTAAATTCTTGGGCATGCCGAATTTTAGTGGGAAGAGGTTTTTTCCTCATGACATAGTTTCGCTCGTGTGGGTTCTTCAAGTAGCTGTGCAGACGTACACAAGGCCGCCGCGCAACCTGACTCGAGATATGTCCTACAAAACTGTTGAAGCCGCTTAAAGCCCTCTGCTTGGGCCCTGCACCCACCCGAAACCCTGAGTCTAAGGTCTAAAATCTACACAGGGTGTGGGGATCAGGTTCTCGGGCGCCGATAAACCCCTCAACCCCCCGATGAGGCTGTCCTGCCGGAGATGCATGCCGCTATTGCCATCTCCCGCATACAGGGAAGAAGAGCCGGAAGCCAGCCCCCCCGCTTCGGCTTTTGAAGGGTTTTGGGATGTGTTGGGGCTTTGTTTTCCTTTGTTTCTAAAGTACTGAAGGGGAGGAGAGCCAGGAACCTTGAGCCAACATCTGGTGCTCATGATGTTGCTTTGAAAGAACTATGAGTCCTGAACCCTTCAGGCTTCACCCCACTAGCTGAGGACAAGCGGGCGCGCGAGGAGTTGAGTTACATGACGGATCAGGATCGTAGGGCTCAGCGGGTTCCTGGGTTGGGGATCTTGGTGGTTTAGATCATGCGATCGTGGCGAGTGGTGGCAACGGAAGAGTGTTGAACCTTTGTCCACTTAAAACCCCCCAAGCCCCAAACCCCGAAACCCCTGAACCCCAAGCCCCTGAAATCCCAACTTTCCAAGCCGTGCTGCCCAGACCCAGAGCCCTTCACGCTTTGTGAATTTCTTTGCTCTGCGAGTCGAAGACATCGTCAGAGTTTCGATGAACAAAGGGGTGTTGGGTTCAAGGCTGCAAGGACAAGAACCTTCAAGAGTATATTTCGTAATCGGGGCCTCAGAGCAGGCGACTCACACATGCTTCAAGTCCAGTCTCTCTTAAGCTGCCCTAAGCCCTAAGCCCTAAGCCCTAAACCCTAAACCCTAGACCCTAAACCCTAAACCCTAAACCCTAAACCCCAAGCCCTAAACCCGAAGACCCCGAAGCCCCTCCACCTTCCTCCCCCCCGACCCAGACCCAGGAGCTCCTTACGATGTGTCTGCCGTACATCAGGAAGAAGGCTGCCAAGTCTGACCTGGTAGCCCAGCAGGGCCCTTCTCACCTTTTTTTGCGCGGGGGTGGCGGCCCAAATTCTGTTTTTTTTTTTTTTTTTTTTTGGGGGGGGGGGGTCGGGGCTCTGGCTTTGTTGTACTTGTGGTTGCCTACTACAAAAGCCCTTGAAGCCACACAAAAATTGAGGCACCCTCTCTCTTCTCCTCGGCACGAGGCTACTTTGGGACTAGGTCTCCATATCCGTTCTAGAGTACCCAAAAAGGGATTTAGGGACTTTGAGGTTGGGAGGTTTGGGTACCCAGTAAGCCCTGAGTGGTGCAAGCTCGGAAGTCCAGAACCCAAGAAAAATGGCGGGTTTAGGGTCTAGGGTTCTTCGCGACGAATGCGGGGGCGCGCCATCTCCACATGGGAGCTCCTGCTGCGTGGCGCAGCGCCACTTCAACCCTACACCCCGTGTGCACCCTGAACTCCGAAATCTCTTCGTTTGAAGATGCTGTGGAGCCCTTGAACTGCGAACCCTTCAACCCTTGAACCCTGCCAACCCTACCCTCCAACATCCTCCAACCCTAAACCCTAAACCCTAAGCAGGCCCTAAACCCTTCTTTGTGCTCAGGCTGCTCAATTGGACCTGCCGGCAGCCCACCTCGTGGTCGAATTGCTGGAGGCCCGGCGCCTGTTTGTTCTTTCGTTGGGAGGGGGGGGGAAGGGGGAGGAGCAGGGCTGGGTTTTCACCAGTAAAAGTCAAAGAGCCCCTTGCAGGCGGAGCTTGCCAGTCTGGCCCCTCTCACGCACTTGCGATCAAGGCGGGATCTCAAGCAGGCGGGACTGACCCAACCCCACTGCGATGTTGCCGATTCGGCCCTTGTTGTTCTGGCTCTACTTAGAGAAATCCGCTCCTGTTGGTACCAGTTCCGTTTACTCATAACGGCCTTGAGTACGTCTTTTTGTGTTGTGCAGCCCCAGTGACCACGAGTAGAACGAGGAGGCACTAACCAAGATGACAGGATGATGACGACGTGACCGCTACCTTCAGCTTCAGAGAGTACCTCTTTTTCTGAATGTTCACCCTAAACCCTAAACCCTAAACCCTAAACCCTAAACCCTAAACCCTAAACCCTAAACCCTAAACCCTAAACCCTAAACCCTAAACCCTAAACCCTAAACCCTAAACCCTAAACCCTAAACCCTAAACCCTAAACCCTAAACCTAAACCCTAAACCCTAAACCCTAAACCCTACCTAAACCCTAAACCCTAAACCCTAAACCCTAAACCCTAAACCCTAAACCCTAAACCCTAAACCCTAAACCCTAAACCCTACACCCCAGACCCTAAACCCTAAACCCTAAAACGGGGCTCTCGGGAAAGGGGCTTTTCCGTCGGGTTTGGAGGGCAAGTACCCATCTGTTGGAGCTCTCCGGCCGCCGGCTGCCGACCTTAGGAAAGGGGTTAGGGTTTAGGGTTTAGGGTTTAGGGTTTAGGGTTTAGGGTTTAGGGTTTAGGGTTTAGGGTTTAGGGTTTAGGGTTTAGGGTTTAGGGTTTAGGGTTTAGGGTTTAGGGTTTAGGGTTTAGGGTTTAGGGTTTAGGTTTCAGGGTTTGGGGTTTGGGGTTTTGGGTTTAGGGGCCCAAACCCTGAAGCCCGATCCTCACAAGCCCTGAAGCCATCGAATGGTTCAGGTGATGTCCGGGATGTCCTTCCTGCACGTGGTAACGATCAGTATGTCCCAGTTGCCATGGCGCCTAGACTTTTCTTGAGCAGCTTTGTCTGTTTGAATTTAACCCTAAACCCTAAACCCTAAACCCGAAACCCGAAACCCGAAACCCGAAACCCTAAACCCTAAACCCTAAACCTTCGACATCCAAACCCTGGGCACACCCTCAACAGCCCTGCGCAAGACGTAATGTGCCCACACAGCGACCTCAACCATCCAAAAACCTCTAATCATCCCTGCGTCCCCGTTGATCCCTCAAAGAACCCTAAGCCCCGAAAAAGCCCTGGAGCCCTGTGGAAACCCCCCAAACCCCCAACCTTAGGTGGGGGAGGGGGCCAACTCCCTGCAAGGCAAGTGGAAGCGGCCCTCTTGGCCTTGAAGCTACAGATGCCTCCGTCGCACGGTGAGGTCCCATTGGTCCCAGTGGCACCTGCGTCGATCATGCTTTGAGGGTTGTGAGGGATTAAAGCCTCAACCCGAAACCCTTCATACTTAACCCTGAACCCTAAACCCTAAACCCTAAACTTTCCCTAAACCCCGGGGGGGGGGGGGGGGGTTGAGGCTCCGCGGATGCAGGAGAAGGGGGGGGGGTGGCGTGGTTGAGGGCAGATTTTCCATGGCCTCTGCGCCAGTGCCTTTGCCCACCGCAAAGCCGAATGCAAGCGAGCTGCGGAAGCCTAAGGTACGGCGGGAGAGTAGGGTTCGGTGAGGTTTAGGGCTAGGGTTTAGGGTTTAGGGTTTAGGGTTTAGGGTTTAGGGTTTAGGGTTTAGGGTTTAGGGTTTAGGGTTTAGGGTTTAGGGTTCAGGGTTGTTCTTCTCCACGCCCCGGGTCTCCCGCCCCCAGAAAAAAGCCTCCCAGGCGAGATTCTTTGCAGAGAAGGAAACCCTCAACCTGAAACCCCAAACCCTAAACCCAAAACCCCAAACCCTAAACCCTAAACCCGAAACCCCAAACCCTAAACCCAAACCCCAAACCCTAACCGGCAGAGAAATCCCACAGCCCAAGAGCGCCCACCCACAGGAGTCTGAGGACCCAATCCCAGCTCCTGTCATCAATCCCAGCTAATGCTATGCCCTATCACAAGGCTGTTCGTCTCAGGGCAACCCTAAACCCGAAAACCCTAAACCCTGAAACCTAAACCCTAAACCCTAAACCCAAACCTTAATCCCAGACGCTAAACCCTAAACCCTAAACCTGAAACCCCTAAACCCCTAAACCCCCAAGCCCTAAGCCCTAAACTCAAAACCCTAGACCCTTTTGGCTGCTTTGGGGGGGGGGGGCGCCCGGGGGCGGGCTTCTGCACACCGCAACATCCGAACGCCAAAGAGAGCACGTCCGTTCCCAGAAGGCCGCCGGAAGTGCAGACGGCCAAAAGGGCCTTGGCAAGATTTTTGAAAATTGTGCTGGCCTGAAGTTTTCAGCCTGAAAGGCAGCCGGGTGCTCTTCTCCCACCTCAAGTCAACCCCTGAGTAGATCGCAAGCCATAGTGTTTACAGAACCGTGAAGCGGAGAGGGCCTATCTTCAGGTTCTTTTTTGCTTGGGTATTTCTATGTTGCTTCTTTTGCTGCTCTGCCGGTCCTCTGATCACTCGGTCCCCTGGTCTGCTGGTCGCTGCTTTTGTTTGAGTGACACGTGTCCAATGTGGAGCCCGCTGACATGTCACTGCAGGTGAACTGATGGTCGTTCGACGCAAGACTGCATTGACTGCATTGGGATCAAGACGGGACTGTGGCACTGCTGGCACTGCAGTCGGGCCAAATCAGCCATACCAATCACCGCATTCCCCCAGTCGCGCATTCTTCGACATTCGATGGGACCGGACAAAGCTCCGCGACTTTCTGCCAATCGTTGAAGATCCCGTCGGCCATTCCGGAGCTGATTCAACATGTGCAAGAGGCGCAATGCTGAGCCCTCGCTGTCCTCGTCCTCAGCTCGGCAACTCCAGAAATGTCAGTCACGACGTTGCAGACCCTTCAAGAAGCAGCCGCGTCTTTGGTGAGTCGATTCTCGCTCGGCCGTCAGTTGCAAGGCTCCTTTGTAACTTGAACGACGGATGCAGTAATAGTTTTCCGCTCCTAGTGTCGGTCATCTGCACGGTCTTGCACCTCGCAGAGCAAGACAACGACGCTGATTTTTGAAACATGCTTTGGCCCGGCGGGGCACTTGCTGTGCCAGATACTGTGCCTACACGGTCGTGTCCTGTCACGTGCCCTAGACAGTTTTCAAGCCCCAAGCTCCAAACCTGCGATTTTTCCATCCCAACTCAACACTCCAAAACCTACATCCGAAAGTTGGGGATTTGAGCCCCGGCTGCTCCCGATAGCGGCAAATCAAGCAAATCTCACACTTTGCCGTGCGTGGGAGTTATGCCCAGTGATGCCCAGTGGCTGCTGTTGTTGTTGGTAGCGAATAAACAAGTGCAATAGCCCATGGTATATGGACACACAGCTTGCCATGCCTGCAGAAGATACCATTATATTCTGGGCGCAACCGGACATTTGAGATTTGGTGTACTTCCGCATGTTTTTGCTAGGTTTTCGTGAGGCCATTCAGCTGCGGACGTGCAATTCCATTGCATTGAGAGCCACCATTCTGACCTGGAAATACGGGAAGACGGCCCAGGGCTACGGTTAGCTGCCTTTGGCGGGGGCGTGGAATTGCATGGCCAAGTACACCGCTTGGCGAGGATTTTGCGCCGTCCCGAGGACCAAAGTGGCAGCTGGGAGTGATCATCTGATACGACCCCTGAGCCCTAGACGCTAAGCCCTAAACCCTAAACCCTAAACCCTAAACCCCTAAACCCTAAGCCCTAAGCCCTAAACCCTAAGCCCTAAACCCTAAGCCCTAAACCCTAAACCCGAAACCCCGAACTCTATGTCGGGCTGAAGGAGCGTCCTGTGGAGCGTAAGAGGCGTCTCGGGTCTCGCCAGTGGCTTGGGCTCGTACCGAAGAAGGGTACCCTTGTTTCGGGTGCTTCCTGAAGGTGTACACTTTTCAAATGTATTTCTTGGAGCCCTAGTAGATGCCTTTTACAAGACCTTAAGCAGAAGGACCCTTGCCCTTACTGCCGTCAGCCCCCCACTTGGGCAGCTACAACTTTTTGTTCTGTTAACGTGGCGTTCTTCCCCTTTGTGGCAGGTCCGCCGAGAGCTCCGGCAGAGGGTTGGATGAGAGTTGTGGAATGTTGTGAAGGGGGGGCTTGGATCATCAAGTTCTCTTCTTTGCATGTAAGACCTGGCGGCTGGCCGCGCAGCTTAGCGTTGCAGGTTGCATTGTTGTCAATGAGACGGTTTTCTGCTCTGAAAGGGGTTTGAAGCAGGAAGATGCTATGGAGCCACGCGAGAAAAGCCAGACTTTCTCGGGGACCTCCGAAACTTTTTGAGAGAGGGAGATGTCTGTTATCGCGGGCCTCAAGGATGGCATGGGCCCGGCCTCGACTTTGTAAGATTAGTTGCCATGCACAGCTTGCGGCCGAGTTTCGCTGGCAAAGGGTTCAAGGTTTAAAAACGCCCGCACATTCCCCAAAAGCACTGGGTCCCAAACGTGTTGCCCAGAACCCTGAACTCCAGAAGCGCGAATCTGAGCAATTGGGCTGTGGCCGTTTTGTTTTGTTCTTCTCAAGCCCTGTAGTGTAGGTAAGAGCCTTCAAAACCCAAGCCTTTGCAAACCCTAACCCTTCTCCCTAGTGCCACCGAAGCCCGTCTAAACCCCTGCAGCACCGAGATCCATTCAGTCCAAACGAACCCCATGCCGGGATCTAGCCAAACTGTACCAACGTTGTGTCACTTCGATTCGCCTTCCGACAGAGCACCGAAAAGCACGGTTGCTCGCCTTACTGCTTCTTCGCAGGGAGTTGTCGAGTAGGAATGGCAACTGAGATGCTATTCCGCCCCGCCGTCGAACATTTCATTCCCTGCTAGCCAACAGTAAGTTGCCTGTCGTTCCAAGGGCCCATTTGGGAGTAGTCCTTGGGGTCGAAACCCTAACTCAACCGCGAAACCATGTCCATAGCCCCAAAGAGCAGGGAAATAGGGTTGAGGGTCAAGGGTTCAGGGCGAGCAGGGTGGGTATCGCTTTGGCTTTGAAAAGCCCTGTAATCGCTGTCACGGCGTTGAAGGTGCAGAGCTCCACACAGCAACTCGCAAATATGTAAGCACAGAGGGATGCTGTGTGCCCAGAAGATAGCGCAGGATGTGTGGGGGGTGGGGGCGGAGGGGGTACGCCGATGATAGCCGAGGAACGACGAGGAATGAGGCCGTTGAACGGCTGAGCCAGGATTCCCGAACTCGCCCTTTCCATGGAAAGCCCCCCCCATGATATTGTAGTTAAGTCGGTTCGTCCGACTCTACGTTGGTTGTTTTTGAATGTCGTTAAAGCGGCTCCTGGTCTTCTGCCACCAAGCAGCACAGTTAGAGTGGCCCTCGGGGCCCCAGCGGGCCTCGAGGCGCTGAGCCCACTCTTCAAAGACTTCCGGACACGAGTGCCTCGAGCGGGCACAAAAGCCAATTGTTCTGGGGCAGCTGCGATGCCCCTGCCCGCAGCCCTTGTGGAGAATAATTGTATGCAGCACCGGCAGCGCCATTTTTGTTCAGCTTTTGGCAGCTGCCTGTTGTGCAGGTGATGCCTTTGGGGGGTCACCTTCGTCTTGCCGTGCAAGCCTGCGTGTTGCTCTTGTTTCAGCATCTCGTTCCATCCTTTGACCCTTGGATTCAGCTGAGTCTGTGTCTTTGCCTTCATTTTGCGCGTTGCTACCGTTATGCTACAGCTTGCAACCCCCTAAGCCCAATTTCCGAAAAGAACCTAAACAGGGCGACTCTTTCTAGGGTGGAACATGTAGCGTTGTCAAGCCTGGAACCCCGTAAAACCCAAAAGCCTCTAGACCCCCGGCCTAAATCCCGACCCCCACCCTATGCCTTGAGCGCGGCAGCTGATAAACCTCCAGACCCTGCAGCTCTAAAGAACCCTCAGCCCCGAATCCACGGAGATAGGGCCACCACCCATCAGCATCAGGGCTGAGAGTTGTGGTCTTAGGGTAGTTACATCCGTAAACGGGGCCTCTTTACATTCCCCATTTCTTCCCGACAAACCCTTGAACAAAGAAAGCAAGGGGCCATATTGAGGGACCCTGCAACTAGCTTTAGATGTGGTGGTTCTACGTTCATTTCGAGTTCCTCCGGATGGGTTGAGTAGGCGGCAAGGCTGCTGCGAGGCTCGAGGACCAATAAAACGATCCAGCCTCAGCCCTAGTCCCTGAACGGCAATCCCGCACCGGGGACCCTAAACCCTAAACCCTAAACCCTAAACCCTAAACCCTAAACCCTAAACCCTAAACCCTAAACCCTAGACCCTAGACCCTAGACCCTAGACCCTAAACCCTAAACCCTAAACCCTAAACCCTAAACCCTAAACCCTAAACCCTAAACCCTAAACCCTTTGGAGTGAGTGATCTACAAGCTCGCAAACCTCCGGCTCGCCAGGCCCGAAGCCCCGAAAGCCGACCCTTTAAACCTTCCCGAAGCCCCAGCCCAGAAGCCGAACCCCCCTTCCCGGAAAGCACAAGCACGACAAAACCCTGAGCCCTTTTTCCCCGAAGCCCTAAACCCTCAACCCCTAAACCCTAAACCCTCAGCCCCTAAACCCTAAACCCTAAACCCTAAACCCTAAACCCTAAACCCTAAACCCTAAACCCTAAACCCTAAACCCTAAACCCTAAACCCTAAACCCTAAACCCTAAACGCTAAACCCTAAACCCTAAACCCTAAACCCTAAACCCTAAACCCTAAAGCCCCTTAACCCCAAAACCCTCAACTCCTATAAGCCTAGAGGTTGGAGGGGGGGGGGGGTCCGGCCGCCCGTGCGAAGTCGCGGCGGATGCCCGGGCCTCGGCAGCTGAAACAACCCCTGGGTTTAGGGTTTAGGGTTTAGGGTTTAGGGTTGAGGGTTTACGGTCTGAGTACCTGTGAACCCCTTCATTTTCCAGAAGGCGTAACATAGTCTATTTGTTTCTATTGCGTGATGCAATGTTCTTCTTATGTGCTTTCGTGAAAAGCGAAAAGCATGCATGTATGTATGTAGGTAAGTTGGTAGGTAGGTATGTACGTACTACCGTACACACGAACGTACATGCGTACATACGCTCATGGGTATGAAAGTCTGTAGGTATGCATGCTGTCTGTCTGTTTGCCTGTAGGTCTGTCTGTCGGTCTGTCTGTCGGTCTGTCTGTCTGTATGTCTGTCTGTCTGCAAATATGTATGTATCTATGTATGTCTATGTACCTATGTATCTATGTACGATGTGTGTATGTATGCATGTATGCATGTATGCATGTATGCATGTATGCATGTATGCATGTATGCATGTATGCATGTATGCATGTATGCATGTATGCATGTATGCATGTATGCATGTATGCATGCATGCATGCATGTATGTGTGTGTATGTATGTGTGTACGTGTGTATGAGACCCGATGGAGGACACATTGGAGCCTATCAACTTCATAAGTACATGGGCTTAGATCTTCCGCAAGGCCCCATGCTTGCCGAGCTTTCGTGTTAGGCGGCCCTGATAAACACGAAAAGCCTAGAGCTCAACCCGTAACCCTAACGCCTTGAGCCCTGATACACCCGAAGCAAGTTGCCAGGTGCAGACGCCCCCAAGGCAGTGTGGCTGACGATTGTGGAATGTCAACTCGCAGCCGTGCAAAGCCTTGTTGTACACTCCGCAAGACGCCCCAAGACCCAAAGCCCCACACCTCAATTCCACTCAGGCCAGAAGCTTTGCCGCAGTTTCTTGGTTCCGGCGTAGCAAGGACCGTTGTAGTTATTCACAGCTGCGCGTCGCGCAGCCAGTTGCACGACTACGTCGGCCGGCCACATGACCACGGTGCCTGGTGGCCCTTTGCCATCCCAGCTCCAGCTGCCTGACTTGCCCCAAAGATCCCAGTACCATTTTTCCCCAAAAGCCCCAAAGCCCTAGACCTCAAACCCCAAAACCCCCAGAAACCCCAAGAGCTAAAAACCCCAAACCGGACTCAACAAACTACAACCCCTCCCCCCCCCCCCCCCCCCCCCCCAAAAAAAAAAAAAGAAAAAAGAACAAAAAGCCAAAGCCCCCCAAAAAATCGAAAACCCCCCCTCCCAGCCCCCCCTTCCAAGGTTCCGAGCTCCGCCAGGGCTTCCCTGTCCGGCAGAGTTCGCCCCCTGCGACAGCCTCGCGGCAGGCCCCTGGAGCCCCACAACCGAGGCACTCGAGAGCTGGGATTCCATTTTGTATATGTTCCAACTTTTGGAGTTTACTGCAGGGTGCAGGGTTTAGGGGTTGGGGGGGTTCAAGGGGTACGTAACCCAATTGGTACCTATTCCCCATGAATAACGCCCAAAACTTGCAAGAGCATATTGCTCCGGAGGGTTTAGGGTTAGGGTTTAGGGTTTAGGGCTAAGAGGTTTTTGATTGGTGAAGCAATTCGGGCCCGGCCCGGGCCTCCCGGTCCATAACGTCCATTTCCATCGGAGGTTTCTGGGTCCAAGGACCGACAGGTGACGAAGGACGCGCGTACTCCCCCCCCTACAACCTGAGAACCTTAGAACCTGAGAACCTTAGAACCTTAGAACCTTAGAACCTTAGAACCTTAGAACCTTCGAACCTTAGCACCTTAGAACCTTAGAACCTTAAACCCTAAACCCCTAAACCCCTAAACCCTCAACCCTAAACCCTAGACTCGAAGCCCCAACCTAAATGCCCGAAATGCCCGAAATAAATTCTCCTCTCCGCAAGCCGCTCAAAGACAGCTCCGGAACCTGGGGCTGGCTCCCGGAGCCCGATCCGGCTCCGGAGCCTGCTCCTCACGGAGCTCCGAGAACCCTTAGGGTTTAGGGTTTTAGGGTTTAGGGTTTAGGGTTTAGGGTTTAACCTGCTCCCAGAACCCTGCTTCGGCATCTGCGACAGCCTCCGGAACCTCCGAAACCCGCGCCAGAGCCCGCTCCGAAACCCAGGGCTGGAGACCCCATCGCTGCGCCGTTGGGGAGAAAACTTAGAAGCCGAGTGGATAGCATTGAACCTGTTGGGGTAAACAGAATCCTGCCACAATTGAAAGGTTAACCTTGTTTGGCCCAGGGTACTCAGCAACTAGGAAAAAGGAAAAGCTCTCGGACCTTTGGCTCCAATGCCCGTGAAGGAAAGTCTTCCGAAAGCCGGGCAATCCTCTTTCTAACTTCAGGCGAGCATTCGGGATTTGGGGTTCAGGGTTTAGGATTTCGGATGTTGCCCCCTATGCGACTAACAGTCCTTCATAGGGATTACTGACCGAAGACGGTTGTTCGAGGTCCCTGTCTCTCTCTATAATCAACCCTAAACCCTAAAACCTAAACCCTAAACCCTAAACCATAAATCCTCAACCCTAAACCCTAAACCCTATTGAGGACTGTTTAGGGTTTAGGGGCATCTTTTCCCCGTCCAGGCGCCGCTGTTTCGCCTGCCGCCGGGCTTGGAAGCTCTGCTCGCACGTCGGCATCGTGGGGGTGGCCCAACCCTTTGAACCCAAGGCCTAAGGAGCCCTAAGAAGCCCTAAGAAGCCCTAAGAAGCCCTAAGAAGCCCTAAGAAGCCCTAAGGAGCCCCCAGGAGCCCTAACCACGAACAACGACCTGAACGGAGGGCTCTGGGCTCGGGGGAATAGATTGTGGTTGTTTCCTAGGGGTCTGAGGCAAGGTTTGATTGAGGCCCAGGTACATGTGGGTTGCGCATCGGGTCTGAGCCTAGGTTCTGAGAGCCTAAATAAGCCAAATGCTCCTGCGTTGCTCTTCTTCGCCCATAAGCCGAGTCAACTCCGAAAGCTGGCGTGGAGTCAGATACATCGTAGGTTTTAAGCATTGAAGTACACAAGTAGCACAATGCTGAAGAAAGGCGTACTTCTTGCACCACCAGACTGGAGCTCAGGAACTCCCTACAGAAGGCGTTGAAGGAGCAGGAATTCCGTGGCGCCCCTTCTGACGTGCAGTCGGATTCAGGGCTTCGGGCCACTTGTGCCTTTAAGGGCCTTTCCGTCGCACCTTCCGTTCCGGTTCGGTTCTGTTTTCAGTGCGAGTGTTATTGGTAGCTGTCATGTTGCTTGGCAAATGCGACGGTCTGTCTTGAATTCGACGCTTTCCCTGATAGTAATAGTACTACGATCCCCTTGCGGCCCAGTTTCGCTGGCATGTTTCCTTCGTTCTTGCTCTGTTTGCCAGGGCCGGGCCAAACCCTAAAGCCAGAAGAGAGAGAGAGAGAGAGAGAGTATTTTGACCTGGGAACCTGAAGTCTGGAGCCGAGAAAGCCCCTAAAACCCTTAAGCCCGCGCCCATGAACCCCTAAAGAAGCCTACTTGGAGATTCGTGGAACTGAGTAACCTATAATCATACTTCTAACTTATTACCCAATGATAGCCTGGGCAACGTGACTTCGGGGGCTTAAGAATTGGGTTAGAAGTACCAGTGACAATTAGCTACTAATTAGCTACGATGAACCTCCAAGAAAGGACTGGCAGCCATGGCCACCCGGAAGTTTGCAGCCGCCCTTGTGTTCACTTTTTTGGGGGCTTCTTGGGGTGCTCGGCTGCACCTAGAGGGCCTGAGGGATACGGTTTAGGGTTCAAGAGCAGGGTTGCATGAATCGAGGGTTGCAGGGTTGTAGGGTGATGATAGGGGGTGAGTGTGCACGCGCACGTACTTGACGCGTGAAGTTGCCTTCTTCGTCGGGCACTTTTTGTATTCATGGCTTCATTTGGGGGTCTCCCGGGGCTAAACCCTAAACCCTAAACCCTAAACCCTAAACCCTAAACCCTAAACCCTAAACCCTAAACCCTAAACCCTAAACCCTAAACCCTAAACCCTAAACCCTAAACCCTAAACCCTAAACCCTAAACCCTAAACCCTAAACCCTAAACCCTAAACCCTAAACCCTAAACCCTAAACCCTAAAACCCCTAAACCCTAAGCCTAAGCCTGAAGCCTAAAGCCTAAAGCCTAAAGCCTAAAGCCTAAAGCCTAAAGCCTAAAGCCTAAAGCCTAAAGCCCCTAAAGCCTAAAGCCTAAAGCCTAAAGCCTAAAGCCTAAAGCCTAAAGCCTAAAGCCTAAAGCCTAAAGCCTAAAGCCTAAAGCCTAAAGCCTAAGCCTAAAGCCTAAAACCTAAAGCCTAAAGCCTAAAGCCTAAAGCCTAAACCCCAAAAACCCCAACCCCAACCCCAAACCCCAAAACCCAAAACCCTAAAACCCTAAAACCCTAACCCTACCCTAACCCTAACCCTAAGCCCTAAAACCCTAAACCCTAATCCCTAAACCCTAAACCCTAAACCCCTAAACCCTAAACCCTAAACCCTAAACCCTAAACCCTAAACCCTAAACCCTAAACCCTAAACCCTAAACCCTAAACCCTAAACCCTAAACCCTAACCCGAAGACCTCATGCTTCAGGGTTTGGGGATTCGGGATTGAGGGTCGAACGGTTGTCAACGGATCCCTTCCCCAAGTTGTAGGCCCCCCGAGCCCCTCAATACATTTTTAGTTGTGGGAAAGTTAATGTGAGGGGCGGGCGAATAATAGGACCTGGACCCGTAAACTCTAAACCCTAAGCCCCGTGGAGGCTGTTCTGACGGTGACTCATGCCGCTATTGCCATCTGCCTCACGCGCGGACCAGCCCAAAGCCAGCCCCTCCACCTGTTCGGTTTGAGGGTTCATGGGGCACGTTGACAGGGCTTGCAGGCACTGAGAAGCCAACCCGGGTTCCCGGCAAAAGGCCAGCTGTAGCCCCACCCTTCCATTCGAAGCAATATGAGGGGGGGCTTTTTTGGGGGTGTTATGGTTTTGGGACCCCGTTGACCACATCTGCAAGCCCTGTTCTTTCCACGCTCACATGAGCAGTTACAGGATCCACAGGAAGCAGGAGGCACCACCGAGAACAACTCAGGAACCTTGAGCCAACATCGGGCTTACGGAATAGGTCTGTATGAAGTTCAAACCGAGAGTTCTCTTACCCCTAAACCCTAAGCCCTAAACCCTAAAGCCTAAACTCTGAGGACAAGCAGCGGCGCCTTTTGTTGGAAGCCATGACAGATCAGGATCATCGAGTTCAGGCTGTTTACGAGGTTTAGGGGGTTTACCCTCCTTCCGACCCCTGGCTGCCCCATCCCTGCCCCAAAAAGAAATGAAGCTTCTGAACCCCCTGTAGCCTGAATTACCCAGTCTCAGCAACCAAGCCCCAAAACCTTACTAACGCCTAGCGGCCTAGCGAATCGAGGACAAGGAGTTTCTTGGGGCTGTGGGGTGCAGAGTTGAGGTTTTGAGTAGCCCTCACAAGGTATGTTACCGAATGGAGACTTACTCGTCCCTTCGCCCAGAACCCACCCCGCCATGCCCCAAAAGCTCCGCAGACACCTAAGCCTCTCAACCATAAACCCGAAGCCCTCAGCACAAAATCCCTGTAAACCCCACCCACCAACTTTCAACGCCGGAAGCGTCAACCTTAACCTCCCTAACATAGGCGTCGGAAGAATTGCCAGCAAGTAGTATTCCCTTATGGATCCTCTATGTTTAAACCATTACAACCCCCAAAACCCTATTCTAATCATTAAGGCCCTCAAATTCTAAGCCAGACCCACCCTCCAGGAGCGCCTCACACTCTGCCTGCCGGAGATCAAGAGAAAGGCTGCCAAAGTGCAAGATGCCTTGTACGGGTTTAGGGGGGCCGGGATTTGGGATGTTCCCCCTTATACTAAGAGTCCTTAATAGGAATGATAAGAGGGTGTAGGTTTAGGGTTTAGTGGTTCTGGGGGTCCGGCTTTTGTGTGTTCGTTCCTTTTTTCTTGTGTTCGTATTGAGGGAGTTTGTGTGCACCCGAATTTGGATCAGCACGTCTTGAGGGGCTGATTGGGTTCTTTTTTTGGATTTCGGGCGCTCGTACGTCATGGGGGTCCAATAGAATCCTACCTTCACCTTCGCCGCCCCCTACGGCCTGGGTTTGGGGCCGGTCGCTACCCACCACTTGGAGCTCTTGGTGTGCACCTGCGAGATGTAAGCCCTCAAACCCTTCAAGCTGCCAAAATCCTCCAAACACTCAGTTCTCAAACCGTAAACCCTAAACCCTAAACCCTAAACCCTAAACCGTAAACCGTAAACCCTAAACCCTAAACCCTAAACCCAAGATCCCCTAAACCCCCTTCTGAGAAGCTGCCCGAGAAGTGCTGCTGAGGCTGCTCCTTTGAACCTGCCGGAAACCGCACTTGTGGTGCACCTGCTGGAGGTGGCTTCTAGGGTTTAGGGTGGTTTAGGGTTTCGGGTTTCGGGTTTCAGGGTTTAGGGTTTAGGGTTTAGGGTTTAGGGGTATTCAGGGCTCCAGACTGTTTAGGGCGTTTGGGATGGTGTGGGGTTGGGCTCGCAAGGGATTTAGGGCGGAGGTATGTATTTTAGGGTTGGGGGAGTTTTTAAGTCTGGTAGCCTACATTGCCGAGAGCATGGGACGCTTGTTTCCCTTGCTGTGGGGCTGGAATGTGCCTTCTCCTCATCACAGCAACCCAGCAAGCACCCCACAGACCCTAAACCCTAAACCCTAAACCCTAAACCCTAAACCCTAAACCCTAAACCCTAAACCCTAAACCCTAAACCCTAAACCCTAAACCCTAAACCCTAAACCCTAAACCCTAAACCCCCCTGCAGAGGTGGAGCTTGCCAGCTTGCCCCCACCCGCGAACTTGCGGAAGAACGGCATGCTGAAGCAGGCGGGTGGTGTTCAAAGCCCGTCTCAATCACCCGAAAGGTTTTGAAGACGTATGGAGGGGCCTCCTACACACATGATACACGAATCAGATACAGACTAGAAAAAGGGTGGAACAAAAGGACCAGAAGGACCAGGGCTCTCTCCTGTTCGGGTCGCCCAGGCCTTGAAGTTTGTTAGACTTACTCTGCATATTCACCGAAATCATGCTCGGTATCATGGCACTCAGGCTTCAGGGTTGAGAGCTTGCCGATCTTGTTCTAGAAGCCCCCTCCCCCAGCAATTGAGCTGCCGTCACAGCAACCGTCACTTACTGTCGCACAGCACCGGCGACCACTAGTAGGACGAGGACGAAGACGGCCACAGATACCGGACCGACCGGCTCCGCCATTGCCAACTGGCGGTTCTCACGATGGGCTCACGATTGCCACTGCTTTTGGTCCCAAGGTGACCTCCCCATGCCTGTTACATGTGACGACATCTTTCAAGATTCGCAGTGCGGCCCTGCAGCCTGGTTCCTTCTCGAGCCCGGCCTTCGCCTGACTTCTTCAAGTCGCGCAAAGGGTAGGGTTTGCCGGCTTTTCTAGGTTTAGGGGTTTTTGGGGGACTTCTTGGGGGCTCCCGGCACTGTTGCTTGAAGCCAAGCCACCCCCAAGGCCCGCCTCGAAGTCGTTTCCCCGAAATCCGTTTTAAAGGAGTTGGTTGGTTTCAGGTGGTCAAGGCCCCCTGCACACCCCTTGCGCCCACCATCGGTTTAGGGTTTCGGGTTTAGGGTTTAGGGTTTAGGGTTTGGGGTTCAGGGTTTAGGGTTTAGGGTTAGGGTTTACGAGTACGACCTTCACCCTGTACACCATCCACGGTCCAGGTGATCTCTCGGATGTCCTTCGGGCACTTGGTGGCCATGAGCATGTTCCAGTTGCCTTCGCAACTAGACCCTTCATGAGTTCTTTCGTTTATTGTTGTAATTAAGGGGACAGAGTAACGGAGACTTCTTAAAACACCCTCCAGTGCCGTGCCCCCTAAGCCCTAAGCCCTAAGCCCGAAGCCCTAAACCCTAAGCCCTAAGCCATAAGCCCTAAGCCCTGAAACCCTAAACCTCCCCTCTCTTTTTGGGAGGCAGAGCACTCGTCTGAGGCATGTCCGAGCGGCCCTCCTGGCTCTGAGGCTCCGCATGCCTCCGTCCATCATGCTCTGAGGGTTTCGGGTTGAGGGTCCTAGCTTGGGATGTACTGATGTTCCCCCTTATACTAGCAGTCCTTAAAATGGGAGTATAGATCATAGGGGGTACTATCTTCCGAGTCTTGCAGGGACGGGATTGACGGGTTCGCGCGCTCATTTGCTTCCCGATTTGCTTGAAGACGGTGTCTCTCCGACCATCGCAAGCCGAGCTGCGGAAGCCAGGGTCTCTCAGAGGAATCTTCGGGTTTTGGCAAGCTTCTCAAACCTACTACGAAGTGTTTGTTTCGGGCTTCCGGACTTTTCTGCGCTGCAGTGAGCTGCGAGGAGCGAGGTCGTGAGAGATCAGAAGGGCCCCCCGAAAGGCAGAGTTACAAGTGCTGCCTCCCTGATGCGATGCGCTGTGGTGATCTTCGAGGTAATCTTCGAAGTTATCGGGGCTTGGGCCATCGCTTTTTGAGGAGGTGGAGACTTGCAGACAAAAACAGAAAAGAAAACGGGGAAGGCCCGCAATACCCAAAAGAGACCGTCATGTCTCTTCAATACCTTGGCTTGTCGTTTTAAAAGTCGTTTGCAGGCTTACAGGCCCCAGCAGGCCTGTCTTTCAAGTGCACTTGCGACGTGTGTATACTGCCGCAGGCTGGAGCCAAAACAGCCAGAGTTTCACATAGGGGTTGGAATAGTTACGAATAGTATTCCCCTACGGTCCTCATATAAATATACAATAACCCCTCAAAATCCTACTCTCATGTTTCAGGCCCCTAGAGTAGTAAGTTTGGGGCTTCGCTTTGGGGTTGCTTAGGGGTGCTTTAGGGGGGTCGAGGGTAAAGGTTGGTTCAGGGTGCCTTTGGGGTATTGGCCATTTCCATTTTTTTTTTTGGCTCTTTTGGGAGCCTACGTCTCGAACGTACAGGATGCGCCGCAAGCAGTGGTTTTGGTGTTGGCCTTTGGGGTTTTTTCATGTTTCGGCTGCTCCCGGGCTTCATACAGCCTCCCGTGGGTTTCGAAGCCAATATTGGCAAGCCGGATGGACATCCCCAAGCCTGGCGCCCGAAACCCCTTTTCCCCCCCCCCCCCCCCCCACCAAACCTGAGCCTCAAACACGAACTTTGCGCCAAATTTGGGGGCTTTGAATCGGGTTAGACTCCGGTTGCTCCATGACAGCGGCGAATCTCACTTCCGGCGCGCCGGCTTCGGCTTGAGCCTGGGCGAATCATGCGAATCCTCGTGTTCGGTGAGTCTAGCAAGCTGCCATCACCATGGCGAAGGCTTGTTAAGAACTTCCTGGTCCTTTGTTCGTAGCCACGTGTTTGCCCGATGAGGGCGTCGAGATTCCCCTGAAACCCTAGAAATAGCCGAGCTGGGGTGAGAGGATTAAGATTGTTTAGGGCTTAGGGTTTAGGGTTTAGGGTTTGCCCTTGGAAAAGCCGGCGAAAGGCCCCAATGAATATTGCCCGCGCCTGGAGCCTCCGCGCCCCAAAACATCCAGGTGGGGCTGTTTGGGCCTCGGAGGCCACTCCGCATGGTGGAGGATACGGTTTGAATGTTTCAAGTTGAAGCACGCTTGGGGACCTTTTTCAGTTTGGCATTCTGCCAACTTTCTTCCCCCTTTGCCGGACGGTCAGCCGATGTCAGCCGAGCTCTGAATTCAAAAAACAGGTGCGGGAGTCTATATTGAAGCTGCTTCTACGAAGCCACACAGCCGATTTTCGGTGACCTCCGCAGCCCTTGGAGATGTGCCATCGTCAAGAGAAAACCAAAGTGGCTAGAAGCATTCTTAGACTGCCACACTTCGTGTTCAGACCGTCTTAAGTGTGCTGAGCTCAAACTCAAGCCACTGTTGTTCTGACGACGTTGTGCAGCAACTGCTTGTGTCCGTTTACAATCTTTCCCTCCGCCGAGATGCCCCGGCAGAGTTTGGGGCTTAGGTCTTAGCTACGGGTTTGACCGGGGTGAAACAGATATTTCTCCCTTGCAAGATAGTTCACTTTCACTCGGTTCTGGTTTCCCTTAAAGGCAATGGTTTGAGCAGCTGCAGGGAGAAAGATGTGCCACAAAGCCACGCAAAGCCGGACGTCTTGGGGACCTCTGCGACATCTATTTCTTGCGGCGCAAGAGGAGAAGATGTGGCATTTGAAAAATTCGGACCTTTGAGGATCGCGCGGGACACCGCCGTGCACCCAAGCTGCCACCTGTCTCGCTCGTCTTGCGCGTCTTGCGGGTGCTGAACACACGCGGCCCGGTTTGTCTATAAAAGTTTTCGTGGGCACCCTCGATATACCGCTGAACGCCAGCACCCTTGATGCCCCCCCCCCCCCCCCCCCAAAAAAAAAACGCACCCCCAACCCTTTATCAGCCTTCCGAGGCCCGACAGTCTATATTGCCTGAAGTATGGGTCCGTAATCCCAAACCCCAAGGCCCCAAAACCCTGTATGAACCCCACAACATGACACCCTAAGGCTTTAAATTCAACGCCCTTAAGACACCAAACCCGAAGATCCTAAACCCCAAAATCCCTACACTGGGGAGAGGAGAAGTGAGCGGTTGCGAGTCTGCATGTGCGTAGAATCAAGGTCTGTCCTAGCTGTGTATCTGAATACACCCCAAAGTCAGGGCCCACTTGATGAGCACATGCCTCAAAGCCTAGAAAAGAACCCCCCCCAACACGGGATCAGCCAAACTGCGCCGAAGTTTCACATCGTTTTCCTCTGGGGTAGCACTGCGACTTGTGCATAACGCGCGGTCGCATGAAGGGAACCCCACGTCTGGGACGCAACAGTGAGTTGCTCACCGTGACTCCAATTCGAATCACTTGAGGAGTTGAGGGCTTAGGGACGAAGCAAGCGCCCTAAACCCTGAACCCTGGGCAGAGGGACGTCAAAAGTCCCGCTTGGGGGCTTCTCGCAGGGTTTTAGGGACAGCATGGGGCTTCAAGCAGCTCAAAGCCCCCCAAAGCCTCCGAAGCCCTAAGCCTTTAACTCCGAAACCCTAAAAATCGAAGTAAGGAAATGTAGGGAACATAGGGCACATAGGGTTGAGGGATCGTAAGTGAGGACCTGGACGTATTGTGTGTGGGCAATGCGGCGATGGTTTTGAGAGTGTTTTGAGTATATGGGTGAAAGCCGGATAGCCGGGAAAGCCTCAATGAATATTGACAGTGACTGGAGCTTTGTTTGGCATTCAGTCTGCCAACTTTCTTTCTTCCCTTTGTCTGCCGGAGGTCAGCCGAGCTGAATCGAACAAGAAAGTGCCGCAGCCTCTGTTGAAGCTGTTTGTTTCTGGGGATGCAGTCTGGGGTGCTGGCAGAAGGATGCTACGAAGCCACACGGGCGACGATTTTTTTCGGGGACCTCTGCAGCCTGTGTGGAAGATGTGCCGTCGTCAAGAGAAGACCAAAGTGGCAGAACGATGACCCCGCGTTCAGGTGTAAAAAACATTCTTGGACTGCCACACTTTGTGTTGAAACCACCTTTAAGCCTACAGGACTGTGCTGAGCTCAAACCCGAGCCACGGTTGTTCTGTCGACGTTGTGCAGCAACTGCTTTGCTTGCCGTCCGTGTACAGGCTTTCGGGCGCCCAAGCTGCCACCTGTCTGGCTCGTCTTGCGCGTCTTGCGGGTGCTGAACACACCTGGCCCGGTTTGTCTATAAAGGTTTTCGTGGGGTTTGCAAGCACCTAACACCCTCGATCCACCGCTGAACGCCAGCACGCTTGATGCCGCCCAAATCACGCTGTGGTTGTTTGCGCCGCCTGGGGCTTTGCAACCCTGACCCAGCGTTCTAGATTCTAGGTGACTCTTTGGCCCAAAAGGGCCCGACGCGTCCCCCAAGCCCTTTCAGCAATCAGCCCCCCCTAGGCCTGAGGCTTAAATTCTTTGCCCCGTAAGCCCTACAGTCTAATGTCTAAATCATGGCTCCCTTAACCCCAAACCCCAAGGCCCCAAAACCCCGCATGAACCCCAAAATGTCAAATTAAATTCAATGTGTATAGAATCAAGGACCCCCCACACGGGGATCAGCCAAACTGCGCCGAAGTTTCTCTTCGATGTCCTTTGGGGCAGCACTGCGCTCGTGCGTAATGCGCGGTCGCATGATTGGGAACCCCACGTCTGGGACGCAACAGTGAGTTGCTGGCCGTGACGCGTTGCCGATTCGAGGAGTTGAGGGCTCACGGATGAAGCAAGCCGTAAACCATGGGGCACAGAAGCACACCTGGACTTCTTGTGCATGGGCAGCGCGGCACGGCGGATGTTGCGTATTTACGCCGCCAGACAGAAGAGGATTTGAGATTTAAAGTCGCCAGACATCCCCCCTCCACGCTCAGACGTCGTGATGTTGTTAGACTATACTCTGGGGGCGGGGTTAGGCTGCAGAGCGGTTCACCGGGGGTGGCTTTGGGGAAGCCCTAGTCCCTAAATAAGCACAAGCAAGTAGGGGCGCTGAGTGGGGAGGTGTTTGCGGGTGGCGGCGGCACGCTGCGGGACTCGCCGGGAGGAGCGAGATGAGAAATCTGAGGCTGAGCTCCAAGCTCCCAAAGCCCAAAGGCCCCAGATCCGGGAAGACAAAACAAGGCTACTTTGTCCCTAAGGCCTTAAACCCCAAACCCCAAACCCCGAACCCCTAACCCCTAAAACCTAAACCTGAAACCTAAACTAAAAACCCCCTAAGCGCCTTGGTCCTTTGGGGGGGTCAACTCGAAAGCAATCCAAGCCCGCAGGTGAAGCGCACGTCCGGGGTCCCCGCAATGTAGGAGTTTGGGGTTGAGGCTTTATGTCCTTGCATGTCCCTTGACGGAGATAGGTTTCTGCAGGTTCGGCTTCGTTAGAAGGCCCTCGATGTTTTTGGTTCGTGTGTGGGGAAACGTGGTGGGGAGGATTTGAGCATTTACGTCACACAGTTTAGGTCACCAACCAAAACCACCCCCCGTAATGTCCCGTAAGCTCCTTTGGGGCTATGCCTGTGGGATTCTGCTCTTTGTTCCTTGTAGATACCTCCCAGCCCCTGCTGAACCCCTACACGCACAAGCCTGCAGTCAACCGGAGGAGACCCGGAACCCAAACTTCCTTTGAGACCCTGAGCTTTTGAAACCATCCCGGCCCCCGAAAGCCCCAAACCCGACACCTACAAAGGCCTAAGCCATACATCCTCACCCCTCCCCCACTCTGAGGCTTTTCAAGGTGTAGGGTTTAGGGTTTAGGGTTTAGGGGAAGCTGCAGGCTTTGGGGACGTTGGCACCTCATCCCCTTTTCCGAATCTATCGGGTTCAGGTTCTTTTTTTTTTCGGCTCCCCCCCCGCCAGAATGCTTCCCACATTCCACAGTCCGAGAGACTCCAATATCCCTTAGTTAAGGATTATACCTTAAATTATAATAGGGATCCTATTATCATTTAAGGTACTCGTATACTTATTGGAGTCTCTGGGTTGAATATTGAGTTATAACTAAATGCGAGTCTTCACAATAGGCTCTGGGGGGTTCAGGGCTCTGGGGTTTCCAGGGCTCTGGGGTTTCGGGTGACCAGCGCCAGGCGCAGACCACCGCAGACGCTTCTGACGCGACGCGGGCCGTGCAAGAAAGAGCGCTGATCCCCAGTTTCGCGGGCCCTGAAACCTACACCCTAAACGCCAAACAGCTACGCCCTGAGAGCCCGCACGCATCCTCTCTCAAGGCTTCAAATAACCCTTCAAGTCGGCATAGAATGAGGCTTTAAAGGCCAGGAAACCGAAGACGAGTCTCTGGCATTAAGGAACCCACGGTTCTCACGGAGAAAGCTACAAGACCTCGTACGTAGGGCCACCCTAAACCTTGCACCCTAAACAGAGGTAGCGGTGTCGTTGGGGAGCGCTTGGCCCATGCTCAAAGTTAGCGCACCTGATCGCTGCTAGAGGGACGAACAAACCCCCCTTAGTTTCCTCGTGTTGTGTAGTTGCATTGTCCCTTAGTATGGGCCCTTAAATGGGGACACCTTCTATACCCCTCATATATACCCTGAGATAAAACAGAACTTCTGAGAATCGTCACGTGCAAGGCAACTCCTAGGGGTGGATTATTTCCCGTCGAGACGCCCAAACCTGCGGTCCAAAACTCCCATGACCCCACGCCCTGAAGCCCATGATCGGCCCTAAGCCCTAAACCCTAAACCCTAAACTCTAAACCCTAAACCCTCAACACCCCAAACCCTACGCCCTAAGCCCTAAGCCCTGATTGAGCCCAAAGCCCTGGCCCTAAGCCCTAAACCCTAAACCCTTAACCCTCCCCCCCTTCCCACCCCTACAAAAGTGCCATGTCGCTGGCAGCCCGTCTTGAAGGCACGGGAACTAGGGGCTTCCATGGCAGCTGCACGCTGGCGCACGCTCTGTGTGTCAAGATCTAAGCTATATCCCCCTTGGGAATTATTTGTTTAAAGATTTTTGTTTATATAAAGCCCAAGAAAATATTAAACACATTGTTTTTATTAAGGTTCTAAGGGGAGTATAGTGTCCCTTTGAACAAATCTTTGCTTCATTGGCCTGCTCTGTGTCTTACGGGCGCGAGTCCGTCAGCAGAGGGCCGTTGTCACATGAAAGCGTGCTCTTCACTCTTAGGATGCAAGTCCCTTGGAGCAGAGTTGTTGCTAACTTGGTGTGCCCTGCGTTTTTCGTTCCGAGCTCCATGGGCCCACATTGCAAACTTCAAGTGAAGAGGGCTTCGGGGGCAGGGTTCTTACTTGATGAGTTGCCGCCGCAAGAAAGAACCGTCCCAATCCCAAACGTTTGCCTTTCCAAGAAACGGCAGCCCTGTGAAAACCCATCTCATGTCGATGATGTCTGCACGTGGATTGTCAGGAGGGGAATCCTGCCCTAAGCCGTAAACCCCAAACACTAAACCCTAAACCCTAAACCCTAAACCATAAACCCTGAACCCTGAACCCTGAACCCTGAACCCTGAACCCTGAACCCTAAACCCTGAACCCTAAACCCAAAACCCTTAACCCTTAAACCCTAAGCCCTAGACGGCAGGCGCACCTCCAGGCACCAGCGGCCCTCGCGTCGTCGCCCGGGAGCCCAGGTCTGTCGCCTTAAGGTCGAAGCCGGGTTTAGGGTATTTTAGGGTTTAGGGTTTAGGGTTTATATAGGGTTTAAGGTTTAGGGTTTAGGGTTTAGGGTTGAGGGTTTAAGGTTTAGGGTTTAGGGTTTAGGGTTTAAGGTTTAGGGTTTAGGGTTCGGGTCGTTTTTGGTTTGGGGTGGCCCCCCCTGGGCCCCCGTTAGACCAGAGGGTTTAGGATGAGGGTTTTCGGGTTTTCGGGTTTTCGGGTTCTAGGGACTTCGGGCTTTTGGGCTTCTAGGGCGTTAAGGGCTTTAGGCTTTCAGGATTGTCGGGTTTAGGGTATTTAGGCTTCCAGAGTTTTAGCGTTGGGTGTGGTGGTTTCCATTTTTTTGCAGACTTTGGCCTGAGGGTTTCAGGGCCTTTGTGCGTGTTGGGGGCCCGAGGTTGGTTTAGGCGTTCAGGGTTCTTGGGTAGGAGTTTAGGGTTTAGGGTTTAGGGTTTAGGGTTTAGGGTTTAGGGTTTAGGGTTTAGGGGGTTGCTTTGGTCCCCCTTCGGAGCGGGGTTCAGGGGCTTAGGGGGTTTGGGGGTTCTGAGGTCATCAACCTCGCCCGGCGGACGGATCGACGCCGCTGGATGTGCAGGACGCGCGATGAGGGTCTCAGGGCTTCAAGATCACCCGTGGATCCCCTAAAACCCTTCTACCAGGACCCCAGCCCCTGAACCCTGAACCCTGAAGCCTCAACCCTAAAACCCTCCCTAAACCCTGAACCCTAAACCCTAAACCCCCAAACCCCTAAACCCTAAACCCTGAACCCTAAACCCTAAATCCTAAACCCTCTACTCTCAACCCTCTACCCTCAACCCTACATTGTATTTGCTCTACAAGTCGACTGCTTCTGGATCATCGGATGCCCACGATGAACCCTAAGCTTCAAACCTCACAAGCGAACCCTAAACCCTAAACCCTAAACCCTAAACTCTAAACCCTAAACCCTAAACCCTAAACCCTAAACCCTAAACCCTAAACCCTAAACCCTAAACCCCAAAACCCTAAACCCTAAACCCTAAACCCTAAACCCTAAACCCTAAACCCTAAACCCTAAACCCTAAACCCTAGACTTAAAACCCTAAACCCTAAACCCCAAACCCCAAACCCCAAACCCCAAAGCCTAAGCCAAAAGGAGTTGCCTCCCGGCCCTGGCAGAGGCCTCGTCGAGTCTCTCTCTTTTTGGTGTCATGTTTTGTGTCTTTGAAGCGGGGGTTTGGTGTTCAGGGTTTGGGTGTGTGTGTGTGTGTGTTTTTTTTTTGAGGGGGGGGGGGGCTTGTGGGGTTTCTAGGATTTGGGGTGTAAGATTTAGGGTTTTTATGGGGTTTCGGACTTTGGGGCCCTAAGCCCTGATGCCCAACTGATGCCTTACAATGCCCGAACGATCTACTCTACACCCTAAACCCCACGAAACCCTTCCAAATCAACCCCAAACCCCAAACCCCAAACCCCAAACCCCAAACCCCAAACCCCAAACCCCAAACCCCAAACCCCAAACCCCAAACCCCAAACCCCAAACCCCAAACCCCAAACCCCAAACCCCAAACCCCAAACCCCAAACCCCAAACCCTAAACCCTAAACCCTAAACCCTAAACCCTCGAAGGCTGGTGCAGAAGCCTCCTGGCTGCCAGCCGTGGACGGCGCCGAGGCTGAAAGGATTCTGGGGGTTTGCTTCTTGGAGAGAAAAACGGGTACTGACAGTCCCAAATATATGGGGTGTAGGGTTTAGGGTTTAAGGTTTTTAGGGTTTAGGGTTTAGGGTTTAGGGACCTTGGGAATTTCCCTCTTCTACTAGCAGTCCTTAATCGGGATTGTAATATGCGGTACTATAATACCTATTAATGCTGGTTAGTATAAGGGGGAACATCCCACCTTGTGTCGCGTGCAAGTATTTTCTAAACAGCGATTGCATACAGTCTATTTGGGGTTAAAGAGGATTGGCATTCTGCAAACCGCCCATGGGAGCGCTTTAGAGCCCTACAAAGAATCTGAGGAACGTTCTAGCTTCTCGAGAATGCACAGTGTATTTGGGCGATCCAGAAATTCGCTTGTTCAAGATCGCACAGAACAAGCTCCCTGTATATGAGCACCCGTTAAATCTCATGAGCACACTGAAGAAGTTTTCTCAGAAAAGTATGTAATACACAAGGCCTGTTGTCCATGAGGAGCTTTAAAAGCCCCAAACCCAATCAGCCCCCCATTTGTTAATGAGGAACTTGAATATAAAGCCAATAAACCCAGAAGCTCCTAAACCCTAAAACCCCTAAAACTCCACATCCTCGACCCCCCCCCCCCTCCTCCTCCCCAAGCTTGGAACACCTGCAGAGGTGGATGTTCCTGTGGCGTCCTGGTGGCCGCTGGATGCAGATGGTCTTGAGGCACGGAGCGGTGTTTACTGTTTTGGTAGCTCTAGGGTTCATGCGGCTTTTACCTGGAGGGTGTTTCCGGGCGTTACAGGGTTTCTGCGCTTATGCGGTATACGGGCTTTGGGTTTTGAGGTGGTGTTGAAGGGTTTTCAAGAGGTTTTTGAGGCTTGAAGAGCTGTTTTGCCAGGTTTCTCGAAGAGTTTTGGGAGCGACTTGGGGGTTGATACCGACACCCGAAACCCGAAACCCGAAACCCGAAACCCGCAACCCTAAACCCTAAACCCTAAACCCTAAACCCTATCCCCAATCGGGCACAACGCTTGTTTCGGAGTCCCGCATGGTTGGTTCTGGCTTCTTCGGCATCCCTTCAACCGGAACCCTCAGAAACTGGTTTAGGGGTTTAGGGTTCCCTTCTCTTCAGCACCGCCGCGGCCCTCGCCCTAGACCCTAAACCCTAAACCCTAAACCCTAAACCCTAAACCCTAAACCCTAAACCCTAAACCCTAAACCCTAAACCCTAAACCCTAAACCCTAAACCCTAAACCCTAAACCCTAAACCCTAAACCCTAAACCCTAAACCCTAAACCCTAAACCCTAAACCCCTAAACCCCTAAACCCGAAACTCCAAACCCCAATCCCCAAACCATCCCAAACCCTAAGCCCTAAACCCTAAACCCTAAACCCTCCTAAACCATAAACCGTATACCCTAAACCCTAAACCCTAAACCCTAAACCCTAAACCCTAAACCCTAAACCCTAAACCCTAAACCCTAAACCCTAAACCCTAAACCCTAAACCCTAAACCCGAAACCCTATATAAACCCTATAAAACCTTATAAAACCCTAGAAAACCCTATAAAACCCTATAAAAACCCTATAAAACCCTATCAAACCTATCAAACCTATCAAACCCCATAAAACCCTATCAACCCTCAAACAGAAGAGGCGGCGCGCCAGCGCTGGGTCGAGCTCTTCCCTTCCGAGGCACTGGGGGCCGAGGCCTGGGAGGGGAGGGGGTTTAGGGTTTAGGGTTTAGTAAGGTTCAGGGTTTAGGGTTTAGGGTCTAGGGTTTAGGGTGAAATCACGGGTTTAGGGTTTAGGGTTTAGGGTTTGCGTTTTGTTTTGTGCTTTTTTTGTTGCACCCTCCTATTTTGCTATGTCGTTCTTCTGTTCTGATCTTACGTATTCTAATTCAGTTCAGTTCTCTTCTATTCTTATCGTCTCTTGTTTTTTCTGGCTTCGGGAGGGTGTGGGGCTGCTGAGCGTTTTGGGACGCTTGGGACGCTTGGGGCTGTTCGAGTTCAGGGGTCGGGATGCTTTAGGGTTTAGGGTTCAGGGTTCAGGGTTTAGGGTTTAGGGTTTAGGGTTTGGAGGTACCACTCCGACCAAGCCTCAGACAAGTGCAACTCGTTCCCCAGCTCAGTTGGGTACAGGGGTTGCGGGTGTCGGGGTTTTTCGGATTTAGGGGTTTTGGGGTTTGGGGGTTTAGTGTTTCGGGGTTGAAGGGTTTAGGGGTTTAGAGTTTAGGGGTTTTGGGGTCGCCTCGTTTGTGTAGGAGATACGCCGCTTCTACGGGCGTCCGATCTCTGACGGCGAGGCCCGGATGAACACCCTCAAAAACCCCACAAACCCCAGGTAGACCGGACCCCCACCCCCCACCCCTCCCCCCCCAAAAAAAAATTAAATAAAAGGCGCAAAACTCCCCAAGTCCCCTGAAGCAACTTCCATCGCTGCACAGTGCGCAGCCTGTGAGCCAGCGAGCCTTTATTGGCGTTGGGGATAAGGCCTAGTGAGTCTAGAGCTTGCGAGGCTTGAGGGCTTTTTCTTGGGATGTTCCCCCCTATCTAACAGTCCTTCATAGGGATCATAGCAGCCCCCCTCTTCTCCCTAAACCCTAAACCGAGAACGAATACGAGCAGAATGATTACGAGCAGAGAGAGAACGAAGACGAGTAGACTGAAATCGAGCAGAGAGAGAACGAATACGAACAGAATGAATACGAGAAGAAAACAACGAAAACGAGCGGACTGAAATCGAGCAGAGAGAGAACGAATACGAGCAAAATCAATACGAGCAGAACGAGAACGAACACGAGACGAGCAGATCAGAAAAAGAACGAATACGAGCAGAATGAATACGAGCAGAAAGAAACGCATACGAGCAGAATGGAAACCAAGCAGAATGACAAAGAACACGAGCAGAATGAATAAATGAGGCTGGAGGACAGGGCTTGCTGAGGAAAAATGTGAACTTTATATTTCTTAATGTTTTGGGATTCTCTGGGTGGGTGGGTTTTTTTCTAGAGTCCAGACAGCGGCTCTACTAGAGATTGCTCGACCCAGAGCTGCTGAACCCTAAACCCTAAACCCTAAACCCTAAACCCTAAACCTAAACCCTAAACCCTAAACCCTAAACCCTAAACCCTAAACCCTAAACCCTAAACCCTAAACCCTAAACCCTAAACCCTAAACCCTAAACCCTAAACCCTAAACCCTAAACCCTAAACCCTAAACCCTAAACCCTAAACCCTAACCTAAACCCTAAACCCTAAACCCTAAACCCTAAACCCTAAACCCTAAACCCTAAACCCTAAACCCTAAACCCTAAACCCTAACCCGAAACCCGAAACCCGAAACCCTAAGCTCTAAACCCTAAACCCGAATCCCTTTTAAGGACTGTTAGTGTTCCCAAGTTGTTTCGGTCAAAGGTGGGTGTCTTCCTGAGCCACCGCGCTGCGTGGACCACGGCGCTGAGCGCGCCCTTCACGCTGCGCCTTGGCCTGGGGATGCTGGGGGCAATGGGGTGTGCAGGGCCCCTTGAAGAACTAGGGTTTAGGGTTTAGGGTTTAGGGTTTAGGGTTTAGGGTTAGGTTTAGGGTTTAGGGTTTAGAGTTTAGGGTTTAGGGCCCTCTAAAAAGTCTAAATCCTCGACCCTGAGGCCCTGAATCCTAAAAGACTGAAAGGTTTTGGGTTTAGGGTTTAGGGTTTAGGGTTTAGGGTTCAGGGTTTAGGGTTTAGGGTTTAGGGTTTAGGGTTTAGGGTTTAGGGTATAGGGTTCGGGGTTTCGGGGTTTAGGGGTGTAAGGGTTTAGGAGTTCAGGAACTCAGGGTTCATGGGCTTAAGGTTTTTAAAGCCCTAAACCTCCAAAGACTCCAACAAACAAACAAACAACAACCGTGAACACCTCCCAAAACGTACCTCCAGGATCCTGGAGGACGATGCGGTGCCGCGCTTCCGGCCCGTCTCTGGCAGTAGAGGGCGAACCTTCGTGAGAACTGGAGGGTTGAGGGTTGAGGGTTTGGGTTTTAGGGTTTGGGGTTTGGGATTTGGGGTTTAGGGTTGAGGGTTTGGGGTTTGGGGTTTAGGGTTTGGGGTTTAGGGTTGAGTAGTTTTAGGGTTTCGGGTTCAGGGTTTAAGGGAATAAAGGAGTGTAGGGACTCTGGTACCTGAAGCGATCCACCAACAGGCGGTTTGTTGGAGATGTTACTTCCCTGATTCCTTGTGGAGTAACTGGAAAAGGGGACCCCCTTACATCCCCCTTATGTGCCCTCTAGGGTGAGATTTCAAGGCTGTCTACTTGGAGGTTCATGGTACGTAGTAACTAGCTATAGCTGTAGCCTGCGTGCGTAACAAGACCCAGAAGACTTCTATTTGGGGGCAGTTATTATTAGTTGCTAAGTACCATGAACCTCCAAGTAGCTGTAAGGGTGGCCTGGGCATGTGTTGGGGTCGCTGGCCAGGATGTCGTTCCTCCCCCCAGCAGGGCCAAACGGAGACGTGGAAGAGGAGAGTGAGGCCAGGAGAGGGTTTAAGGTTTAGGGTTTAGAGTTTAGGGTTCAGGGCTTAGGGTTTAGGCCTTAGGCCTTAGGCCTCGGCTTACGGGCTTCTAAGACTTCGACGACAAGAGTGCTGTTGAGCGCCGCCGTCATATTCCACCAAAATCCTCTCAGAGCTTTGAGGTTCTGTGCGGAGGCTCATGCCCTTAAACTCGACCCTAGTTGGTAACAACAACATCCGAAGGCATCCAAAGCCCTGGACCCTCTAAGCCTACAGCCCTCCCTACATCCCTAGAAGCCTATAACACCGAGAATTTATAGCCTAGTTCAACTACTGCAGCCCACTAACCCCTAAAGCACCCTGTTACTTACGCCTATAACCCCTACCCCTAAACCCTGAACCCTCCACCCTAAACCCTAAGCTCCGCAAGGCGGCGTTCTTCCGCCTCTGCGCCGCTCGCTGGGCCTCCGTCTGGACGGCCTTGACGGAGGTACTGGAGGGGTTTGGGGGTTTGAAGGTTTTGTGGGGTGTTGGGTGGAAGGTTTGTTTTGGATTCGAGCTGAGGGGTTCAGGGCTTTAGAGGCTTTGGATTTTGGGGTTTGGGGCCTCGTTTTTAGGATTTTTGGACTTGGGTTCGGGCTCTTGCGTTTTCGGGGTGCGGAGATGAAGTTTCGTAGCCAAACTCGTCCGCGATACACCCTCGACTCCCTTCACATGGGGCGCGCTCCGCCAAGTTACGGTCCCCCAATAATGGTTATAATTGGGCTATAAGTACAGCTATGATTGGGTAAAAAACACCCTAATATGGTTATAGTTGGGTTATAAGTACAGCTATTGTTGGGTTCAAAGTACCCCGAACCTCCAAGTAGACGCTACTTGGACATTGGAAGGCTCCGCATAGGAACAGGGAGGCCGAGAACTTCCCGTTGGCTAGCAGGGAATGCAGGAATGAGGGCCCTACAAAGGGAACCATATATGCCCTGCAAGGGCTTACCCCTAAACCCCAAACCCTAAACCCCAAACCCTCAACCCCAAACCCTAAACCCTAAACCCTAAACCCTAAACCCTAAACCCTAAACCCTAAACCCTAAACCCTAAACCCTCAACCCTCATGGAGCCTCACATGTTGCGTGAGGCCGGGGCCGACCTGGGCCAGCGAGGCCAGGGGCCCGGGGAAGCCCCTGGCACCCAACAGCCCTTGGCTTTGATTGGGTTTAGGGTTTAGGGTTTAGGGTTTAGGGTTTAGGGGTTAGGGGTTAGGGTTTAGGGTTTAGGGTTTAGGGTTTAGGGTTTAGGGGTTAGGGGTTAGGGTTTAGGGTTTAGGGTTCAGGGTTTAATTTGGGGTTGAGGGTTTAGTGTCCTAGACAAGCTCTAGACCACGTTCTGGGCTTTCATGAAACAGATCGACAGAAATGTGTGAGCCGCTTTTTTTATACAACAGGCTGTAAGGAATCAACACCACACCCCAAACACTAGCTTACGCCCAAGCATTCCCAAACTCTTTCAAGGCCTCTTTGCGTTTGTGGCAGAGGAGTTCATTAAGCCGCTGGATGCCATTTCCTGAAGAGGTAGTAGCGCCTTCGCATGTCACAACTTTCAATTTGCAGTTCCGGATGCTAAGTTTCCCAAAACATCGGTGGTTACGATGTTTTCTCGGCAGAGTCATGTGCTGTCCCATTCCCAGGGTTGGCAGCCAGCTTACGTGGTTCCCGTTCTGCACTGCGCAAAAACTCACGTGAGAACCCCGCACTTCGTGTCCAGGCTTTTTTGGCACGCTTGTGGCCCCAAACAGGCTAAGACTACTGGATCTCAGAACCCCCCAAACCCTGAAGCCCTGAAGCACCCACCCCCCCCAGTCACCAATCCTACAGCATCCAGAATCGAAATCTACTTCTGACCCCGAAAACCCTAAAACCCTAAAACCCTAAAACCCTAAAACCCTAACACCCTAACACCCTAACACCCTAACACCCTAACACCCTAACACCCTAACACCCTAACACCCTAACACCCTAAAACCCTAAAACCCTAAAACCCTAAAACCCTAAAACCCTAAAACCCTAAACCCTGAACAACCCTAAACCCTAAACCCGAATGTGAGTCTCTTCTTTTTTTCCTTTTTATCCTTGGGGAGCTTCGCTGCGAAGGGCCCTGGGACATGCTGTTGGTGGGCAGGCACAGGCCAGATCCGGGAGGGTTTAGAGGGGGCTCTAAAAGGGAGTTCGGGGTTTAGGGGTTAGGGTTTAGGGTTTCGGGTTCAGGGTTTAGGGCTGAGGGTTGAGGGTTGAGGGATGTTGAGGGTTTTGAGGGACGAGGAATTTCGGGTTTAAGGAAGGAACCTGTGTGATGACTGGTTCCTTTTGGGGTTAAGGGGGTTCTTGGGTTGAGTTACCCATATCATCCCCTTAGAAGCCCAAAGTACATGTATTCCAAGCGACTCTCGTCTTAAAACCCTGACACCTCTACTCCACAGAAGCCTATTATAAGGTGTCAGTCAGGAGTGTTAGTTTGGAGGGTTAGAGTGGCTTAGCCAGGGCTTCGGGAGCTTCCGTTCTGTTTTGCAGAGACCACAGTAACTCTTTGACGTAGTGAGAGATGCTTCAAGAACCCCCCATTTAGCACGGGGGTTCTGCAAGTTTAGGTTAGAGGCCTTCAGGTGGTTCGGGGATCTATGCGGCTTCAGTAAGGCTGCACCCTAAACCCTGTGGCGGGGGCCTTTGGGGGTGATATGTCTTCGGGGAGGAAGAGCCCTAAACCCAAAACCTTAAACCCTAAACCCTAAACCCTATACCCTAAACCCTAAACCCTAAACCCTAAACCCTTAACCCTAAACCCTAAACCCTAAACCCTAAACCCCGAAACCCCGAAACCCTAAACGCCAAAACCCTGACACCGATTTTGGGACAGGTTCGGCGAGGACCGCCCTGTCTCTGGGGAGCACGACCTGGTCGAAGCCGGGTTCTCCACGTGCCTCCATGCGACCGGACCAGAATCAGAGGGTTTAGGGTTTAGGGTTTAGGGTTTAGGGTTTAGGGGCCTTTTCGGGTTTATAGGGGTTTACTCTCGCCAAAACCGAAGCCTAAACCCTGGACCCTAAGCTAAACCCTAAACCCATAACTCTGGTCCTAGGGTTTTACTCTCGCAAAAGCCAAGCCCTAAACAATCCCAAGCCCTTAAACCCTAAACCCTAAACCCTGAAGCTAAAATTTCCCTCAAGCAGGCAGGAAGCCCTGAGCCAGCCCTCCAGGCCGCTCTGAGCCCTCCGGGGTGAACTCCCCGAAGCCTTGTTTCGCCCACAAGAACCGTCTAAGACCCGCCCCCCAAAATCCCTCAACTCTAAAAGCCCTCCCAAAGAAAAATCCTGAGCCCTTTTCGGAAACTGAGGGTCTTTTTTCCTGAGGCCTATGTGGTGACACGCCACGGAGCCGAGCGCCTCTTAGCGCTCACGGCCCACAGCGACGAGGAAGAGCGGGCCCGGGGGGGGTTAGGGTTTAGGGTTCAGGGGGGTTTCTTAGGGAAGGTCTTGAGGGTTGTTTTGAGGCTTTTTGAGGGTGCTTTCAGGCATTTGTCCTCCGGGTTTGGGGCCCCCGAGTTTTGTTTTGATCAGCCGGGGGTTCGCAGGGTTTTTGTTTAGGGCTTGGCGGGACCCAAAACAGTCAGCCGAAGCAAGCGAGGATTCCCTGGGTGTTGTGATCCCCATTGACGACCTCCTGCCGGGCAGGGTGCCTAGCACCTGTTTTGCTTGAAGCTGCGAGGAATGTTCGGGTTCAGGTTTTCGGTCTTACGCCCCAGGCCCCTCACCCAAAATTAAAACGAGTTTCTGGCTCTTTGGGTATGACGGCTAGGGTATTTGGGTATTAGGGTATCAGGGTATCTCTTAGGGTTTTAGGGTAATTCGGTGGCTGCAGCGCTTTAGGGCTCCAAAGGGCCTTGGGGGATTCTTTTAGGGCTTCGTTTCCTTGCAAGCCCGGCATGTGTGCACCGCCTAGAGAGAGAGATTCAAGGTTGTGAGTGAGAGATATTTCCGCGCGACTGTGGCCTTCGTGGCATTGCGGGTTGTTCCTCAGATGTTCGAGCGAGCAATGAGCACGAGCTTGCGTGGTCTTAAGCCCCCAAAACCCCGACCCCTTCAAAAGGTGCCCATCAAGAGTTCTCGGTGAGGCGTGTGGTCCGGCCACCACCCACGCGCAGATGTCGAGGCCCTCGACACTGAAGAAAGCGCCCCTCCTTTCTCTACTCAACTCGGGGGAAGTGCCTTTGACTATCAACCTTGAATGCTTGAATAGATCCTAAGCCCTAAGCCCTCTTAGAGCCCTAGAGCCCTCTCAGAATGGAACCCTAAACCCTGAACCCTAAACCCTAAAACCCTAAAACCCTAAACCCTAAACCCTAAACTTGGGTTCGGCCGGTCCACACTAACAGTCAAATAACGCCGTGGCCTTATAACACACAGGCCAAAAATAGCACCAGGAATCCCAGTCAATTTTAGCATTTACCGGGTGCTTCTTTTTGTGGGTCTGCTGGTGGTGACTGTTAGTCACATAGCGGCAGAAATAGCACCAGAAATAGCACAAAAAATAGCACCAGAAATAGCGCCAGGAATAGCACAAAAAATAGCACCAGAAATAGCACAAACAATAGCACCAGAAATAGCACCAGGAATCCCAGTCAATTTTAGCAGCTTAGCATTTACCGGGTGCTGTTTTTTGTGGGTCTGCTGATGGTGATTGTTAGTCACATAGCACCAGCAACAGCACCAGAAATAGCACCAGAAATAGCACAAACAATAGCACAAAAAATAGCACCAGAAATAGCACAAACAATAGCACAAAAAATAGCACCAGAAATAGCACCAGGAATAGCACAAAAAAATGCACCAGAAATAGCACCAGAAATAGCACCAGGAATAGCACCAGGAATAGCAGGAATCTCAGTCAGTTTTTTTGCATTTACCGGGTGCTTTTATTTTGTGGGTCTGCTGGTGGTGACTGTTAGTGTGGACCGGCCGAACCCAACCCTAAACCCTAAACCCTAAACCCTAAACCCTAAACCCGCCCTTCGAGGCCCACTGCCGGCGCCTGCGCGGGCGCCTCAAAAATCCCCTTCGCACCTTCGCCTTCCGCGAGGAGTGGCTACTGGGGGGGGGCTGTTCTGGGGGGAAGTTCCCAAACCCCACTGTAGCACAGGGTATAGGGTTTACGGTTTAGGGTTTAGGGTTTGCTGTGATAGGGCGTAGATGCTGTGAAGGTTAGGTTTCGGAACAAGCTCGAAAGCTTCGTGAGGTGCGAAGAGCAGCTTTGGCCCGATTGTGGAGGGCCATCTAACACTTTTCTCCCACCCCACGCCGTCCAAGGCGGCAAAGCCGCCCAAACCTATTCCTTTTCGGGTTTAGGCCTAAACTCAGACAACAGTCCACTTCTAAAAACTTATTCAGTTTCATGACGTTCGTTGGGTCCGAGACCGACTCGAAGGAATTGGGGGTCCGGAGGAAAAACTGATTTTTGAGCACGGCCTGAGGCCTCCTGGTCCTTGGGCACGCTGCGGTGAGGGGTCCGGGACCTGGAGGGTCATTTAGGGTACTCACTTTATTATAAGGGACCAGTACTGGTCCCGAGCGGTACCGGGCCCATCGTGGGCGCTACCGACCCCCGTGCTGTGGGAGGCGGGCGAGGGACGTGGGTCGGCTTGTGTTGAGGTCAAAGAAAGGGCTTAAGCGCCGCCCCCCAACGTAGGGGGGCGGCCGGGTTTAGGGATTGGGGTTCGCCAGCGCAGCTGACGCCCTAGCCAATTCAGCGGGTAAAGCCCCCCCCTCCCCCAGGAACCATTCCAGGCCCCAAAGATTTTCCAAACTCGATTTGGGGTTTTGCTGTCCCAAGGTGCTCCAATCCCAGGCTTTTTAAACCCGATTTGAGTTCCGAGCCTGAGAAACCAGCCCATGGCCAATTTGTGACCATTTTTTGTTTTCACAAAACCCCCCGACACAGAAGGAAAGCACAACTGTTTACAAAACCTCTTTTGTACACAAATTTGTTTTTCCGCGCTTTTTGGCCTACTTTAAACCCTTGCCCTTCTAAGCGCTTCTAAGTCCTTCTAAACCCTCTTAAACCCTTCTAAACCCTTCCCAAACCCTTCGAAGCCCTTCGAAACCCTTCGAAACCGTTCTAAACCCTTCTAACTCTTGCAAGCCCTTCCTAAACCCTTCTAAAACCTTTCTAGACCCTTCTAAACTCTTCGAAATCCTCCAAGCCCTTCTAAACCCCTCTGAACTCTTCTAAACGCTGGTAAGCCCTTTTAAAAAACTATTTCTAAACCCTTTACCTGCTAATCCCTTCAAAACACTTTTAAGACCATTCTGAACCCCTCTAAACCCTTCTAAGCCCTTAAAATCTAAACCCTTTTCAAACCCTTCCAAAACCCTTCTAAATCCCTCTAAACCCTTCAAGACCCGACAAAATCCGTTAAGAACCCTTTTAAACGCTTCTAAATCTTCTGAACCCAATCCTCGAAACCCTTCTAGACCCTTCTAAAAACTTCTAAACTCTTCTAAATCCTGCGAAACACTTCGAAACCATTCTAAACCCTTCTAAGCCCCTGTATGCCCTTAACAGCCCTTCTAAACCCTTCTAAAACTCCTCTACACTTTTCGAAATCCTTCCAAGCTCTTCTAAACCCTTCTGAACCCTTCTAAACCCTGGTAAGCCCTTCAGAACACTTCCAACACCTTCTAAAACCATTTCTACCGATGACTTCTTACGAAATTTAATGGAAACATCGGATTTTCCGCTAGTACCTTTTGAGGCTTTTCACAAAGAGGTTTAAGTAAAAGAAAATCTGGGCCAAAGAGTTTTAGATCAATTGGAGACTTCTTACAAAGTATAGCTGAACGTTTCCTCAGTTCTTTCAGCATGCTCTAGTGTTCATGACTTCAGTGCGTCAACCGCGAAATCTTTCCTTAAACCAGAACTCTGCGCTGGCGCATCAGGGCGCAGCCCCGAAAATTTTGGGCTTAATGTTTAGGGCCAAAGGTGCCCAAGACAAAGCCAACAACTCTCCTGGAAACCCTCCTCCTGACGTAAAGCCAAGCTCTAAACACCCGAAGTGAATCAACGCCCCTCCCCGCCGGAACCCCTAAACCTAAACCCTAAACCCTAAACCCTAAACCCTAAACCCTAAACCCTAAACCCTAAACCCTAAACCCTAAACCCTAACCCCTAACCCCTAAACTTTAAACCCGAAACCCAAAAAGAGACCAGGACCTCGCCTGGCAGCTCGAAAGCCTCTCAGCAGCCGACGGGCGCCCTGTTGGGTCCCTGTTCCGGCCGGAGGGCCGAGAGAGCTTCGGGTTTTGGGGTGTGTGTGAACTCCCCCCCCTGCCACCGGCATGCTTTCGGCATTCTAGGGTTTAATTTAGGATTGCCTTAATCCCAGTTTTTCCGGGCATTGGTTTCCACAAACGTGAGAGTTTGGGGTCTGGAGAGCTCCGGGGTGAAAGCGCTTCTGAGGTGGTTCAGGGAGTTTAGGGCGACTTGGCAGTGGTGCGCCGATGTGCGGCGAGATCAAATTCTAAGCCCTAAGCCCTAAGCCCTAAGCCCTGAACCCTAAACCCAGATTCCTAAACCCTAAACCCTGAACCCTATTTTAATTTAAGTTACACTACCAAGCCGTGTCCAGGCTGACGATTGCCAACAGCCAAGCGGAGGGTCATGGGTTCAAGGTTTCACGCCATAAGTCCCAAGCTTACTTGGAGGTTCATGGTGCTTTCATGATGCTTAGTAACTAATTGGTACTGTGCTTATAACCCAATTCTACGTCCCCTAAGTCTACTTACCTAGGGTATAGCTGGGTATAAGTACAGTTCTACTTCCTAAGTACCATGAGCCTCCAAGAAGTAAATCATTTTAAACCCTCAAGCGGATCGCCTGCCAAGAGGTCGCTGATGAGCTCTGACATTGACAGCGGGTCCGGCTGGCGTGCTGACGACGCGATGCGCCTCGACTCCGACGGTCGAGTTTCAGGTAACAGGGAGCTGTGTGTGTGTGTGTGTGTGTGTGTGTGTGTGTGTGTGTGTGGCGTTTTTTGGTGGGATTGGCCGTCGATGTTTTCGATTTTCTACCTAGGGTCTTGCCTTTCGGACTTGAGCCCAGGCTAGCAACTCAAAGCCCTGAACCCAAAACCCTGTAAGTCTTATAGGCCTAAATCCCACGCACTCTAAACCCCCCAACACCTCCCCCTCCCTAAAACCTAAACCCTAGACCCCCTAAACCCCCCAACCCCCCTTTAAGACCTTAACCCCCCCTATAAGCCCCCTAAAGCCCCTAAACCCCCGAAGCCCCCATTAGCCCCCCTTAACAACAGTAACAACCTTGAAACCCCTTTAACACCCCTTGACCCACCTCTGGTGCTTGTCACTCTCTCCTAAACCCTAAACCCCAAGCCCTAAACCTTAAACCTTAAGCCATAAACCCCCAAACCCCAAACCCCAAACCGCAAACCGCAAACCCCAAACCCCAAACCCCAAACCCCAAACCCCAAACCCCAAACCCCAAACCCCAAACCCTAAACCCCAAACCCCAAACCCTAAACCCTAAACCCTAAACCCTAAACCCTAAACTGTTCTTCTGAACTCCGGGGGTGAGGCCGGGGCCCTCCCTCCTGGGCCTCCTCGCCGGCGACTCCTTGGGGCTCCGCGCCGCCGCGCTGGCGGGGGCAGAGACCTGCCAGGCCCTCCCCCACTCCCCGACAAGGGGGGTTTAGGGTTTCGGGTTTGGGTTTAGGGTTTTGCCCCTCCCTTCCTAGAACGGGTTGTTGTTTAGGGGCTTTCGGGTTTAGGGGTTTAGGGTTTCAGGGTTTAGGGGTTTAGTTTTTTTTTTTGGGAGGGCTTTTTGGGGGCAAGGGAATTTCCACGGGGCTGACGCAAATGTACGGGGTTTAGGGTTGAGGGTTCGGGTTAGGTTTTGGATCGGAAGTTTTGAGGGTGGTGCAGGATGTAGGTACTTACGAGGGGAGCTGCCTTCAGGTCCAAGCGAAGGACGCAGGGAACACAGGGTCAAATCACCTCCCTTCAGCATCCTGAAACCCTAAGCCCTAATCCCTAAGCCCTAAGCCCCTAAACCCTAGGCCTTAAGCCCGAAGCTCTGCACTCCCAAGCCCCCCCCCCCCCCCCCCCCTCCAAAAAAAAAACCTTCACGCCCTAAACCCCTAAACCCCCTAAATCCCTAAATCCTAAAAACCCTAACCCTGAGCCTGAAGCCCCTCAATTCCTCCCCAGTCTTTGGCGCTTGTCTCGCGCACCGCGGCGCAGTGCCTCGGCGACGAGGCGCCCGGCACGCAAAACCCGAATGCCTTGGTAGCCCCGTGGCAATGTAGGGGTCGGGATAATTACTTACATATCCCCTTATGGTCCCTTAGTAGCTTTACTACCATGGCCCCCCAAAACCCTGCTCTACAGGTATTCAGGCCCCTACAGTACCGTTTTTCCCTCCTTTTGTTGGTTCAAGGTCTCCCTCGTGAAGTAGCAAAACCCCAAAAAGGTACCCTTATTATATTAATGGTTATTGGGTACCAAGATGCCTTGAGGGGCATTTGAAGGTCGAGCTTTTCTGGAAACAGTCTTAGCCTTTTTTCATGGCTTTTTATATGAAAAGAGGCCATGGCGATTGTGATTGTTTGGGAATTGCGTGAAGAGGTGAGAACCCCAGCGGCCCCCAGGACCCAAAGAGTTTTCTTGTTCGTTGCCACACATGGATGGTTTAAAGTATGCTTTAATTCATACTGGGCCTGCTACCTGCTGTGCTTGCGACATGAGGGTTTTCCTGTTGGGGGTTGAGGGCTTGGGGGTTCGGGGACCTTTGAACCACACGGGCGCGCCGCCAGGCGGCGTGGCGCGCATTGAGCGTGGCACTGCTGCAGGACTTCGGGGGGGAAGGGGCACCCTGAACCGAACCAGAAGCCCTAAACCGGCTGCCCCACAACAAGCCCTTACCATTATGAGCGCTGCAGCAAAGCGGAGCAAAGAGAAAACCCCTATCCTAATCATTGCCCATTTTATCAGCCCCTTAGACTCTCCCTATCATGATAGCGGCACTCTACACAACTTAGTTACACCAATTAAACTCTAAACCCTGAACCCTAAACCTCCTGAACCCCTACAGACCCTACACGCCCTGAAGCCTTTCATCGATGCCTGGATGCCACTCGTCATTTGCTGGTTCAAGTTAATGAAAATGAGGTGTCATCTGTTCAAGGACACGTGGGCCAAGGTCTTCCTGGGTGCGTTGCATTGAGATTTTGCTAGTGCCGAGTTAGCGCGGTGTTGGCGCATAGTACTGTCCTGCATGTGTGCGATCTAGTCCGCAAGCACCACAAGAACGTGCACTTGGAGCGACAGAACTTGCGGGGCAAGTGGAAATTAATCAGCGGGTATATTCACGTCTTCGCTAGAAGGGGCAGCGCACAAGTAGAGCCACTAAAGCCCGATTGTGGCGCTAGGAAGACGCTGGGCTCGCGCTAGGTGTTATATTCCCATGCTCTTACTGACCAAATCCAGCCGAGAGTTCTTTCAGGCGCACCACACACAGCACACGAAATACATTACAGTAGCTGGTCCCGATCAAATGCTGGTACCGGGAAAGGGCTGCCATCGAGGCCAAGGCTGCCGAACTCGACACTTGGAAGTGAAGCATATGTCTGCGGGTTGATGATCATAAGGGACGCCTCTAATATCGCGGCCGTTTTGAGAAACGGTTGCAGTTCTTCTGGCGACTCGTCCGAGAGCAGCGGCTGAAACTTCTAGGACGTGACGCTAGGTTCCCTCAAGTGCGGCAGTTGCCCCTCCACATCTAAGTCGGCACGCCAGTACTGGCCCGCATTAACCCTCAAAATTTCGGGAGCAGGAATTTTGACACCGGCGATGTTCAGGGTCCGGCGAAGATCTTGCAGCTCCATCGGGGCTCGCGCCAGACAGCTCATCCGCCCCAAAGCCCTGAACCCCTCAAAAAACCACAGCAATCCCTAAGCCCCCAAACCCGACAGCCTGTTCCAGCTCGTGCGCAGGAGCGACACGGCTCTGACGAGGAGCGTGGGCTTCCGCTCATCTACTATTTGCCTAAGAACCCCTCTAAAAGAATATTCTTCCTTGTAAGGGCCATATAGGGATTATCATGTTTTTTGGTGGTTCTTAAGCAAAAAGCAATAGTAGACATTACGAAGAAGCCCCGGCCCCTACCTCCTCCCAGATCAGGGACCGTAGAGGCTGGCAGCAGAATGAGACTGCCTTTAGGGACCTCAGGATATAACACGGGTGCACCGCATGATTGCCTTCTAGGTATGATTTCTGTTTCCTTGTGTTCCTGCAGCGGCTGTGACGATGTGCCAGCATCTCGTAACCCCCTTCGCCCGAAATGGGTCTTCCACCCTGAACTCCTTAAACAGGCTTGACGGTTCAGGGCTCTGGCACCTCAATAAGGTTTTCGTTCTAGGGCTTCGTGTAAACCCTAAACCCTAAGCCCTAAACTCTAAGCCCAAACCCCTAAACCCTAAACCCTACACCTTAAACCCTAAACCCGAAGCCCGAAAACCCGAAACCCTAAGCCCTAAGCTTCCTAAGCCCCAAACCTCCTAAACCCTTCGAAGTCGCTAGGACCCCCTGCTGCCGCGCTTCGCGGGCACCTGGGCGGCGACCGCCCTGGTTCTGCTGGGCTCCCGGGGAGGCCGGAGTTTTCAGAGCCTCTGCAAGGCAAAGCCTGGGCGATGACACGAATGTTTAGGGTGCTTAGGGCAAGTAGAATAGGATGGCCTCTTGTAGGCCCTGAAAGGCCCACAGAGAGGGAGCCCTCCAGGTAGCACGCCTGGAAACAGAGTGCTGCGTTCGGAGGTCCCTTGCGCCGGCCGCCACGGGCGCCCGCAGCCCCGTCGCCCCTCGCGACGATGCATTCGGTCGCAGCACCTGGGCCGGAACCAGGGCCGAGAAGTTTTGTTTTTCCGGGCTTAGGGCAGATTGCGCTCGATGGTTGTGAGGTCAGTTTCATTCCTAAACAGGCTGGCCAGGAAGGAGCCCTCCCCTCACAAAAGGCAGCCACCATCTTAGGGCCTGGTGCAGAGGGCTTTTGGGCTTGGCATTTGGACAGATTCCTCTGCTGCAGCACAATCCAAAAACTCGCGAGTCGTCCGATCAAAAATCCGAACTTCGAGAGAATCCCTGCTTGCTTTCAAGCCTAAGCTCCCAAACCCTGCACCCAAACATGCTGCAAAAACGGGGACTCAACAAAACCCCCACAGAAGCTTCTGCCAGCCACCTCCTCCGACGGCACCCGGTAGCTTTTGGGATCGACAGGGTTTGGGCTTTGCAGACTTTGAAGGCTTTGCAGACTTTGCAGGCTTTGCAGGCTTTAGGGGTTGGCTGAGGTGTTTCGGGCGGAGGCATGTGATGGGCTTTAGGTTTCGAGGCATTTCTTGGGTGAGCTTTAGGGGTTTGGGGGGCTTTCAGGGCTCAGACCCGGAAGCCCCGAAACCTCTCAAGGTTCAGGAGGTTTAGGGTTTAGGGTTCAGGGTTCAGGGTTTAGGGTTTAGGGTTTTGGGGTTTTGGGGTTTTGGGGTTTTGGGGTTCAGGGTTCAGGGTTCAGGGTTCAGGGTTCAACACCCTGAGAGTTTCGGCAGAGAGGCGGCCCTTCGCAGCGGCTGCGACGCCAGCATCGTGCCACGAAGGCAAGATGAGCCCCTACAAGCCGCCCCCGCCCCCCCCTGTGCGCCAATCCCTGTATTGAGCGCCGGGAACTTCCCTAAACCCTAAACCCTAAACCTTAAACCCTAAACCCTAAACTCTAATTCCTAAACCCTAAACCCAAAACCCTAAACCTTAAACCCTAAACCCTAAACCCTAAACCCTAAACCCTACACCCTAAACCCTAAACCCAAAGCCTTAACGCCTGAACCCTTATCCCGGAACCCTAAAGTGGGGGTTCGGAGGCCTGCCGCCGGGCTGGCCACGGCGGACTTCCGTCGCCTCTTTGAGGTTGGCAAGGGAGGGGGTGGGGACACTCCTAAGGGCAAACCCTAAACCCTAAACCTTAAACTCTAAGCCCTAAACCCTAAACCCGAAACCCTAAACCCTCCACCCGAATCTCCACCAACTCCACGAGTTGTTCAAGCCCCGCCTGCGAGGCCCTCCCGGGCGCACCCGTCGTCCTCGAGGCCACGTCGGGTTGAGGAGTTCACAGGGGAGTCTAGTGGTTCAAGGGTTTAGGGTTTAGGGTTGAGGGTTGAGGGTTGAGGGTTGAGGGTTGAGGGGGGCTTTAAACCCTTGGGGTTTTTTGGGCGCGTTCAAGGTTTAGCGTGCTTAGGTTTCAGGTCGCGTACGTGGGCTTTAGGGTTTAGGGTGCAGGTTTAGGAGGCCCGCAGTTCCAAATCTGCCCTGCGAGATTTTGTTCGAAAGGGGGTCCGGTGTTCCAATAATTCTGAATTGGCTGTTGCCGCCTTTGCGCAGAGGTTCAGCACCCCGAAGCCGCCCGAAACCCTGAAGCCCCAGATCATGCCCCCTCAAATTCTCAGCCCCAGAGCTTTGGGCCTTTACAAAGGGTTGAGGGATAGGGTTCATCGGGGTAGGGTTTTATGTATAGGCTTTGTAGGGTTTACAGGGCTTGAATAGGGTTTTGTAGTTTTGTTTAAGAGGGTTTCTTGTGGGGTTTTCTAGGATTTTTCCGGATTTTTAGGATTTTTGTAGGAAAATTTATAGGAGTCTTATAGGGTTTTATAATATATAGTGTTTTTACATGGTTTTTATTTGGTCTTATGAGGGCCTCACGACAGCCCTCGAAGCCCAGGGAGCCACCGACTTGGCCTCGCCGCATGGCGGAAGCCCTTGGCCCACCTCTCAGTGCCCTGGTTAGGGTTCAAGGTTTAGGGTTTAGGGTTCGGGGTTTAGGGTTCAGGGTTTAGGGTTTAGGGTTGAGGGTTGAGGGTTTAGGCTCCCTGTTTCTTACGTAGCGCCAAGAGTTGAACTTCCTGTGTTTTGTTTAAGAGTCTCTTTAGTTCCTTTTTAATGGGTTTTTTGCAGGTTTTTTTTTAAATAGGAGTTTTGAACTTATAGGGTTTTATCGGGTGTTTATTTTTTTTAACATGGGGTTTTTGCAGGGCCCTTCTTTTCTAGGGCTGTTATAGGATTTTTACAGGTTATTTTGTTGGGTTATTTAGTAAGGAAAAGTACTTGGGATGTCTGTTTCTTGCTGAGCCAAGCGTTGAACTTTATTTGTTTTGGGGGGTTTCCTTTTTGGGATGTTCCCCCTTATAGTAGAGATTTTAGGGCCCCGTATCATTACCATGAAGGACGGTTGGTATAAGGGGGAACATCCCAAGGTTTCCTTATTAAGAAGGCATAGTACAGTTTATCCTCTCTGTCCCCTTGGTTATTGGGGAAGTCAGTGATTCGTAGACCAGTGGTGCCCTTTACCCCTTTTTTTGTTGCTAGGGTTTTTCCTTTGTAAACTAACCAGCCACAAGAAGGGTTTAGGGTTTGGGGTTTGGGGTTTAGGGTTTCCTGGGTTTTCTGGGCTACCAAGATTTGTCTACGGTAAGCCCCTCGGGGTATTTTGTTCCCTCTTATATTGGGCTTAAGTAGATCGTGTGTAGGAATATTCTCAGAGGGCTTGTAAGGTTATCCTAGTATATCTTGTTGTTGGAGAGGCGGTGTGGGTGTGCTTCTACGGTGATCTCCTAAGCGCTGACCCCTAAACCCTACCCCGCTATGCCATTGAGCCCGGAACCCTAAAACCCTTAAGACCCTTAAGGCCCTTAAAGCCCTTAAAACCCTCAATAAGCCCTTAAAACCCTTAACGCCCTGAACGCCCTGAAAGCCCTATGAAGCCTTGAAAACCAACCCTTAACAACCCCTTAAAGCCCTCAAAAGCCTTGAACACAAACCCTTAAAAACCCCTGAAAGCCCTATAAGGCCTTGAAAACAAACCCCTTAACAACCCCTCAAAGCCCCTCAAAGCCCCCCCTGCCAGGCAGCTCTCCAACCTCAGGGCCTCCCTGGCCTCGCGCGAGCCGCGGAGCCCGGATGTTTTTTTTAGGGTTTAGGGTTTAGGGTTTTAGGGTTTAGGGTTTAGGGTTTAGGGATTAGGGTTTTAGGGTTTAGGATTTAGGGTTTAGGGTTTTTGTTTGTTCTTCCTTCGGCTTGTTGACAGGATCAAGGCCTTTGGCTTCGGGCTTCGGCTCAAGTTTGTATATTTTTTTTTGGGGGGGGGAAGGGCGGGGGCTGGGGGTGAGTTTTTGGAGGTTCTGGGGACTTCGGCGCTTGGGGTCGGGTGTAGTTTCAGGTTTCGGGATTTCGAACTGTCTCGGGAGGTTCTGGAGGTTTCGGTGGTTTGAGGGTTTGGGTTTCAAGCGTTTAGGCCTCAAAGCCACCGTCAACGTCGAAGCTTCAGGTGCCGCTGCCATCTTCAAGAGGATGCGCTGGCACTGACATCGGGGCGGACCGGCCGGTTTAGGGGTTTAGGGGTTTTGGGGTTTAGGGGTTTAGGGGTTTAGGGGTTTAGGGGTTTAGGGGTTTAGGGGTTTAGGGGTTTAGGGTGTAGGGCGCTTGATTACAGGATTCTTAAGGGAGGGGGAGTACCTTGGGAACCTTAGCCCTGTAAGTTGAGGTTAAATCCATCCGCCCATTGTTTTGGGTTGAGAGCTTGCAGGGGTTTGGGGTTTAGGGTTTGGGGTTGAGGGTTTAGGGTTTAGGGTTTAGCGTTCAGGGTTTTGTTTTTGGGTTTAGGGTTTGGGGTTTTGGGTTTGGGGTTTCATGGTTGTGAGACCTACCTGGCCCTTGTTAGCACCAGTTCTCACACCAGAAACCTGGGCTGGGGCTCTGCCAATCCTACGTCTCTGCTGTCACACGTAACCCTAAACCCTCAACTCCTAAACTCGTAAACCCTCAACTCCTAAACTCCTAAACCCTAAACCCTCAACTCCTAAACTCCTAAACAGGAAGGTTCAGAAGGTTCTGAGGCTCGCGAAAAGAGGCGGACAACCGGTTTGAATTGGCGCGCCTCAAAGCCCAAAGCCATTGGAAGGACAAAGCTTTCCGTCATCCGACTTCCTTTCGACAAATACCTCCACTACATGGACACTCACGAGGCGGCCTTTCGGGCTCCATCACAGATGCGTGCGACGATTCCCCTACACCCTAAACCCTAAACCCTAAACCCTAAACCCTGATCCCTGAACCCTGAACCCTGAACCCTGAACCCTGAACCCTGAACCCTGAACACCAGGTGATTGGGTGTGTTGTCAGCACCCTGAGCCCAAACCTAAGACCTGTGTCGTTGTTGCTGGGGTTTATCAAATGGCTTTGAAGGATGCCGAGCCCTTGTACCTCTTCCAGGAGTTCGACCCGGACATTCGAGAGGCAGTTCGGGTTTTGGGGTTTAGGGTTTAGGGTTTGGGGTTTGGGGTTTAGGGTTTAGGGGGGGCTTAGGTTTTGCTGGTTCCAGGACTCCGACCAGTCCCCCTAAGCCCCAAGCCTGGAGCCCCCAAAACCTAAGTTTGGAGCCCCCCTAAAGCCCTGAAGCCCCAAAACCCTACGGCCTAAAGAATGCCCCCAAGCCCGAACCCCTCAAGGCGATTTCTCCCAGGTAGGTCAGGGTCTCAGAGGGGCCCAGAGACTCCGATACCCCTAAATTCAGGAATATTTCTTAAGCCATACAAGAAAACCCCCTTACTTTGAGCAAAATTCCCGAACCCTAAACCCCTAAACCCTAAACCCCAAACCCTAAACTCTAAACCCTAAACCCTAAACCCTAACTAAACCCTAAACCCTGAATTTGGGGGGGTATGGTGGAGTCTCTGGGAGGATCCGCTGTGGGGGGGGGGGCGCCTTGGGGGAGAAGTCCGTCAGCGCATCCTTCGGCTTCGGTCCTGACTGTGGCGACCTTCTGAGCCCTACCCTCTACTTGGAGGTTCATGGGGTTTAGGGTTTAGGGTTTAGGGTTTAGGGTTTAGGGTTTAGGGTTTAGGGTTTAGGGTTTAGGGTTCATGGTACTTAGCAACTAGTTATCACGGAAACTGCACTTCTCACCCGATTCTTGCCGAGGTAATGATAAGTACGGGTAGAATTAGATACGAAGTACCATGAACCTCCAAGTAAGAGCCCTCTAAGAGCCCCCCCTTTAAGAAGCACTCTGAGGCGCCCTCTTGACAAGAATCGGGGGCAGAACATGGGAGAATCCAGCAGAAAGTAGCCTCAGGCCGTGGACAAAGACTTCCGCGCCCCAAGCATCTTTGCAGAGGACATAGGGTGGGGGGGGGGGGGGCTAAAAAAGCTCCGGGGATACGAAGGGGTGCAGCCAAAGAAGAAAGCTTGGGGTCTAGGGTTGAGGGTTGAGGGTTGAGGGTTTAGGGTTTAGGGTTTGGGGTTTAGGGTTTGGGCCAAGGGGGGGGAGGGTGGGGTGGGTGGACCTACCTTGTTTTGCTCCACGTCGCCCCCGCATCCGGGTCGACTGGGCTCTTAAGGTAGGGCGTCTCAGGGACTCAGGCTTTGAGGACTCGTGGCGTTCCTTTCCGCCCGAATATCCACCAGCAAGCCCTGCTGATGCCAAACCCCTAGCGAGCAGAAGTCGGGTTGAAGGTGGCGGACCCTGGGCTTAGTTTACAGTGAACTCCAGAAAGTTGGAGCAGGGTTTAGAGGAGAAATAGAGCTAGTAGTCCCTTTAGTATACCGTTTGGGGTATGAGGATAGTAGGATGTTCCAGTTTTTGGAGTGGACTGTAGCAGGCCGGGGATCTCGGGGGTTCCCTCAACCCTGTTAGGGTTTAGGTGTAGCCCCGAAACCCCCCCTCAACCTCCCTCTAAACCGGCACACCCTAAAACCCCAAACAGGGTTTAGGCTTTTCGGGTTTCGGGTTTAGGGTTTTTTTTAGAACCCCCCCCCCCACCTAAAAACCCTACACCGAAGCCCAAGCTCCTGCTTTCAAAGCCCCAGGACTTTCTCTTAGAGGCGGAAGAGCCGCCAGAGGCCTGCAAAGGGGAGGAGGGGGGGAGGAGGGGGGAGAGAGACGGCTACTTTAAGGTTGCGTTCTAGGATGCCCAGTGGTGCCCTTATTCCCTTTTTGGGGGGGTTTAGGTTCCCTTATAAACCCCTTTAAGCAAAAAAGGGCACTGTTTTAAGCCTTGGTTACTGGGCAGCCTAGTGTTTAGGTGGCTTCTCGAAAGCAGCGCTGACAGCAGAGTGTGCAACGGGCCAGTCTGCACGAGCGTCGCTGCTCGCGGTGAAACCAGTGGCTTTGACAAGGGTCTTTACTATGGGTTTCGGAAGGCTTACAGGGCAAGGGCTTTTGGGCGTGGGTTTAGGGATTTTGTTTTTTGTTTGTTTTTTTGAGTGGGGGGAAAAGGGGGGTCCTGGTTGATGCGTGAGCTCCTTCTTCCAAAAAGAGCCGAAGGCGCAAAACCCCAGAGCCCAAGCCCTGATACGTCCCATCCCTCCCAAAGAAGGTACCAGAAGAAGGCCTAGGTTTGAGGGCTCCGGGCTGTGCTAAACCCTAAAACCCTAAAACCCCAAAACCCTAAAACCCTCAACCCTCAACCCTCAACCCTCAACCCTCAACCCTCAACCCTCAACCCTAAACCCTAAACCCTAAACCCCAAACCCTAAACCCTAAACCCTAAACCAAAAAGCGCGAGCATCGCTCCCAGCCAGGGCTTCGTTGGCCTCGACGGCTGGCTGCTGGTGGGGCCGGAGAGGCATTCGCTTGGTTTTTCAGCCTGGTTCTTAGTAGGGAATGAGGGAATTAGGGCCCTGGGGTTTAGGGTTTAGGGTTTAGGGTTAGGGTTTCTGGAATGAGGGAAGTATTAGGGTCCTACATATACTCCCATCAAGGGAATATAGGGGGGCCCTCATTCCCCTGATTCCCGACTAAGAACAGGGGGTCGTTTTTTTTTCTTTTGTTGGGGGGGGGGGGGGGGGGGGGGGGGAGGGGGAGGGCCTTCGGTTGTTGTCGTCGTTGTTTTGTTGTTATTCTTTTTTGTTTTTTTTTACCTTTGGGGAGGGGGGCCTTGCAGTTTAAGGGTTTTGGGGTAAAGAGGGTTTTGGGGGGGGGGGGGGGTTTAGGTTTTTGGTTGGGGGGTTTAGGGTTTAGGGTTTCGGGTTTCGGGTTTAGGGTTTAGGGTTTAGGCTTTAGGGGGGGTAGGCCCTGAGGGCTCGGATCTCCAGCGCCCGCAGCCCTTTCGATACCACCAGCCCCCTATGCTTTCAACCACGAAGCTGAAGTCCTCAGGGCCTTAAAGCTCAGGAGATTGTGTTTGGGGCCGGGGGGGAAGGTAGGTGTTGCAGGTGAGAGACGAGTTGGGGTTTAGGAATTAGGGCTTTGGGGGGGGGCAGCGCCCACCACAAGCAGGAGCGGCTCGCGCTGGCACTTTGACCCCTGGGGCACGGCCGCCTGGCGACCTGGCTTCAAAGTTGGGGTGCAGGGTGCGGGTGAACATGAAGAGTTTCCCGGAACCCTAAATTATAGGCCCCTGAACCCTAAACCCTAAACCCTAAACCCCAAACCCTAAACCCTAAACCCTAAACCGCTAAACCCCTGAAATCCGAAGCCCCAACACGGCCTAGAAGAGGCCAAGGCTCCGAGAGGCCCGATTGAAGGCCAGCAGGATCCCAAGCTTGCTCGTTCGAAGTAGGGAAGATGGGACCTAGGTACCGGGCATTTTGGGACGAGGCAGGGCGCCTGCTTCCTAAATTCCTTCTCCCAAGAGCCAGTATGCAAACTCGGGAATATCATCCCTGAGACCACGAACATCCATCTGTCCTCTGTGATTTCGCTTTGGTTTTGCAAACCCTCGGTTTTGAAGCCGTGACGCCCCCAAGCGTGTAGATGCCATGCTATCGACATCGACATTCTCTGGTCCCTCCCACCTGAAAGCCCCTAACCCCACATGCTAGGGACTAAGCTCGTGTGTTTAGTAGAGCGAGCGGTGGAAGGATTGGATGTCTGCCATTCAAGTCCTTTGAGATCCCTGACACTCCCCAAAGCTCCCTGAATCCTCGAACCTCCGACCCCGAAGAATCCCCCTGCTACCGAACCCCAAAGCGATGAAGCAAAACAGGGCCCGAAAGAATTAGAAATGGGTTTTTGGGGGGATATTGTAGTAAAGTTATGCCTAGTATAGTTTCGCCTGAGGGAATACTATTCGTAATTCTTCCGACCCCTGTATTCGACCCTAGTGAAACCCCATAAAAACCCCTATAGTACAAAACCCCCAAAAAACCCTACAAAGCCCCAACACCTGACAAAGTCACCCTATCAAACCCTCTAAACCCCTGAAGGGTGTTTAAAGTGTCCTAACGGCCCGGGAGCCCCAAGTCGGGAAAGGAAGCTGCTATAGATCCCCAGCAAAACCCTGTAAACCCAAAAGAAAACCCTCACACCCTATAAACCCTATAAAAAAACTCATAAAATCCTCTAAAACCTATAAAAAACTCATCAACAACCCTCGAAAACGCCATAGCACCCAAGGAACCTGCTCTTCGAGGGCGAGAAGCTTTGGGCCATGGCGCCGCCCACAGGGTCGCCCCCGGGTGTGGAGGCCGCGAGATATGATCCCTAAAACCTATAAACAGTCCCAGAAACCCTATATTTAAACCCTAAAAACCCTATAAACCCTAGAAACCCTATAAACCCTAGAAACCCTATAAACCCTATAAGCCCTAAACCCTGTCCTAAAACCTATAGACAGTTATAAACCCCATAGACCCCACAAACCCTAAAAACCCTGCAATCACTATAAACCGTATAAACCCTAAACCCTATTCACCCTAAGCCAAAAACCCTAAACCTAAACCCTGTTTAGCAGTTTTAGAGGCCTCAGTTGGTTTAGGGTTCCCCTATAAGCTCAAAAGGCCTATGAACCCTATGAACCCTATAAACCCTATAAACCCGGTTAACCCTGAACCCTAAACCCCACTAAGCCCTACAAATCTCTAAGTCCTCTGAACCCTGAACCCTATAAGCCCGGTTTAGGGTGTCGGGCTTAGGGTTCAGAATGGTGGGCTGCCGAGTGGTCCGCGCGCGTCCGCGGGGCCCAGAATCATGGGTCAAGACGATTTCTCCCTAAACCCTAAACCCTAAACCCTAAACCCTAAACCCTAAACCCTAAACCCTAAACCCTAAACCCTAAACCCTAAACCCTAAACCCTAAACCCTAAACCCTAAACCCTAAACCCTAAACCCTAAACCCTAAACCCTAAACCCTAAACCCTAAACCCTAAACCCTAAACCCTAAACCCTGAACCCTGAACCCTGAACCCTGAACCCTGAACCCTGAACCCTAAACCCTAAACCCTAAATAAACCCTAAACCCTAAACCCTGCTGTACTAAGCCCTAAACTTTAAGAATGCTCGGAAGCCCTGCTTTGCCCATGGCCTCTTCTTGGAGGCACAGACGCTGGAGTCTAGCCTGTCTGGCGAGGTGGGAGTGGGACTCGAAGCTTTGTTTTTGGTTTTGTTTCATGGGAGTTTCCTTGGCAGTGCCTGTTCGTCGTTTGGGGGATTACGCGCATAGGAGTCCCAAACCCCTAAGTTTACGGGGTGTGAGTAGACCCTATATGGAGTGCCATTCAAAAAAGCGGGCCATATTTGGGATTTGGGATGTTCACCCTTATACTGACAGTCCTTTGCTTGTTCCAAACGCTTCTCGGCAGGAAGCCGAGGCAAATAATCCCCCAAAAGTACTGTTAATATGTTCGAATAATCCTTTGAATGAAATCCACGAAAACATATCATTAAGTTGTGAATGGAAGAAATCCACAAATCATGCATGGAATTAAGAGTGAGTATAGTTCTAGCACCACCATACAGGGGGAACATCCCAAATTCGGGTTTACTAAACATGGACATCGCGCAAACGATAAATACGGGTACTCATGGCAAGCATGGTCGTGATGATCGTGGTAGTCATAAGGGATGCCATTGTGGAAATGGCACCTTACGATGGCGTTGATACAGGGCTAGGCCAAACTAAGCAGAATTCCACCTCTTGAAACCTCCAAAGCTCGCCCCCAGCCCCCAAAGCCCCCGTTCCTAAGCTCCCCAAAGCGTCCAAACCCCCAGACCCTAACCCCGAAACCCTAGACCCTAAACCCCCCCTTCCCTAAACCCTAAACCCGAATTAAACCCTAAACCCTAAACCCTAAACCCTAAACCTTCAACCCTAAACCCTAAAGCCCCCAAAAGCTCTCTCAGTCCGCTCGGCGCTACTACGCCGCCCCGCCGGCCCTGGCCGGGCTTCTGGCAGCGCTGCCTGGGACACCCTGGTGGGGTTTGGGGTTTAGGGTTTAGGGTTTGGGGTTTAGGGTTTTGGGTTTGGGGTTTAGGGTTTGGGGTTTGGGGTTTAGGGTTTAGGGTTGATGGATTTCGAGATATGTTTGCTTGTTTTCTTCTCCCTCATTTCTTTGGCGGCCCTTCTTCGCAGAGAATTATCAGTCGAAGGGCACACAAGTCCAGGGGAGTGCAGGAGGGTTGTTACTGGTTCGGGTTTGGGGGCTAGTTTGAGGTTTGGCTGCTTGTTGCTTGAATTGTCGTTTGGGGTTTTCAGGGTTCGTACATCGGCAGGTGGCTCGGGCATGCTCAGCACGGCAGGCGATTCACCGGACGCGTCGAGTTGCTATGAGCTTGTGGCTGGTAGGGGTTTAGGGTTTAGGGTTTAGGATTTAGGCTTAGTGTCGCGCACGCATGTGTCTTTTCAAACTGTCCCGGCGATGCGCATCGTGCCCAGCCTGCGAAAACCAAGATCCGTGGCCCAAAATCCCAAGCCCGAACCCTAAACCCCAAACCGCACGGGTTGCAAAGTCCAGGCCTTACCCAAGCACCTCGTAAAGCCCCTGAAGCCCTCAGACCTCAAACAGCTCCATGTGGCCCGCAAGGAGCCCAAACGCGGAGAAGCTCCTCTGGGCAGTGCAGCAGCCAGGACGAGCTGAGGGGGGGGGTTGTAGGGTTCAGGGTTCAGGGGGTCTCGGGGATTTGTATTCAGGTTCAGGGGTTGGCGGATGCAGGCCAATGAATGTAGGGGTATTTGTCAACAGCCGACCCGGCCATGGCGCTTCATGTTGCCGGGTCTTTTCATCTGGTGTCTTCGGTTTTGTCTTGTTTTCGGGCATCTTTCCTCTAGGTTTCTTTGGGAGGGACAATAACGTCTGTTCCTACGTCCGAACACTGGTGTTTACAGAGTTCTTGCCTCTTTGCACAACATAGCGCAAAAGGCACGCTGCCGCAAGCGTTTATGTCTTTTGTGAACATGGCAAAAGCACTGGTATTCACAGCGTTCTTGCCTCTTTGCACAACATAACGCAAAAGGATGTTTGACGTTTATGGAACAAGACGTGCTGTCGCAAGCGTTTACGTCTTTTGTGAACATGGGCAAAACACTGGTAGTCACAGCGTTGTGGCCTGTCTTTGCACAACTCTCAATATATCTAGTAATAAATCTTATGTATTTTATGTTGATCTAGTAATATGATACTTCAATCTTATGTATTTTATACTGCCCATACACAACCAGCTGTGAAGGCCCAAGACCCTGAATTCAACCAAGTAGCTTTTCAGGACCTTGACAGCATGCATTTAGCAACAATGCCGCGCCTGCCACTGAACCCGAACTTGCCAACTTGTCAGGGCAGAAAACAACCGGGCAAAATAAAGCGCCCCGACCAACTACCCCCGACCCAAAATACGGCAAATACTCTTTAATGAAGTCTCTTCTGGGTGGGGTACGGGGGTGGCTGGGAAAGTGCTGAGGCAGTTCGGAGTCACTTGTAGGATCCCGTAAACTGCAGAAGGAGTCACCCTGAACCCTAAACCCTAAACCCTGAACCCTAAGCCCTAAACCCTAAACCCCAAACCCTAAACCCTAAACCCTAAACCCTAAACCCTAAACCCTAAACGCCCAACCTCAAGCCAGCCCAGCGCTGCCCTTCCAGGAGACCTCGTGTTTATCCCCAGTGGATGGTGGCATTGCACGGCCCCGTGGCGGAGCAGAGAGTCCTCGTAGGGTTTAGGGTTTAGGGTTTAGGGTTTAGGGTTTAGGGTTTAGGGTTTAGGGTTTAGGGTTTAAGGTTCAGGGTTTAGGGTCGGTAGCCTAAACCCTGAAGCCTGAACCCTGAGCCTTGGACCCTTAAGGCCTTAAACCCTAAACCCTAAACCCTAAGCCCGAAGCCCGAAGCCCGAAGCCCGAAGCCCGAAGCCCTAAGCCCTAAACCCTAAACCCTAAACCCTAAACCCTAAACCCTAAACACTACTCCGGGTGAGGGGTTACATCCTAAAGCATCAGGACTCAGTCTCGGGTGATAGTGCGTCACGCTTCCCGGTGAGTTCTGCGAAGCCTCCCGACCACGCACCGCACGCACCAGTCGCTTTGACTATAGGGTTTAGGGTTTAGGGTTGGGGTTTGGGGTTTAGGGTTTGGGTTTAGGGTTTACCCGACAAAATCAGAAAAGAAACACAAATAAGAACTACCCATCAACCCCAAACCCTAAACCTACAGCTTTGAGAGTCCAAACCCAAAGTCCAGAACCTAAATACCCCCAAACCCTAACCCCTAAACCCGTAACCCTAAACCCCCTAAACCCTAAGCTGTCTAAAAGCGGAAAGCTACACTCATTCTTGGTCTCGAGGTGTCGCTCTCCAAGACCGTGGCCTACACCAGGACGGTTCAATTCTGGTCTTTAGGCTTCGGGGGTTGTTCTGAACTCGGGTCCTCTTGTGGAAGACCTTTGTCATCGCCCCCCCCCCCCTCAACAAAGCAAAGCCCTTAAGCCTGAACATCGAAACTTTAGAAAACCTAAGCCCTAGAGTCCACAGTCGCCGTTTCAATTGCGTTCCATGATTCCAGCCCTTTGGAGCCTTACGGTTTTGGGGATGAGTTGGGCTGGGGTTTGGGGATTCGGGTGCACATAGGTTTAGGAAGCAACCCTGGTGGTGCAGATTGCAAGAGCGGCGTGCCCGAATGAAAGGCCAAAACAAGCCCAATGGCTGGAGACTCTCAGATCGTTGCGAGGCAGAGAGTATCTCCTGAAGGCAGCGACGAAGAAAGCCTGAAAAGGCCGAAGAAATGGCGACAGCGTTGTAGATGTGACCCCACAGATGAGTTCAAAAGGTGGCCTGCCTTGACACAGAGGCGTTGCGGCTTTTTAGGGTTTAGGGTTTCAATGGGGCGAGAAGGACATTGTGATGACTTGCGGCTTTCGGATGCCCCAGGAAACGGGACATGCAGCATCGCTGCTCGACCTTGAGAGGTTTCCAGTGGTGCCCTTATTCCCTTTTTCAGCAGGTTTAGGTGCCCTTCTAAACCCCTTTAAGCAAAAAAGGGCACCTTTTTTTTCATCCTAGGTAACTGGGCAACCTAGCCACTATGGGGGGTCGGAATAGGTACTTCTTGCCTTCCGTCCTATAGTGCCTTTGTGGTTGTAAAGCAGCCGGGCCTTCAGAGCATGCGGTATGTGTAGAGGACGGTGCGAAATTCCGCACTACCCTAAACCCTATAGACCCTAAATGGGGGGAGACGGAGTTCCGTTGATTTAGGGCGGTTCCCAAGTTGAGGGGGGTGGGGGAGGGTTGGGGGGGTGGGGGGGGTTGGGGGGGGTGGGGGGGTTGGGGGTGGAGGGGGGAGCCGTTGACAGGCGGCATCGGTTTGCAGCTGCTCCAAGCGATCCGGAAAGGGGGGGGGGTGGTGGCGTCACAAAGTTCCGGAGGGGGGGAAGGGTTGGGTTAGGGGAAGGAGCCTGATCCGGGTCTGCTTGTTCCAGACGCTTCTCGTAGCCGAGGCGAATTGTACTCTAATCACCCCCGACCCCCCCAAGCCCTCTTCTACTTATTCAGGTCCCTTAGTGCCCTAGATGAGTTATTTCCCGAAGAACACCAAACACTCCCAACTTTCGTTTCGCTGTTTCTCCTCGACGAGAGGAGCCCAACAGGGCCACGACAAGAAGAACGCGGGCAAGAGTTCCCCGCAAAAACACTAAACCCGAAACCGTAAACCCTAAACTCGTACCCTTAAATCAAGCACCCCGCAGGAACTACATCAACAGCAGCGTGCCCAGTTGCGAGTCTTTGAGTATCGGTTGTTCGCTAAACCCTGAACCCCAAACCCTCAACCCTAGGCTCCTGAACCCCCAAGAACCCTAAGAACCCCAAAGAACCCTAAGAACCCTAAGAACCCTAAGAACCCTGAGAACCCTGAGCTAAGAACCCCAAGAACCCTAAGAACCCTAGGAGCCCTAACCGCAGCTCGTCGCCCCATAGTCTCAGAAAGAAGCTTTGCCAGAGTTAGTTCTCAGACCTCTCACCCCTGAAAAGCGCGCCGGGGGGTTGATAGGGTTTCCAGGGTTTGCAGGGTTTCTCCCGGGTTTGTAGGGGGTTTATCGGGCTTATAGAGTTTCTCGAGTGTATAGGATATTTTTGTGCCCCCAGATGACCAAGGTCACAACTTCCTTCGAGCGCAGGGCTCGCTGCCCCGCGGCCGGAACTTGGGATTTAGCTTTCCTGACCCACTCATATGGGCTTGTGGGACTAGGGTTTTAGGGTGTTTGGCTTTGTTGGGTTCTGGGGGTTCTAGGATTGTGGGGTTTTAGGGTTTTAGGGTTTCCGGATTGTGGGGTTTAGGGTTTTAGGGTTTTGGGGTTTTTAGGGTTTTAGGGTTCTTGGGGATTTAGGGTTTTGGGGTTTTGGAGTTTCAGGGTTTTCGGGCTAGGGCTTGGGGGGGTCTAGGGCCAGGGTTCAGGGACCTCCTAAAACCAATACTCCTTCAGCTACAGGCCAAGGCCCTTCACTGGATAGCTGTTCAGAAACTGTAAGGAAGTGTAAAGCTTAGGGTTTAGGGTTTAGGAATTAGAGTGATCGGGATGTTAGCATATGTATAGCTCCACCTGAGCCTAGAAGCTTTAAATCCAAGTCCATGTGGCCCCTGTAGGGCTCGGAGTGTACAGTCAGTGCGCTTTCTAGCTCTCCGCAAAGCCTATGTACCACAAGGTGAAGGAAAGCAGTTCTATACTGCCCTAAACCCTAAACCCTAAACCCTAAACCCTAAACCCTAAACCCTAAACCCTAAACCCTAAACCCTAAACCCTAAACCCTAAACCCTAAACCCTAAACCCTAAACCCTAAACCCTAAACCCTAAACCCTAAACCCTAAACCCTAAACCCTAAACCCTAAACCCTAAACCCTAAACCCTAAACCCTAACCCTAAACCCTAAACCCTAAACCCTAAACCCTAAACCCTAAACCCTAAACCCTAAACCCTAAACCCTAAACCCTAAGCCTAAACCCTAAACCCTAAACTACCCTAAACCCTAAACCCTAAACCCTAGACCCTCAGGAGTTCGCTTCATCCGGCCATGGCGGCACAGTTGAAGCGATGGCGCCTCGGCCAGGAAGTCTTCAGCGCAGAGAGGCTTTCTTGGGGGTTCAAGTTCTCAATAGGGGTTAGGGTTTAGGGTTTAGGGTTTGGGGTTTAGGGTGTGACTCGGGTTGCTATTTGCGTACGAGCACACTCTCTGCATCGAAATTGTGTCTAGTTGCTTGTGTTGAGAAAGCTAAGTGTTGCTTATCAGCATTCGGGTTGCCTATAAGCACTACGTAGCGGGAGGGGAGTGGGAGTGGGGGGGGGGGGGGGCGTTTCCCAACACATCCCAACATAACATAGCAAGACCCCCACCCCCCCCCCCCCCCCCACCCATCCCAGCTCTGTTGCCCAGGTATCTCGACGGCATCGTGCTGTTAACCCTAAGAACCGTAAATCCACCGATAGGTTTTAGAGACGAGCCCTGAAAAGCCCTTAAAGAAAGCCAGGGAGCGCAGCGGAGCGGAGGGGGTTGTTTTTGTTCGTGCGGGTGCTATTTTGCTACTGGCCCCGGAAGATCTTCCGGAAGGTTTTGGCTTGAAGGTTGAAGATGCCAGGGAAAAAACTTCTCCAGGGAATCTTCCATCTCAATCTTCAAACCAGAGTCTTCCGGAGGATCTTCCGGAAAGAGTTCGGATACATATCCTGTGTCTTTCTCGCTCTCATTTGTAGTTTGTAGAAGTGTACCTAAACCCTAAACCCTAAGCCCTAAGCCCTAAGCCCTAAGCCCTAAACCCTAAACCCTCTAGCCCTCTAACCCTCTAACCCTCCAACCCTCTAACCCTCTAACCCTCTAACCCTCTAACCCTCTAACCCTCTAACCCTCTAACCCTCTAACCCTCTAACCCTCTAACCCTCTAACCCTCTAACCCTCTAACCCTCTAGCCCTCTAACCCTCCAACCCTCTAACCCTCTAAACCCTAAACCCTAACCCTAAACCACAAGCGGCCATGCCCCTGAGTCCACAAGGATATGGCGTCTCCACATGGCCCGGGCTCCCAAGAAGGGTTAGGGGTTTAGGGTTAGAGTTTAGGGTTTAGGGTTTAGGGTTTAGGGTTTAGGGTTTAGGGTTTAGGGTTTAGGGTTTAGGGTTTAGGGTTTAGGGTTTAGGGTTAGGGTTTAGAGTTTAGGGTTAGAGTTTAGGGTTTAGGGTTTAAGGTTGAGAGTTTAGGGTTCAGGGTTTAGAGGGTATAGGGGGTTTAGGGGGTTTAGGGTTTAGGGTTTTCGGGTTTTAGGGTTTAGGGCTAGGGGGGCCGAAACATCAACACTTGAGAAACTCAGGGGGCTGACTTGAGAGCTCGAGCGGATCCTGGAGTTCCAAAACAGCCTAGCCCGCACGAAAAGCCCCCCCCCCTACCGCAAAAAAAAAAAAACAAACGAAGAACAACAAAAGCAAAAACAAGCATTCTTGCCTATAAGGGCAAATTAGAGATTATCCTCTTTCAGTTGTTTGGAGGTGCTTAAGCAAATGGTGGTTTTGGACTGGGTCCCAGGCTGGTGGCCCACAGCAACAGCCCCGACAACAACCTGCAGCCCTAATGCAGTGAATCTCAGACCCCTGCCAGAATTTGGAAAGTAAAGCCCCCTCCAATTCTGTACCCCCCCCCCCATGGAAACCATGTCGGGCAATGTTGAGGGCTCTGAAAGAACTACTTTCTGGATACTCCCAGGGGTCGTTGGGTATTTCAGAAAGGTTCCCTTTAGTTGCAGTTAGGTCCCGGGTTTTATCACATTCCTTACTTGGAGGTTCGCAGGTACTTATTACAACCCCCAGTAGCGTTATAATTCTACCTATAACCTACTTGAAAGACTTGGAGGATCCAGGGGGCTTAGAAGTACAGGTTTTTAATTGGGGGTTCTATGTACCCAAGGAATTGGCTGTGTGGGGGACCGGACTTGCCAAGGACGAAGACGAGGAAGAAGGCGACGACCGGCCGTCGAAGAGACAAAAAAGACTCGTAAAGGATTGACGTGTGGGGTTTTAGGGGTTTCGGGTTAAGCGGTTAGGGGTTTAGGGTTTAGGGTCTAGAGTCTTTGCTTTCGTATATTCTTCGGTCACCCCTGTTTGAGGCGGAGCTTTTCAGTTTAATGGGCCCCTGGCGCACCATAAACGTTGCTACAGGGCCCGCAACCCCACTCCATAACAGATCCATACCTAAACCCTAAACCCGAAACCCTAAACCCTAAACTCTAAACCCTAATCCCTAAACCCTAAACCCTAAGGCGTGCCTGGTTGCTTTTTACAAACATGGCGATGCGAAGAGACGTGCCGGAAGAGTTCCTAAGGTAGACTCGGGTAGTTTCTGTAAGCATGCGAACCGCAGGTGGTTTAGGGTTTAGGGTTTAGGGTTTAGGGTTTAGGGTTTACGTCGTGTCTCGCGGCACGAGCTGTCATGAATGTGCATGCACTTACCGTGCCATGCTGTCCCGAAGCGAGGTCCCAAATACGAATGTAATACTAACTTGAGCTATGTTCGATTAATGATGAGGCCATTGAAGCCCGAAGCGCCGACAAATGCCAAGCAAAGCTCGCATCACGGACCGCGGCGTTGCTCACCTCCAGCTCGGCTCAGGCAACTCTTGAGGATCTGTTGTTGAGGTAGGCGCTCAGATCGACGATGTCGCGCGCAGTGCTACTTGCTTGCCTTGTGTGCAGCGCTGCTGCGGGTACGGTCGAAGTCTACATGCGCGATTTCAGTGACTCGCAGTGCACCGGTACGATCAGGCACACGCGGAACTTCACTCTTGGAGTTTGCAGCACTGATGCAGAGACTGGTGTAACACAGCCGGTAAGGTGAACTACAGCTGGATGGTTACGTGCAACTCCGACAACGAGATCGTGGTAGTCAGCCACTTCGCTCCAGGCTGCATGGGCACGTCCGACGGAACCGACCGCCAATCCGGGACATACACGCCCAACCTTGCCGGCTGCACAAACCCCATGTGGATGGAAGGGAGGGCGAGCATGAACGCCACCCTTGATGCCGGCGACTGTGGCACCACTACAACAACCTCGACCACGACCACGACGACAACCGGAAATGACACGACGACAACTGGAGCATCAACTTCAGCAGGCGCGGCAGCTACATCAGGAAGCAGCGGCTGGGGCAATGTTCTGCCTAACCTTGTGGCCATGTCCTTCCTGGCCATGTGTTGAGCTGAATTGTGTGCTCATTTACTGAGCTGAGGCCAAACACCCATGATGCAATGGGTGTAATTAAAAAAAAAGGCAGCTGATTCAAACCAATCCCCGTGCATTGGAGACGAACTGTGAGCTGTGTTCTTCATAACTATCAAGATGTTCGTTGTGATTGTCTTTTTCTTCTTGTCGATCGTCATCGTTACAAATAAATAACTGTTCCTGTTGTTGCCTGTGTTGGAGCCGTAGCACGGATTGTTTTGATCCTCAGCTGCGCACGGAGCATGATGCACTACGAATTCTCCTTCCTAGTGCGGTTGACTGGATGCTGCTGTCCCCAAAGGTAACGATGTAAACATAATTTGACGGCAGGAACCCAGTTGCGCAGTTGGCTACCGATCAAGCCCAACAAACGTGTGGGTGGAACTGTGCAGACAGGAAAACAGGCTCAAGCCCTAAGCCCGAAGCCCTAAGCCCTAAGCCCTAAGCCCTAAAACCTAAACCCTAAACCCTAAACCCTAAACCCTAAACTCTAAACCCTAAACCCTAAACCCTAAACTCTAAACCCTAAACCCTAAACCCTATCAGCTGGGCGTTGGTCCCTTTGCCTGAGCGCCGAAACGCCATAAGCCTCGACCCTGAAGTCCTCAAGCCTAACAGCCCCATGGCCTTTAGAAAGCCCTACCGCCCTAAACCACACGAGAACCCAAACCCCCCAAAAATCCAAAGCCCTCAAGCGCAAAAAACCGCAAACACCCCCAAACGCTGTAAACCCTGAACCTGGTTTAGGGTTCAGGGCTTAGTGTGCTGAAGAATCCTGTGTGACCCTAAGCCCTAAGCCTTCTGGCTATTGGTTGCCATCATTACCCTTCTTTTCTTCTAGTTTTCAGTTCACTGAGGAGTTTTGCTGATTCCCGTTCCAAAGGGGCACTGCATTAAATCCTTCTTGGAGGTTCATGGTACTTAGTAGCTAATTCTAGCTGTCCATATACCCCAATTGTAATCCCCCTAAGTCTAGTTACTTAGGCGACAATTGGGTTGCAAGTACAGTTATAATTTGTTACTACGTACCAGGAATCCCCAAGTAGTTCTCATGCCCAGGTCTAGGGATGGCAAGGGGAAGACCTCGGCAACCATTAGGCGCTTGCACCTACACGGCAGATCATATGAACCCTATATAAACCCTACATAAAGCCTACATAAACCCTATATAAACCCTGTATAAACCCTAAGGTGTGAGAGAGGCCTTTCTTCTGAAGCAGGTTTCGGCCGCCCCAAAGCCGCAAGTCACTTGGGGAATGAGGGTCGACAGTTTTACCCACCCAGTATGCAGATGTTCACCTGCTCGCCTTGCCATAAACCCTAAACCCTAAACCGTAGACCCTAAACCCTACACCCTAGACCCTAAACCCTAACCCTAAACTGCCGCAGCTTGTCCCAAGCTTGCAATTTTTTGTGGGGTAGCGTCCGGAGATACGGGGTTCTCCATCTGCTGACCATTTTGAGAAGCCAGGCGCCGTAGGGGCAGGATGTCTCTTGGGGCAGACTCCCAAGTACCATCAACCCACCAGCCCTCAGGGTTTAGGGTTTAGAGTTTAGGGTTTAGGGCTTAGGGCTCAGGGTTTAGGGTTCAGGGTTAAGGGTTTAGGGTTCAGGGTTTAGGGTCTCGAGTCTTAGGGTTTAGGGTCTAGGGGTTTAGGGTTGAGGGCTGCTAGGACCCAGATCACTTTTTTAGGGGTTTGGGTTCCCTCGTTAGCCCCTTAACACCAAAAAGGGGCACTCTGTTTGTTCCTAGGTTACTCTTGGGTCTAGTTTCTGGCACTTGCACCAACTGGGTACCAATGCGGTACCCTGGTAGTAACATCGGCAAACACTTTTTGCTCCGGCACCTACCGATTCGCAGGTGCCTCCGATGAGAAAGATCTAAGCCACCCACTGTGGCCAGTTTCAGGGATGGCTGAAAGGTGCAGCCAAGCTCTCTCCCCCGCAAATACTGAATGTGCATTATTGGTATTCTTCTTCTTATTTTTATGCACTATGACAAACTCCAAACCCTAGACCCTAGACCCTAAACCCGAAACCCTAAACCCTAAACCCTAAACCCTAAATACAGTATCATGCGCCGTTTTGTCCCCCCCCCCCCCAAGGCGGCGGATCGAAGCTCGCCGAGTGGCAATGGTCCTGGGCTTGCTGCTCTCGGACAGTGCCCGAAAGGGGGCGGGGGTTTCATGGTTTCGGTTTAGGGTTTAGGGATTATAGGGTTTAGGATTTAGGGTTCAGGGTTTAGGGTGTAGGATTTAGGGTTTAGGGCTTAGGGTTTAGGGTTTCGGGGGTTTCAAGCGCAGGTTTTTGCCCGAAAGCGTGGCCAGGGGTATTCAGCGGAGGTGGTTTTCGATATCGTTGACGCGTAGATTGATGTCAAAATGGATGATGCATGGATGCATGGCGTGATGGATTTCATGGATTTCCGAGCATGATTCTGATGCATTTGGTGGGAGCCACCGCCGCACCTCCGCAAAATTGCGCTGGCGTGTCCCGAAAGTATTTTGAGCCACGATTCAAGACCACCATCTCGGCGCCAGTGACGCGGCAGCGATGTGGGGCAGGTGTTTGAAGACAACTACGAGTGATGCCTTAGATCTGCACTCTACTGCGACCTGTCCTCCTTATTGGCACGCTTCCGAAAAGGTGCTTTTGCCTCGATATGGATCGAACGCCCATGCCCCATGGAGGAAAGGGCCTTCTTTCACGCTCCCAAAAATCTGCGAGCCTACACCCTGGCGAGGCTGTGCGAAGCGCGAAACAGCCTAACAGCGGCATGGCAAAGACAAAGAAACAGCCCAACAGCAACAACCTCTCCTCGATCATCTCGACGAGGGAAAAACCCTTCATGCCAACCAACTGCTGGCCTCGCGCAGGGGTATAGGGTTTAGGGTTTAGGGTTTAGGGTCGTTGTTGTCAGCAGCCACGGCTGGTGAAGAAGCTACGGACGAGGCTCCTGAAAACCTTGCGCCTTGTGCTCGTGGACCAGGCTTAGCCAGGTCTCACGGCGGGGCCATGACTCGCCCGATCCATTGAGAGGGTCGTCGTTCGCTCTAGGGTCACGCCAACGCCACGGCACCCCGGTGAACGCCGAGAGGGTTGTCCTTCGTGGCCAGAACGCCTTGAAAGGGGGTGTGGAAGGAGGGGTTTGCGCGATTGGGCGGGGAGAGGGGGGGGGGGGGGTGGTGCCGTAGGCATGGTTTAGGCAGTTTCCGCGATCTGGGCCGGCTTGAGAATCGCAGCTGTGCCCTCTACTGCCGGCCACGTGCTAAACCCTAAACCCTGAACCCGAAACCCGAAACCCTAAACCCTAAACCCTAAACCCTAAAGTCTCTGGAGGATCTAAATCGCCTTCGGGTGCACGACCAAGTCTATGTCATCGTTCAGGCGCCGGTGTCGATGATGTTCGGGCCGAAGACGGGTCAATCTCGGAGTGAGGATCCCCAAGCTGTATTAACCCTAAACCCTAAACCCTAAACCCTAAACCCTAAACCCTAAACCCTAAACCCTAAACCCTATGCCCTAAACCCTAAACCCTAAACCCTAAACCCTAAACCCTAAACCCTAAACCCTGTATAGTGTATGAACGGCCGAGGAGTGAGGATCCCCAAGCTGTAGAGTGTGCCACAAACTCCAAGCCCCCCCTTAAAAGAGCCTTTTGTGCAAGAGGCAAAAACCCTAAACCCTAAACCCTAAACCCTAAACCCTGAACCCTGAACCCTGAACCCTGAACCCTGAACCCTGAACCCTGAACCCTAAACCCTAAACCCTAAACCCTAAATAAACCCTAAACCCTAAGCCCTAAACCCTAAAATGAGTTGAGAGAGGCAACCGTCTTCCTGCCCATCTCCCTTGTGATTTGCGTCGTTGAGTGGAGTCGAGGGACCCGGAGGAAGCCACAGCTTGCTATAGCAGGCGGGGCTTCGGGTTTCGGGTTTGTGGTTTGGGGTTTAGGGTTTAGGGTTGCCCGGAGGATTTCATCCCCACCCCCTTATGGTAACCCCCCCCCCCCCCGCTAATATTACATACCCCAGTATCGTTATGTAATAGTATACTGGGGGGGGGATTAATTAACATTAGGGGGATCAGCGGGGGTTCGGGAGCCAACCGTTAAGATCCTGTACTTCAGCACCCCCAAAATATCCTCACAAAGAACCCTAAGCCCTGAAGCAGAAGCCTTAAGACACCTTTCAACGCGTTCCCCGACGACCTTGGACCTGAACAACGCAACATGACCACCCTGAACCCTTGAATCTAAACCCTAAACCCCCCAACAGCTCTTGAGTAGAAAATCGGAAAGAGACCAACCCTAAACCCTAAACCCTAAGCCCTAAACACTAAACCCTAAACCCTAAACACAGCATGTGAGTAGGCCCCACGGGCTTCTGCCTGCCAACTCTCCGGTCTAGAGGTTTGGCGATTGGGGTCTGCAGAGAGGGGTTAGGGCCGGGAGGTTTTTTTGGTTTAGGGTTTAGGGTTTAGGGTTAAGAGGGGTTGAGGTCCAACACAACAGATCCTGCATCCGGCTCTTGTCAGGCGATGCTCGAGATCAGCATGCCCTTCGCCTCCGCACACACAGTCTGGCAAGTGTGCAGTTGTTTTTGGGGCGGTCCTAGGCCCGAAACCCCCAACCCAAAGTTGAGATGTTTAGGGTTTAGGGTTTAGGGTTTAGGGTGTTGGGCCGGTTTCACCTCAGGGGTTCCTACCCGGAATGGAACAGCCTAACTGAGGCTGTGCGGGTTGCCAAGATTGCCGCGGATGTCAGGACGTTGGGTGGCAGCCCCTACATAACGTAAACCCTAACCCTATAAACCCCAAACCCTAAACCCCAAACCCTAAGCCCCAAACCCCTGAAATCCCCGTGCGAAGGGCCCATGGGCCTTGACGTGACACATGCGAAGGTATCTTCGGGCCTCGCGGCTCGCTGGAAAAGGAGCTCTCGGAGCTTCTATGGGCCCCAAGCCCTGAGCCCTAAGCACAAACATCAGCCCCTACACCACCTTAAACTAAACCCTATAAACCCCAAACTCTGGACCTCAAACACCTACACCTTAAACTAAACCCCAAACGCTAAGCCCTAGATCTCGAACACCTAAACCCTACCAGCCCCCTAGGAAGCCCCTCCTCTGCGCAGGAGTCAGGCCAAGGAAGGCGGCTCGGCTGAGTTCCACTCAACATGAACAGTACCCCAAACAGTTGCCGGTTCGATTTCTCCCCTAACAGGTAACTTTTGTCGGATTGCCTCTTCTACGAAAATGCGGCTTAACAAAAAGGAGCATTCGTCTAGAATGGTGCCCTTTCTTGTACCTCTGAGAATAGAGTCAAGGATGTCCATGGTCCCCTTCGTCCCTTGAATCCAGGGGCGTGTCCAACAGCTCCAAGGCCCTTGAAGCCCTAGTCCAAAAAAGCCCCCCTCAACCCGAAACCCGAAACCCTGAAACCCTAAACCCTCAACCCTCAACCCTAAACCCCGAACCCTGAACCCTAACCCCTGAAACCCTAAACCCTGAAACCCTCAACCCCAAACCCTAAACCCTAAACCCTAAACCCTAAACCCCAAACCCCAAAGCCCAAACCCTAAACCCAAAGCTCAGGTGGGCTCTTCACCTCGCGGCCTGACCGGGAGCGCATCAGCTCACGCATCACCCGCCTTCTGGCAGAGTGGAAGTGTTTGGGGGGTTTGGGGTTTGGGGTTTAGGGTTTGGGGTTTGGGATTTGGGGTTTAGGGTTTGGGGTTTGGGGTTTAGGGTTTAAGGGGGGGGGGGGGGTTGGGAGGGTTCGCGGTGTGGGGCAGAGCGGTTCAGGGTTGACGGTTTAGGGTGTATTTAGGAGCCCTGACCTGCTGGAGCCACGGGCCGCGGAGCCTCAAGGTTTTGGGGTTTTGAGGGTCTGAGGGGTCTTAGGGTCTGAGGGACAGGCGCCTGGAACGCGGCAGACCGCGGACGTGGTTCGGGGTTTCAGGGGCTCAGGGTCTTCGGGGTTTAGGGCTGAGGGTTCGGGTGGTTTCGGCTTGGGGTTGCTCCGCCCCCTTCCCTGTTACAGAAGATGAACCCTGACCTGCCATCCTGTTCTGTGTAGTTGTCGCCCTAAACCCTAAACCCTGCACCCCAAACCGAAACCCTAAACCCCAAACCCCAAACCCCAAACCCCAAACCCTAAACCCTAAACCCTAAACCCTAAACCCTAAACCCTAAACCCTAAACCCTAAACCCTAAACCCTAAACCCTAAACCCTAAACCCTATAGAGCCCAACTCCCGCAGCTCCGCGCAAGCGGACCGTGGACACGAGCCAGCTGAAGAACATTGTCCAGGCCTGGTGGGTTGGATCTTGAGGGGGTTTAGGGTTTAGGGTTTAGGGTTTGGGGTTTGGGGTTTAGGGCTTAGGGCTTAGGGTTAGTCAGTTCGCGTTCAAAGGTTTTGTAGGGTTCAGGGTTGAGGGTTGCACCCGCACCCCTACATCCAACAAGCGGGTCGGGGTAGCTCGGTTGATTGAATGGCGCAAGAACCAAAGACAAGGAAGACCAGTCCCTTCAACCTTAATTCCCAACAATCCCCCCCCAAAAAAAAGAAGCAAGTAGATAAAATACAAAGAAAAAACCACCCACCTTGAAACCCAGAAACCCCTCACAACCATGAGCCTTTGCCTCCTGGCGCCGCAAACCCTATGCCCCCAAACCCCAAACCCCAAACCCCAAACCCCAAACCCCAAACCCCAAACCCCAAACCCCAAACCCCAAACCCCAAACCCCAAACCCCAAACCCCAAACCCTAAACCCTAAACCCTAAACCCTAAACCAACCCCACAACCCATGAGCCTTTCCCTCCTGGCAACCCGAGACAAGGTCGACACCGAGAAGGGCGTCGTCTGCGTCGAGCCGCGCCTTCGGATGGTCGAGCTCTCGCACTACCTCCTCAGGCGCCTCCTGGGGTGGGGTTTAGGGTTTAGGGTTTAGGGTATGGGTTTAGGGTTCAGCGTTGAGGCTTGAGGGTTCAAGGTGTAGGGTTCAGGGTCTCGGGTTTGGGGTTTTGGGTGTTGGGTTCAAGCCTTATGACCCTAGCCCTTCAAACCGTTTAAGCCCTTTAAGAGCCTCTGAGCCCATTCTCAACTCGACCGTCTTCAACCCTTTAAAAGGCCCCACGACCCCCGAGTTGCAGGCAAGGCTACACCGTCCCTTGCGTGCCAGAGCTCGACGACCTCACCGTCGGGGGGCGGCTTGGCGCGAAACTGCTTTGAGGGGATTTCACCGAATACTACCCTGAAGAAGGGATGGTTGTCCGACATCACGTTCAGCCCCGCAAGGCGTTGTTCAAGCCTCGCGTGGCGGAAGCCGTCGCACTTGACCTTAGTCCGCACAGACTCACATTGATGCGCCCTCTAGGTTCTGAGGCCGCGCCAGACGAGCTCTGGGACACGGGGGGTGCTAAGCACAAACGTGATCAATTATGGACAGGTGCTACCTATCTTGCCGCCAACGGTCACACCGAGCGTTCCGCAATGGCAGCCGTGAAAAAGATTAGAGACAAACTTAATGCCAAGAAAGCAGCCCGCAAACACGCTTTCTATACCCTAAACCCGAAGGCCTTGACCCTAAGCTCTAAAACCCCAAATCCCTCCACCTCCTCCCTCCCTCCCCGACTCACCCTCCCCCTCCCTCCCCCCAGAAACAGAGGCTTCTGATGGGCTGCGGCATCGAGTCGACGTCCTGGAAGTACGGGATGTTCAACGAGATCTGCCCGCCGCCGCGAAGGGTTTCGATCAGGGGGGGGGGGGTGGGGGCTCAAGGATCTCTCGCTTGTCGGTTTTTTTTTTTTTGGGGGGGGGGGGGGGGGGGTTTTAGGGGTCTGCTTATCCCCGGCATGTTTTGGGCTTCGGCTTTGTGTTCGGTTCGTCAAGGGGTTGAGGGGAGTTTGGCAGGAGTTGTGGTGACTTTCAGGCCGCACGCTTGCTGTCCTTCCTTGGGGGCGAAGCCCGTTCTGGTTGTATTTGTCAGGAAGCATCGACGAGGAGGCATCGGGCACAGGCCACCCGCCTAAGCCCCCTAACACCCCAACGCCCTAACACCCTAACATCCTAACACCCTAAACACCCTAAACACCCTAAACACCCCTACGCCCTCCCATGAAACCCTCTTAGCAGCATCGACGTGCCGCCACCCAAGGCAACTCCTACGAGCTCGTCACTTGCGCCGGCGAGGCACTGCAGTCGAAGCTTCGGGCATTTTTACGGGCATTTTTAGGATTTTTAGGGCGCTTAGCGGCGTTTAGGGGGTTTGAAGGCCCCCAGGCCCCGAAGCATCGCGAGCCGGAGCTCAACCTACCCACGAAGTCGGCGGAGAAACGGGGGGTCCCCAAGGTCACAGTTTTAGGGTTGAGGCGGGTTGCCTTGAGAAGTTGTGTCCTACGCCCCACCTCCTTACAGCCGCGACCCCGCGAGCCAAGCTCGACTCCACCATTGGCCGAGAGGTTCTTCAGGTCACGCCAGAGAGCGACAAGGACGCTGCGTTGTTGTGCTCATTAGAGGGTCGGTTTTGGGGTTTATAGGTTGTAGAATATAAGGGGGTGCGTGGTGCGTAGGGGTTGAAGCCCTATGCGCCACTGCCTGTGGGTTTGCAGGGGGGTTTTTGGGGGTTGAAGGGGGGGTATCCCATACCCCCCCCTCTATACTGCTCCCAACGCCCTATTTTTTTAAAGGCTATTTCAGGATAATGAAGCCCAATTTAGGTTCTTTAAGGGGGGAACAAAGGGGGTAGGAAAGGCGGGCAGTAGGGAAACCTATGTCTTTTGGTTCCCTAAACCCTAAACCCTAAACCCTAAACCCTAAACCCTAAACCCTAAACCCTAAACCCTAAACCCTGAACCCTGAACCCTAAACCTTAAACCCTGAACCCTGAACCCTGAACCCTAAACCCTAAACCCTAAACCCTGAACCCTAAACCCTGAACCCTAAACCCTAAACCCTAAACCGCGCAGGAACTCTTTTACACGCTGCCGTGGAGCCATGGCACCCACGGCATCCTCGTCGCAGCCACGGGGCGGCAGACAATTGTGTCAGCTCCTCTGCGCCCTAAAAACCCCAAACCCTAAGCCCCTAAACCCTAAACCGATACCCAAAACCCCTAAACCCTAATCCCCTAAACCCTAAACCCTAAACCCTAATCCCCTAAACCCTAAACCCTAAACCCTAAACCTCTCCGTGGGGGGAAGGGCGCCTGGGGCACCTGGGGAACTTCTCCTGAGCCCACATGGGACACTGAGGCGACGCTGCGCATCATTCCAGCCACCCGGCCAGAGTTTGGGGGTTTAGGGATAAGGGTTTAGGGTTTAGGGTTTAGGGTCTAGGGTCTAGGGTATAGGGTTTAGGGTTTGAAACCCCAAAAAACAAAAAATGATAATCCCTGCCCGCTGTATATTACCCTTAATTATTGTTTTCTGGGGGTTCTTAGCAATTCGTAGTCTTGGGGTCCTTATTATAAGGGGATGCTACTATTTTGGGGTCCTAGAAACCCCAGTTGTCCAGCAGACCACGTTTCAAGGTTGAGGGTTTTTGTTGGGGCGTTCCTGCTTCTTTGTGTTGCCCCCACCCTCAGAAGGGAGCATGATTTGGAGCACTGACCACACGGTAGCAAGCAAGAAGCCAAGCTGCCTGAAGGGCAATCAGAACCCTCCAATCACCCCAACCGTTTCCCCAAACCCTAAGCTCTAGGTAGGCTCTTGGGACATTTTACATGTTCCGTTCTTGGGTTTTAGAGGGTCATATTATGAAGGATTCTTTTCGGAGGGTTTTAAAGGGCCATCCTAGAATGAACAACCCTCAGCGCAGCCCTGACCTGCTTCTGCCTCAGCTGTCCCGGTGAGGCGAAGCCGTACGTGAAGCTTCAGCTGTCGCACTGCGCCGATCGAGACACCCTCTGTGAGCAGCTCCAGACCCTTTGCGCGGAGAAAGGTTTGAGGGTCTAGGGCTTAAGGCTCGAAATCTTTGCGCCTGCAACGGGCTTGTTCAATAGCTTGTGCATTAGACAGGTCACAGGTGTAGCAGCCCCTTTGACCTCTTGCGCACGCCCTAGGATGTTCGGAGAAAGCAGACCCCCCCCCAACTCACTGTAGTGCCCCCGAAGAAGCATATTCCATGATGCCATGCCACGGTCCTCCACATCTCAGGGAAGCTTGCTGAGGCGGTCCTGGCATTTCCGGGATCCCTAAAGCCGTAACCCCCCCCCCAAACCCAGTACAGTTAAGGCCGAGACCTAAGCCTAAACGAACCGCAAACCTGCAGCAAACCACTGAAACGCTTGAAGCCCTTGAATCCTAAACTCCTGAACCCCCACAACCGCTGAAAAACCCTGATAAACCCCAAAACCCTAAACCCTAAACCCCAAACCCTAACCCCTAAACCCTAAACCCTAAAGCCTAAAGCCTAAACCCTAAGCCCTAAATCCTAAACCCTAAACCCTGAGAATCCAGGAGCGCGGTCAAGGGAGGCGACCACGAGTTCGTTGAGGGCCTTGCCTTCAACCGCAACTCCGCGGTCGTCGCTCGGATGTCGCAGCACCTTTTGGGGGGGGGCTTTTCGGGTTTAGGGTTTAGGGGATTAGGGTTTAGGGTTTAGGGGATTGGGGTTTAGGGGTTTTGGGTATCGGTTTAGGGTTTAGGGGCTTAGGGCTTTTAGCGCTTAAGTTTGGGGGTTTTGGGTTTTAGGGTACAGGGTTTTAGGGTTCAGGGTTTAGGGTTTTAGGGTTACAACACCGTATCTGTCAGGGCGGCCAAGCGTTGCTACTCTGGCCCAGTTATTTGAAATTTCCGGTTTGAGGGCAACTTCAGTCAGATGTCAAGTAGGTTCGTATACGCCCCTATTTACTCCTAAACCCTAACCCTGAACCCCCTAAACCCTGAACCCTGTGAACCCCCTGTACCCCAGCTCAACCCTCAAGCCGCAAGCTTCCCAAAGCCCTAAGCCCTCAGCCCCAAACCCCAAAAACCCTACACCCTAAACCCCAGACAGGCAAGAAGGTGCGCGCAAAGCCCCAAAAGCAACCCCCCTGCCCCCCGTCCCCGAGAGACTCCCCCGGCCTGGCAGGTGATGAAGGGCACTTTTGCGGCGGCTCGGCCTCGCACCCCTAGGTTTAGGGGTCAGGGTTTGGGGTTTTGGGGTTTAGGGAATGAGGTGCCCTGTAGAATCCCTTAAAGGAAGAACCAAGGCATCTCTTTTGGGCCTAAGAGGTTTGTAACATGAGGGTTCAGGGTTTCGAGCTTTAGGTGTTTTTGGGCTTTTTTGGGTTTTTCCGGGTCTGTAGGTGTTTTCAGGGTTTTGTTGGGTTTAGGGCCGTTTAGGGGTGGGGGGAGGGGCGGTTGAGGGTGGTGGGACTGCGGCTTGTTTGGAGAAATCCATAGGTTTAGAGTGCGTCCACAATTTCAGATGCCCTCCCATCTCAGTAGCCTTTAAACCCTCAGAGCTAGCCCCCAACCCCCAAGCCCTAAGACCCAAAAACAACCTCAAGAGCCTAATGCCCTGTAAGCTCTAAAGCCCCAAATCCCTAAACCCACAAATAACACGAAGGACCCAAATAACCGTGAACAAGCCCTGACAACCCTTAAAAAGCCCTAATGCCCCTGATGACCCTCTATAGCTCTATAAACGCCCCATGAGACCAAGCAGCTTGAGGACTCGCCAAAGGACGGAGTCCCGTTCCTTTCCTTGGGCCGCTGGTACGATCGGTGGTTCTTCAAGCAGGCCCCCGGCTCTCTGCGAGCTCTTTTTGGAGGTGTGTTCTTAGAGTTTGAGGAGTTCAGAGTTCAGGCTGGTCTCTTTTCTTTTCCTTTTTTTCGGCGGCGTTTAACGGATGTAGGACTTAGGGTTTGGGGGGGCAGAGATTAGGGCAGAGAGGGGAGGGGGGGGGTTATTCACTTTTGGGGCGAGCACAAGGAAGCCATATCGCGGACGATGGTCGGCCTAAGCTCATTCACCCTGACCACAACCCTGAACTGCTTAAGGTTCAGGGCTCTGTAGGGTTTACGGGTTTCCTGAAACCCATGCTGAACCCTCAGCCTGCCGAACACCCTGCACCCGAAGCCCAGCCCCTGAACAGTAAGCCCCAACTCCTGAAAATCCCAAACCCTTAAACCCAAACCCCCAAGCTTCCCTACGCCACCTCCGCCCTAAACCCCAAACCCTAAACCCTAAACCCTCAACCCTGAACCCTAAACCCTAAACCCTGAATCCCCCAAACCCTCATAATCCCAACTCCCGCATGGGGCAGGTAGAGGCCATCAAGGACGGCCGCCCGGCTGTAAGCTGCTAGGGTTTAAGGTCTAGGGTTTAGGGTTTAGGGTTTTGGGTTTAGGGTTTAGGGTTGAGGGTTGAGGCTTGAGGGTTGAGGGTTTAGGGTGGGGGTTTCCATAGCCGCTTCGAGTTTACGATATTAGGGGCACCTTACTGGGGTCCATATGGTCGTTTCTTGGGCACCCTGAGTAGTAGGGGCCGCCTTAGAATAAGGACCCCAAAAGGGCCCATAGTTTGGAGAAAATGACCATATGCGTCGCCCTTCAAAACAACCCATCTTAGCAACATCACGTCCGCACTGGTGATATTGGAGCCAAGGAGGCTCGACGATAATCCTTATGCAAGCGTCACCACAGAACCTATAGGCAATCTTCTTCTTGCATAAAGTTTGTGCTGGGATCCCAAGCCCTAAACCCTAAACCCTAAACCCTAAACCCTAAACCCCAAACCCTAAACCCCCAAAAACCCAAACCCAAAGCTTGTCGGTCTCCATGGGGTGTCCTACACTTCCCTCAGCCCTCAGAGCAATCTCGCCTCAGGTCAGGTCTACATGCGCCGGGGCCCTCAGGGGTCTTTGAAGGGTTTAGGGTTTAGGGTTTAGGGTTTAGGGTTTAGGGTTTAGGGTCTAGGGTTTAGGGTTCAGGGTTCAGGGTTAGAGATTTTAGGGCTTTAGAGTCTTAGGGTTTTCCAGGCCCCCCGTTAGCCCTCAGGTTTGCGGATGTCCGCCAGGGGAGGTTACGGGTGGAGTCCATGCGGCTCTAGGAGGTTGATGCTTACGGGGTTGAGACAGCCCCTTCAAGGGTTTACGCTATTTGGGGTCCAGACTAGGGTTTTAGGGATTTAGGGTTTTAGGGTTTTAGGGTTTGGGGGTTTTGGGGTTTTAGGGTTTTAGGGTTTTAAGGTTTTAGGGTTTTAGGGTTTTAGGGTTTAGGGCTTGGGGCTGAAGAGTTTTTTTTCCGGTGCCGCCCAGGCACCGACGAGTACCTGCACCGGCACTCCAAGAGTGCCTTTGGCCATATTGGGGGATTAGGGTTTAGGGCTTAGGGTTCGGGGCCTTTAGGGTTCAGGGCCTTTAGGATTCGGGGCCTTTAGGGTTCAGGGTTCAGGGTGTCTTGCCGTTCAGGTTTAGGGCTTAGGGTTTAGGGTTCAGGGTGTCTTGCCCTGGAGCAGCAGAAGATCTCATGGTCACATGGCGCGGCGCGTGCGTCGGTGATAGCAGGGAATTATTCAATAGTCAGGGTTCCCGAGATTCTGGTGCCAGTACATTTGAGCAGCGACCACCACCCAGATCATGGCCTGGAACGCATATCGCACAATCCCCTCTGCTCGAGGGGACCTGAAACAATGGCCAGCCAAAAGATCCACCACAGGAATGGGCTTTCAGGGGGCTACAGGTCTATCCCAGATTTTTGTAGCACCCTTTCAGGCTGAACTGGGACCCCAAGCCCCGGAATCCCTAAGCTCTGTTCAAACCCCAAGTCTTCAACCATCTTGCTTCGGGCTCATGAAAAAACAACAATGAGTTAAGCTACCAGAACGAGGGCTGAGCACTGAGGCCGTTCGATTTCTTTCATGCCTCACCCCTAAATCTTTGAGCCCAATCTTCAACCGAGGCATCTTTTGGGAATTGCGTGGAGCTCAGCGGGCTTCAGAGGTGCCCAAAGTCGGGATGTTCCCCCTTGTACTAACAGCCCTTACTAGGGGTTATAGTACCCCCTACTATGATTCCGATTCAGGACTGTCAGTATAAGGGGGAACACCCCAACCTATAAGTCCTACTTGCGGCCTAGAATGATTCTTGTTGGGGGATGTGCTTGGGAGGCTTAGGGGGACCATTTTGAGGATCCAACGCGCCTTCGTCTTGAGGGGTTTGGCTTCAGGGTCTTTGGCCTGCTTTGGGTTCTTGTATGGCTGTAGGGTTCCGGGTTCAGGGCGTCGAGAGGTCGGCTTGTGTCTCTAACAGGCCTCAACCCTAAACCCTAAACCCTAAACCCTAAACCCTAAACCCTAAACCCTAAACCCTAAACCCTAAACCCTAAACCCTAAACCCACTTCGAACTCCTCCGCTACCCTTGAGCGCAGCACCGCCCGCAACGAGGTGTGCTTGAGGGGGCCCGAAGCCCAGAAACCCTGAAGCCGCACCCGAAGCTCGAAGCCCTGAACTCCGTAAGAATTTTGGTAGGCCATCGGGAGATTTGTTCATATTTTCCCTTCTTGGGGTTTGAGAGGATCCTTTTCAAGAATATTTTTACGAAAGGATATGAGGGCCATCCTGGAAGAGTTTTGGGGGGGGGGGGGTGCAGAGGGCGGATGGGCCTCCCCAGGTCTTACCTCCAGCCTTGGGGGAACACGCCGCTCTTCCGCTACCTCCTTGGCTGGGTCAACCCCCTGAATATCGCCTTGGCCGCTCGGGCAGGCGCTTAGCGCTTTTCGGTCCTCTTGGGGTTGGTTTCTTTGGAACTGTGGAAGGTGGAAGGTTGAGCCCCCCAAACCCTAAACCCCAAACATCCCTAAACCCCAAACATCCCTAAGCCCCAAACATCCCTAAACCCTAAACATCCCCAAACCCTAAACCCTAAACCCCGTACCCTGTAAGCCCCATAAGCCCTGTAAACCCCACGGAGCCCTTAGCCGGGATCCTGGCCCTCCGCCCATCAACAAAGGGTTTAGGCTTTAGGGTTTAGGGAAGATAATTTCCGAGAACGTCTGGGGTTTATTTTTCGGGTCGCTGGGGGATCGCTTTTTTTGCGGACGTTTTTGTCCTTTTCAACACATACTGCGGGTGATGCTAAGGGGGAAAAGACAAGAAGCGGTGCTCTGCCATCAGTTGAGACCACTAAACCCTAAACCCTAAGCCCTAAACCATCAGTTGTGTGATGCTGCCTTGAGCCCAGGTCAAGTCTTACCAGCCTGAGTTTACGATGAGGCAACGGGTCTCAGGAATGTTCAGGTGGGTTTCGCTCTGAAAACCATAGTTGGGTCTTGCAAAGAGGCGCCTGATGTACCTCTCAGTGTCCCCATGCTATGTAAGGCAACCTGGGATCCCAGCTCCTTCCTACCCAGGGATTTAAGGTTCGGGGGGGGGGCCCTGAGAGTTCGGGTTTCTTCTTCGAGGGTGCAGACGAGAAGGTTTTTATTGAAAACCCCGAATGACGAGAAGCACCCTGGACCCTTAACCCCTACAGCTGAGGGATGCTCCCCCTTATACGAACAGTCCTTAATCGGGAATAGAGCAGGGGGTACTAGATTCCTTAACAGCTTGGAATGTTCCCCCTTAAAAACAGGTACTACTGCGACGTGAACGTGATCCAGGAGACGGGTTGCGGTGTGTGCGGTGTTTGGAGGGTTCAGGGTTCCGGTCGAAAGAGACTTGGATCCTCAACCCTTCCGTGAAATATGGGGGGTTTCCGAAAGTAGGGGTACCTTAAATTGGGGTCTTTGTCAGAAGGGAATCCTTGTACGCTGTCCTTGAAGGTGCCGGAGTTGAGAAGGTTGGAGCTCGGAGAACGCTGGATTCGGATCCTAAACAATCAGAGCCCCCTAGCCTCTAACTTCCTTCAAGCCCCAAGCTCTGACAACCAGCACTCTGAGGGGGGTTTCATGACTTTAGTGCACTCAAAGCTCTTGCTTCTGTATTCAACTGGGGGTCTCCGAAAGTAGGGGTGCCCTTTCGAGGGGTCCCTTTAAGGAGATTTGATTCTATTTGGGGTATAAACGGGGTACCCCCATTGCCCGTAGTCGGCGACCCGAAGGACTACCTCATCCCCATTACCGAGCTGAAGCCAATGCTCGACTTGGGCGATGAAGCTTTAGGTTCCGAACTGGGGTTGAGGGTTTAGGGTGTAAGGTTTAGGGTTTAGGGTTTAGGGTTTAGGGCTTAGGGTTTAGGGTTTAGGGTTTAGGGCTGTTTGCCTAAGAACCCCAACAAACACAAGGCAATGATAATCCCTATAATACCCTTGTAAGGAAGAATTCTTTTTTTTTTTTTGTTTGGGGGGGGGGGGGTTCTTAAGCCATTAGAAACATGATATTCCCTATATTAGGTTAATCCTGGGTTTGTTTCTGGTCTTTCAAAAAACCTATCTGCCGCCTATATTACCCGTATAAGGAAGAGTTGTTTTCTTTTTTTGGGGGGGTTCTTCAGTGTTGACGGGGTTTATGGAGGTTAGAGTTTGAGAAGTCAGGGTCTTCTTGGCAGATGTGCCATCTCACCTGGACAGGTGTGTATCCAATATGGCTTTGCCCCTACTTGAACAAGCACCACGAGGTTGTGTCCATACACCATCCGCACTCCAAAGACAAGGATGTCATGTACATTGATGCCGCGCGTCTTGGAAAGTGGGTTCGTGGCTTTAACCCCCGAAAACCCTAAACCCTAAACCCTAAACAGTCAACAAAATCCCAGGCCCCCAAAAACTTATCTGCACCCCACTCGCAAGCACGGCATAAGCATTGCTACAGCGCTCGTTGGTGTCAGCTTGCCTCATCGTTTAGGGCTTAGGGTTGGGATGGTTGGGATGTTCCCCTTATGCTAACAGTCCTGAATAGGGATTATCGTTGGAGCATGCCTCCATCCCTATTCAGGACTGTTAGTATAAGGGTGAACATCCCAAGCCTAGAGTTTGAGATCCTGCGACCTTTCGAGGTAGTGATGGGGGCAGGAGCGCTCGAAGCCCTAGACCCTCAGCCCTAAACCCTTTAACCATAAACCGTAAGCCCCAACCCCAAAGCCCTAAACCCTCAACTCCTCAACCCTCAATCCTAACGAAACCCCAAACCCTGAACTCTGAATCCGAAAACCGAAACCCGAAACCCTGGCCCCTAACCCCAAGCCCTAAACCCTCAACTCCTAACCCTAAGCCCTAGACCCTAAAGCCCAAAAACCTATAGAGCCCACACCCTAAACCCCAAGCAAGTAAGGTTGGCTACTACGGCCTCCCTTCGGTGCGGGGCTTCGACATGAAGCGGGCCCTGCGCCGCATCGAAGAGTGGCTGGTTCCTCGAAGAGGCCGGAACCCCCTGGTCCACTTTGAAGGTTCCGGGGTGTAGGGTTTGGGGCTAGGAGGTTTGGGGTTTAGGGTTTAGGGGTAGGGGTTTAGGGTTAGGGGTTTAGTTAGGAACCCGCCCGGTCGACTTTGAAGGTTCACGGGTTAGGGCTAGGAGGTTTGGGGTTTAGGGTGCAGGTGGGGGGGGGGTTTGGGGTTTGGGGTTCAGGGTTTCGGGTTAGGGTTTAGGGTTTGGGGATTCGGGATTCGGGGTTTGGGGTTTAGGGTTTCGGGGGTGTCATTATCAGTGGAGGTTCAGAACCCTGCTCTTGCCAGAGATCCCGTGAACCTCCCAGAGCAGGCTTGAAAGTCCTACGATCCAGGCCATGGCCAACCTCTTCCCCCTAGGGTTTAGGGTTTCCCCCCCCCCAATAATAAGAATTCAAACTTGCTTTTGGTACAATGACGACTTTCCCACAGTTTTATGGTTCGTACTCGATCACTGCGAAGCTGTACCCGAATCGAGTTGCGCGAAGAAGCTCGGGGCCATGACCTATAAATCTACAGTTTCCAGGACTCGGAGTAGGACCTTATTTCCTTTTTTTAGGGTTGGGTTTCCCTTATAATCCCCTTAAAGCCACAAAGGGCACCCTTTTGATTCCTAGGTTACTCCTGGGTCTAGGTCTACAGCTTGGGAATCTTAAGCCCTTAGCCCCGAGCTCCAAAGCACCAAACCCAAAGCCCGACGCGCGGCAGGCTTTGTAATGCTCTACGCTTTGCATACCCTGAACTACGAGGGCTTGCCGGGGCCTCATGGGGGCTTCAGGGTTTTGGTCTCGGGGGGGAGCTTCCTGAAGTTGTTTTAACGGTTAAGGGTTTGGGGTTTAGGGGGCTTCGGACTTTCGTGGTCCTAAACCGTTTCTTTTCTCTTGCGGCGGGTTGTGAGTTTTTTTTGTTTGTCGGCTTGCAGACGAGCATGTCAAGAGCTGTTACTCTTGCTTGTTGAAGAATCTCTCTCTCGCTCTCGCTCTCTCTCTCTTTCCCTTTTCTTGCTGCTGCTTGCTACCTCATTCCCTCACCAGAGCTACCAAACACGGGGATGAATCTCCTCCTCAAATACCCCGTGCTGAAGGATTATTCCCTGTAGAATCCCTTTTTAAGGAGCGATGGAGCGAGGAAAAGGTTCTCAACTGCTTATGACTCCTCAGGGTAGCTACAAGCAGCTATGTTGATGGGATCTCTACTACCTCCTCTATACTACCCAACCCCCCCCCCCCCAAGGTTCCCCTCATAGTTCAGGCTATGTAGGGATATGAGCCATTTTATAAGTCCTTAACACAGAATGTGAGAATCCTCGAACCCCAAACACGAACCTGAAAGCTCCTGAACCATAAACGCCCTGAAGCCTGAAGGGCCCAAACCCCTAAAGAAGTGAAGCCTAACCCCCTAAACCCGAAACCCTAAACCCTAAAAACCCTAGAAATCCCCTCTCCTGGATAGGTTACATGGTCCCTGAACCTGTATAAACCCCCGGTCCGAGGCGCAAAATGTTCAATTTGGTTCCTCGGCTCATGCCAAGCCTGGGCAGAGAGCCGTGGGGTTGAGATTGGATGGATACCCTACATACTCCCTTAAATGGGTATATATAGGGCCCGAATGCCCTGATTCCCTACTAACCGGGGGGGGCATTGGGGCTTGGGGTTTAGTTAGGGCTTGGGGTTTAGGGCTCAGGTTGATCTCCCAACCCCTTAGTCCCGTTTTGAGCCTCATGCCCTTAAACACTTTTAGGCCTTTTGAACCCTAGGCCGTTGAGACCCTGCGCCCTCTAAAGCCCGTACCCCCGTAAGCGTTTCATTTCCGTGCAGGATAGAAGTTCACATCGAGGGGGTCTATATGGTCAGCTGAAGATACCAAGGTGTGTTCGCATTCTACTCCGAGTTTTGAGCTTACAGAGGCTAGTTAGGGCTGATTTTCGCCTCTCTATGTAAAGTCTTCAAGCGAGTCCCCTCGGCGAGTTCCAGCCAAGGAAGCCTATGAACGTGTTCGTGCACGCATGGGTTCTGCTGCAATTTTCCCGACCATCGACGAGAAGGCAGCTGCACAGGAACACCTGCGTTCATGCGAATTGGGCATTTCCGGTAATAGGGGTACCCCTTCTATACCCCCAAGTAGAATCGAATCCCCTTATTCCGCCATTTTCGGAAAGCCCCCATTTCAGAGAAGTCTCCATGTGTTCACGAAGTTTCGGAGATTCAGAGAGCCAGGGCGGGGGTATGCAGAGCTTGGGGAGCGCCAGGGCTTGTGGCAACAAAACCGACCTGAAGCCGAATTCTGCTCTCCTCTGGGCATAAAGGCCATTCCCATAAGCGAAAGAAAGATTCCTGTTGTGGATTGGGACCCTTTTGGGGGTGCTGCTGCTATTTGGGGCCTTATGATTAGGGCACACCAAGAAAGACCATAATGTTGAGAACTGTAGTACATGACTTGACTTGTAGCAGTTGTTGAAGGGTTTTCCCCGCGTGTCATGTCCACAGCCGTGATAATTCTGTGGCCGCTGGACGTTAAGTCCCCGAATTTTCTTGCACGAATTAGGGCGCTATTTCGCGCGAATCCCATCCAGCGCCCGCAGCAGACACAGGTCAGCGTTTTGCAGACTCCCGTCCAGTTGGCTTTGATCAGAGTAGGTATGCCCTGCCCTTTGGAAGCGACACTCTGGCAAGATATGTCCTTTTCACAAATGAGAAGCACGTTGCTTTCGTCTTGTCAGTTCGAGAGGCCCCTCGCCAGCGTTGACCCTACTCACTTGAGAACGCGCAGTTACGTAGTTTACGCAGAACTAGCTTGGTCAGCAGCTTGCCAGTGCCATGGCTGTTCTCAAGAGCACAGCCTTGGGCCATCAGCGGAAGCATTCAGCACTCGCGCAGCTGCTCATGGTCGGTGTGGCGCTTGTAGGCTCCAGCTCCACATTTTGTGGTGCCGCCATTTCCCACGGACTTCTTCGGTGCTCCAAGAGCATGAATCAGCTGCCCTGCCCACTCCCGAAGCGAGCACGACAAAGTGACGCTAATGACATACTCCCAATGATAATCCTCGACTGAGGGTTATCATTGGGGTATGTGGGCGGGGGGGGGGGGGGTTGATCACGATCCCCAGCTGATCGACAAAATGACGACCAACACAGACATACCGGTCGGAACTATCGTCCGAGGCCTCGTTGCTAGGAATAGCGACGCAAGGTATAGCCGTCACGCAAGGTATAGCCGTCACAAGATATGGCACAAGTTTGCTCGCGGGCAAGATTCCTGGGCGCAGTTTCAGCTGCCGAACGGAACTATGTGGGAAGGCAATTTGGAAGGAGCCCTTTTTGAGGCACGCGTGGTCGAGCAGACTGAGGGCGATTCTGTGGGCCATTTTGTGGAAAGAACCATTCTTTCCATCATCAGTCTGCAGCCTGATGCGCGCTGGAAGGCAGTGGTGTCTCGCAGGGGTTTCTGGATGGTCGAAGTCTTAAAAGTCGGCAAATGGGGTGCCTCAGTGCGGACAGAGGAGGGCCTCGTTGGCCTTCTCCCAGCTTCGGAACTTGGAGATCGCCGGTGCGTGCCAGGATCCACTCTCGAAGTGGTCATCAAGCAAGTGAGGCCCCAGAATTGGAAGATGGCCAACCCCAGGATGGGCCGTCACTACCCCATCGTGTTTGCTTTTGACTCTTACAGAAACACGAGTCCTGAGCAAGAGGCGGCCTGTAAAAAGCTTTCTGAACGCTATGGCTCTCCTTTTTCACGACAGCAGGTTCAGGTCACAGTTAGAGTGCTCAGGGCAACGAGAAGATTTGTAGACGTGGTGACTGAGGATGGCCTTGTGGGGCGCGTCCGCTCTCGCGACTTCGGTCCCGAGCTGCCCAAGGAGGGAGAGAGCTTGACAGTGGAGGTCGAACATATGGGCAACCGCATGCTCTTTCTTCACTGGCGTTCCCCTGCCCGGGCTCGACTGCTGGAGAAGCTTCAGGAGGGGGATGTTGTTGTAGCAGAGGTCGTGGATGTCCAGCGTTCTGCTTTGAGCGTACAGGTCGAAGGCTTTGAGTTCTGGATCACAAAGATTGATGTGACGGGGGATCCCCAGGCCCAGCTCTGGGATGTCTTTGCAATCGGCGAGCAGGTCAAAGTCTACTGCTGGAAACCAGAGGAGGACAGCTTACGCCTTTCCATGAGGGCATTGGAGCGAACACCTGGTGCGATTCTGCAAAACAAGGCGCTGGTCTTCCAGGAGGCCGAGGAAGTTGCCCCGATGTACCTCGCGAAGTCGAGACTCGCCAAAGAGCAAATGGATGAGGCCATGAAAAATAGCATGGACACGGCGACACCGATTGACCTCGCCTCGATCCTCGATG